TTCCAACAAATTGAAGCATCTAAAAAATACATTTACCCGAATGGAGGTGTTATGGGAGTTGTACTCTTCATTTTGTTTTATTCTTTAGAACTTTTGATTTCTAGCAAGGAAGCTAAGTAATTATTGGCTATTTGGAAGAAGTTGCTGATAGAAAAATCTAAATCTGAATTTCAACACAATACTTAAACCTTAATAAATAACGATTAGATTCCTAACTTTTAAATGAAGATAAAGAAAATTAAGATAAAATCATAAAAGTCAACGCTTGTGTAAAAGTTTAAACAATCAGTATTAGGTGAATATCAACTAACTCAATATGATAAATATTTTCAGGATATACATTTGTATCATGTATTAAAATTCTAATTGCTATCTTAACAATATTCATACTCTGAAGAACTCTTTGATATTTTTACATCTATTAAGTTTAAGCCTGACAACTTTTTGAATTTCCAAGCACTTTGGTCCATCATTGAATCAAACAACTTGTCCAATAATATTGATCAATTATCAACCAGGATCAATTTAGAATAACTATCCATCTACACATAACCTGAAGAGATAAACAATAGAGCCTATTAGATAATTACTTAATTTAATTAATAAAGTCAATAAATATAATCAGCTATTTAATAAAATGGCAAATTGAATAATGATGCTAAGAAGTTCTTGGATCTTATTAGTAAGGTGAATTCCCCATTGAAATATTTGGAATTATTTAAAGAGTAAGAACCCATAATTTAAAAGGCTTGTGCTTATATTAAGTTATATTCATTTAGACAGATTTAGTTTGCTCAAGAAATAAGCATACTATTAAATATTTATTCATTACAGAATTAAAACGTAGATCAAATGGATATGTCTTCAATCAATATGAATAATTAATAGTCCACACTACAATTAAATTAGAGTCAATAGCAATTATCTGATTTTCCAAAGATATCAACTAATTTGTTCAATTAATATAGATAGGAATTCCTGTAAATTATCTAAAAGTTTGAAAATGAATTAATAATTAAATAACTAATAATTTAATTCAAAGTTAAATTACATTACAAGTAAAACACTCACAAAAGAGGATTGTGGTACTTTATGAATTATGGAGATGCACATTTGTATCAGCAACTGAATCACGAAAATTTAGAATCATTTTTAGAGTTGTTGGGAAAAGAGAGATATTCAATAAATAGCTATGAAGATAGTATGAGGAGGAAAATGTTTTTGAAAGTATTTGCTAAATAGAAAAAAACATATGAACATATACAACTAACTAAAACAGCATAAAGTATATTTAGTGATCTCTATGGTGCATAATAAGTCATTCAACAGAAGGATAAGATGGTAATCAATGAAAATCAAAGATTTACTGCAGAATTAATTACATAGAGAGGATTTTACAGAGGAAAAATAAGAATAACAAATGAATACTTTATGTTCGAGAATTTTGGTTCTGACATTCAATTTCAAGATGTTCAATATAAATTTTAAAAGGACAGTCTAATAAAGACAGAAAAACAAAAATTGATACCTCTGTCTTAGATTAAGGAGGTCTTTCCAAGGAGTTATTTGGCTTAACCAGTGGCCATTGAATTATTCGCCAACAATAACAAAACCTATTTGTTTAATCTTTTTGGATAAAGACAAGCGGTGATGAAAGTACTATCATAGTCTTGCAATGTAATAATGAATCCTATTGAATAATTTAAAAAGAGTGGGATAATAGAGAAATGGAGACGAGGAGATATTACCAATTTCTAGTACTTGGTTGAAGTTAATAAGTATGGAGGAAGAACCTATAATGATCTAAATTAGTATCCGATATTCCCGTGGGTTATAGCCAATTATGTGGATTTTGATATTTAAAATAAAGAGCACTTTAGAAAATTGGATATTCCTATTGGAGCAATAAATCAAAAGAGATTGGAGAACTTCTTAGAAAGATTCAAGTAGGCAAATCCCGAAGATATGAACATGTACTTTATTTATGGAACCCATTATTCTCATAGTGCAATAGTGATGAGTTTTCTAATGAGAATGGAACCATTTGCGTCACTTCATTAAGAATTATAATCTGGAAGATTTGATAAAGCAGACAGATTGTTCCATTCCTTAGAATAACAATGGCACTCTGTTACAAATTCAAGCAGTGATGTCAAGGAATTGATACCTGAGTTTTTCTACTTTAGTGAGTTTTTAAAGAATAAAAATAAGTTTGATTTAGGGTAACTTCAATCTGGTACTGTAGTTAGTGATGTGACATTGCCTTAATTCGTTAATACAAATAGTCCAGAGGAGATGATATTTTTGAATAGATTGGCTTTGGAGAGTGATTATGTGAGTTTCAATTTGCACAATTGGATTGATTTAATATTTGGATACAAAAGCGGAATGAATGCTTAAAAATACAATAATTTATATCATCGATTGACGTATAGCAATTATGTGCAGTAACTACTAGAGAAAACCGATGATGAAGTCTTGAAAGAATAATACATAACTTAAGTCTATTATTATGGATAAACACCTCAATAGTTGTTTAAGAAAGAACATCCAATAAAACAATATTCAAAATTGAACGATCAAAATCCAGTATTATAACTTAAATAAATTACTTTGATGATTAACAAATAAAATATTGAAATTGATCAACTTTTTTGTAATGATAAATATTTGGTTTTGATAACAAATGAATAAGAAATTCATGTTTTCAATGTAGAACATAGGATAACAAGTCATAAAATACCAAAAGACTTTGGCAATCAAGAAGTTAAACAATTAAAGTTTAATTAAGATAACATCTTCTTGTTATTTGACGATTCTCTAGTAGTTGGTGGATACACTGATAATTCTGTTAAAGTCTATTCTCTTAAAGATCTCAAATTGACATGTTCTGTTTTGTTCCATACCAAAGTTGTCACTTGTTTAGGCAAAAGCTCTACATAATTACTATGTGGCAGCAGAGACACAAGAATATCAGTTTGGGAATGGACATTGTCACATCAACCAGAATTCATTTTGTATGGACATCAAAATGAAGTGTCAATCATTTAAGTTAATCAGATTTTACAAATTATTCTAAGTTATGATCTCAAAGGAGACATACTCATACACACAATAAAAGGAGCATTCTTAAAATTAATAGAAACATCCATTAATGAGTGTCTTTAAATCAAAATTCATCCTTCGGGATTTATTTTGATTTCATAATCCAAACAGTTGATCATCTACACTTTGCAAGGGGAACTATTCCTCTCCAGAGAATTATTAGATCACATCATATCCATTAATGTTCTTAATGAATATTCGCCTGAAATCGTAATAATTATATTATAATTAGTTAATCCTCACATATGATGGCACTATTTTTATCACATCGATTATCTAATTGAAAAAAACAGATGATTTTAATTAGTATTGTCTTAAGAAATACAAATTGGAGGATATGGAAATCAAAATGGAAACCAATTAATTGAGAAAAGTCAAAGAATTAATTAATACCAAAAGTTTAGAATTCTTGACCTCACAAATTTCATGTGGCTAATTTATACAATGTATCATTCATCTCTAATTATAGTGAATACTCATAGAGTTCTTATTATTGGTTATCAAAATGGACAAATAATATCATTATACGAATAACCAAGAACAACTAGTTTATTATGATTTATATATAAAACATATGTATTTTTTTAACATCATAGTTTTACTTTAGATTTTAGATGTTGTGTGATCTTTTCTACAAATTATTCATCCTCCACTTATAAATGATCTTTTTTTATTTCCTGAAAGGGCAATTGGTCAGCTACTTCAAATTGGGCAAGTTAATTTAGAAAATTCTGTTTCGCCAACGGGTTGACCAACTACTCCAATATTTCCTTTTTCTTCTCCCTAAGAAAGTCTTTAACTTGAGACATCATTAGCTGTTTAGAGTATTAATCAAGCTTCTATTGGGTTTCGGCCAGGGTCTAGCCATTATGTGATATTTCTGACGACTATTGGTTTATCTTGATCATAGGATGAATGAACTAAAGATTCTCTATAGCATAATCACTGTTTCTTTTGATAACATACAAAAATATTTTACTTTGTTTTGTCAATCAAAGCAATTACTGTGGTGTTTAACAATTTCACTTTTCTATCCCGAGTTGATTTCTTGCCAATTCTCCCTTCCTTTAAATAGACTTACAATATAGCTTTAACAGTAGAAGGTTTCAACTAAGTTTCTTCAGAAACCTATTTATTATTATTATACACTTATTTACTTCCTTCAAAGTCTTTCCATTCTTCGTTAATTCATTTATTATTTGCGTCCTTTGTTCTTGTGAGATTTTCTTATACCTAAAAGTGAAACTTATCCTTACTTCATGTTGCGAGATCCCTTTCTAATTTTTTAGCTACTATTCATTTATTATTTAATTAATAGATAAATTTAGCGATTTCTAAACGATTAAGAATGGTTACAATAATATCTTTTTCAACATTTTAACATTTTCTATAATAAATCCTAGAAGTATTCCTATCCGCTAATATGTCCTGAAATTCATTATCAATTTGAAATTGTTGGAATTAAAAACAAAGGATGAAATTTGAATTTATATTTTAGTGACAAATTTATTTTAGAATGACATATTGAAATATTAGAAGAATACATAAAAAGGAATTAAAAGCACAATATATTAATATTATAAGAATTAAATTCTTATTGAAAAATTAGCGATTATAAAATTTTCATTAATAAATGCACACAAATATTTCAAAAACTTATCAGAAGTAGTGAGATTCACGATTCCCATTTTGCTTTTCTTGCTTTGTACCTCCCCTCTTAATAATATTATAAATTATTTTTGGTAAAACTCTGGATCACTCACCTTTCCTCAAACTAACACTCTTCAATAAACACATTACTTAATAAAATAAACCCAAAACATTTCTTGAATCAAAATCAACTACCAGAATATTGAAAGCAAAATCCATTTCCAAGTACTATTTCTATTAATCAAATGGAATGCACTATGAATATGCTATATCAGCAATTTCCATCTTAGAATTAATTGAAATAATTGATGTACTTGTTAGAGAATGCAAGCGATCGATTTTATCAACCTTTAATTTATAAGGCAAGGTTAAAAAATGTTTTAGATAACTGTTGGTAATTGTGTGATTGTCTCACACTTTTTACTACTGTCTTCATGAATTATATATGGTACATAATTTTATTTCATATTTTTAGCTCTTTAAAAGTCAGAAATAGTTTACATTCTAGTCTGCAAAGCCAGAATTAAAATATTTAGTTTGATACCAAATTTATTATCTTTTTTTGATGTGCTGCTTTAATGATTCAATCCTTTCAGAGAATAAGGGAATATTAGAGTAAATTGACTTTAATATTATTTGATTCATTATGATTTATTCATACTCTTAAGATATTAAAATAAAAATAATTTATATATTATATATACTAAATTATGAAAGATTTATCCTCCCGATGAGTAGTAAATTATTGATGGAATGCAATAATCTTATATCTTTAAGTTATAAATATAATAAATGTCATGAAATATTTTCTTTGTCTATTATATTGATATACTGACTTCCATATAAATTGATCGTAGTTATTTGCGGATCATTTATCAGTCTGGACTTTTTTATTGAGGAAATCTGAGAGATTTCTGATTATTCCACTTTAGATATAGAGGCTTATATAAATGGTGATATTACTTATATTTCGAATTGATGGCTTCTTTCTTAAAGGGGATCTTATTGGAGATTATCTAAATATTGAGTTTACTGGAGAACGCTCTCTTGAAGCTAGTATCTATTTAATATGAGATAAATTTGAAAATCTTGGACGGTCAATCATGTCAAATAATTAGGATTATTAAGATAAGGTGTTTTGGGTATTTAAGTGAGTTAACGATGATTTCTTTTTGATTTAAGAAGTACTTGTTGATGAAGCAAATGATGAAGGGTATGAACAATCAGAATCATTATTGGTTGTATACAAAGAGGGATTTTTGGTCTTGATTTGATCTAACAATAACTATTACTACTGAATTTGTGAATCCTTAGATTGTATTTCTTCAGTCTACAGGATAATTATAATAATAATACTTTTGATTAGAGTGCTTATTTTAAATCAGATATCTCTTTTTGTGATTCCTCATATTTCACCTTCCAATAATCGATGTATTATTATTATTCCTCAGTTATTTAAAGTAATAAGGATTTCTGGAGTTGCTTCTATTTTAAATTAACTTTTAATGCATTTTGTAATTATTATTCTATTTCTTAGTTTTATTTTTAGGCAATCATAAGATTATGATACATTTAATCATCATTGATGGAATTTGAATTATTCTACAAACTCATAGAATAGATTTCCTCTATTTGATATTGATTTTGAAGTATATTGTTCTGTATTTCAATGAGAGAATTATTAATTTCATGATACTCCTCAATATTACTGTAAATATCATTATAGATTTTGGTTAAATACAGTTGTTTCGTACTCATTTCGGAATCACTGATATGTGGAAGTATAAGGATCTTTTCTTCACTTATTTATTAATGCAAAGACTTTTAAATCTACTTTTTAATTTGAGTAGCTCTACTGCTATACTAGAGGGTGTTCAATATTTCATCATATTGGCATTTATTTTATTATATGCAAGAAATCATTATTGTTCTAGTATTGCCACCTAAAGAATCTTGCAACAATCTGGTTAATTTTGAGTTTCTATATGGAATATGTTAATTTTTCTTTGATTTATCAGATAAAATAGTCAAGCAATTGCTCAAGGCCAAAAGGGATCTATTGATATTGGATCCTTCCTATTGGTTCTTACTCTTTTGATCTTAATAAACCCTTTCTGACCCTGCTAGATCAACAATAAAGAGCTTCGGTGTAATAGTCTACCTAATGATAGGAGATCTAAGTCAATACCCTTCGAAACAATAGGATAGGTTAAATTATATTAATGCATGTGATCTTGATGAATAAACATTGTATATAGTTTAAGCCAAACTTCTATTTTAATTTGCAATGTTTATCCCTTCTTTCACCTAATGGATTATAATACAAAACATTACATCATTTATGCTGTTAATTTTAATTGCTTGTAATCCTTAAATGTAAGACCCCTTTTAGTTGTCTTACATAATCATCAAAGGTTTTGGTTGGTCTGACATCAGATCTCTTATGGTTTCATTGTAAACTTCGATAAAACTCATTTCCATTTAGACATTTGCATCTGGACTAATTAATAATATTCAGATAGCTCACCTCATATACTTCATTCTGTTCACCAGATAATTGATGCATTTAAATGACAAGCCTTCGTCCTTCTCGTTTCCAAAGATTGTATGAGTTTTACCTGAACCTGTTATACCGTATGCTAAAATTGTTGTGTTGTAACCTTCAACAAAGTGATCGAGATTATGCTGTAATTTTAATATATATATATACTCTTAATGATTGATCAAAAATATCCTCATTATTTTGAACACCGCTGAATATCTTATCGAAAACAAAGGATTTACCATTTTTACCATCTTTTCTAATTACAATTCTATTGTCATTCAAATCCTCAATCAAAGTTTCTGTGCTAAACTAATAAGCTTGCAGTTTTTACCAGTTCTCCAATAAAGGTTTGATTCTCAAGTATACTTGAAATGGTTAATTAGACATTTTTATTAGCAGTTAAATTAAAATATTTATTCTTAAAATTGATATTTTTTTTCAGACTAATTTTCAATTTATGCTTTTCAAGCAATTTACTTAATTATTCTCATCACATCCTACATTGATAATAAACATCTTGCTTTTAAAATTCTAATTTTCATAATTATTTTTTATTTATTTAATATGAATTTAGCATAATAATAAACATAAGAAGAAAATCCATTTCAATTTGAGTTGGATTCTAAAAAGTTTCTGTAAAAGCTAGAAAGAGAACGTAATTCTGGATATAATGACGATGATGAAGAACAAAAGCAAGTTCCACATACTTAAAAATTATATCAAACTAGTGCCAAATCAACAAGATTTGGACTGTTATAAAAATTAGAAGATCAAAGTATAAATTGATTTCTATTCCAAATAGCTAATAAATTAGCGTAAGAGAGAGATGAGATGTTTGCCAACGAAGCCAAAATGAGGGATCCTAATTAACCTTAGAAAATTGATGAAATAGCTTAACACATCAAACACTTTAATCCAAAATTGATGGAATACAGAGATGATGAAGCTAGGAAAACTATCTATGGAAAAGAAGATAAAAAGAAGGATTAGGAATTATAGGAAATGAAAAAGAAAAAATATCGAATTAAATCAATTTTAAGAGAAAAAAGAGAAACAATCACAGATTTCATCGAAAAGAAACGAGAAATATGTTTAGCTAATTTAAATATTATGACAAAAAAGGAAGAAACTGAAAGACTTGAGGATTTTATAAAGAATGAATAAGAATCATTAAGAGCAAGGAGATTGTACTTTAAAAACGATTGCGAATTAGTCAAAAAGTTCATGAATGAAGTGAAATACTAAGCAGATCAAGCTGCATTTTAAGCAGATAGAGAAGCAAAAAAGAAAGATGAAGTCAAAACTGATGTGGCCAAAATACTAGCTCAAATTGATAGATTGAAGTTATAAAAGACAAAATATGGAGAAGAATTTGAAAAATTGGATAAATATAGATAATTTTTAGAGAAAATTAAAGTAATTCTAAGTCATATAATGAATTTAGGATACATACAAAACGAAGTTTTCAGAATTTGAAAAGAAAGACATTAACTTGTTTTCTAATCAATAAAATGAATAAAAGAACTAATTCTTTGTTACTGGAGTAGATTAGAGAGAAGAATAAAAATAAACTTAAGAGTAAATAGAAGCAGAAAGACAGTAAGAGAGGATGGCTGATTTGGTAATTGAGATCCTTAACAATATTGAAGAGGGCAATTTGAGAAATATCTAAAATTCAAGGGATGCTGAGGAAGATATTGAATAGAAGAAGAGGGAATTGGAAAAATTGGAATAAAAATTAAAAAATGAATAGGATGAACATCTTGAGATGTTGAAAGCAGAAGAAAGAAAATTGAAAGCATAATTGAAAATACAAAATTAATTGAAGGATTAGGAAAAAGTGGATCAAACAAAATTGTAATTTGCAGAAGGGGAAGACTTAGATATGGATAAAATTGGAAAGAAAATCATAGAAATATAATAGGAAGCAACTAAGAATTAAGATATTATGGGAAAGAGATTGTAGATTGACTCTAAAGTCATTAAATAAGTGATTAATGTAATATTAATTGAAATATATAGCAATTAGAAAAAATAGTAATAGATTTATCAGAATCTAAATTACAATTCTTGTTAAGATCAAAAACTGACTTTATTGAAGCAGAAAAGAAAATCAAGAAGGAGAAATAATAATAAAGGTTAAATAATCAGAAGGATGAGGAAAAGAAGAAGTAGATTATGGAGAGGAGAAACAAAAAGGAAGAACATTTGCAGAAATTTTATAAGGGAAGACACGATATGAAAAGGAATTATAAATAGGAAAAACCTGTAGTTGAAACAGAAGAAACAGAAACAGATCAAAATGATGATGAAAAATATTTAAGAGAATCCTATGAATTGGTTTATGTGCCTCCTTAGTAAAAATCTCATAATTAATAATAATCAAATGAATTAAACATAAAGTAGAATGAGAGATAATAATGAATTAATATTTATATAAATAAATTTACAAATATGGCATAGACCAGTAAGAGGAAGTAATCAAGATCTTTTGAAGACAGCGAAGTAGCAATTTTAACATAAGTTATAGTATAGGGGGAAGCTGTTTAGGGAAGGTGGACTAAGGATGAACATTAAAGATTTGTAGAAGCTTTGAGCATACATGGGAAAAACTGGAAAAAAGTTGAAGAACATGTTGGGACTAGGAGTGGTGCCCAAATTAGGTATAATCATATTTGTGATTCAAGATCTCATGCATAAAAGTTTTTCAATAGATTAGAGAAAGAATTTAACAAATAATTTAATGGTCTAAAGAGTTCAGAGATTAAATAGATTTTTGAAAATAATATCCAACATTATTCAGAAGGTGATGTGACATAAAAAAGACAAAGGGCTGGTTCTATCAATGGTAACACAATATCCTCTATTTTTATATTAGATATTTCAGAAGACGACATTTAAGGAAACTTAGAGTCTATGCAAATAGAATCAAATCAGTTATAATAGCAACACTAGTAATAATAGGTGAAGATGCAATTACAACAGGGTATTCTAGATCTAAATCTACCTGATTCTTGTTATCATTAGAATGCCAAGGAACAAGTCACTAAATATCAGCAATAATAAAATAAATTGCAAAAGAAAATGCAAGATGTTGTTGATAAAAACTACTCAGAGGAATTAATTAAAGAAATTTGTGAATTACATAAAGAGAAAGACTAAATTATAGCTATTCAATAAATTTAAAATGCTTATTAATCCATTGCTGAAGTAAATCAATTTGAATAATAACAATCCTTAAGATAGTAGCAGCCTCAACAAAATCAATCCGAACACTAATAATAACCCTAAAAGAACAATAATTAACTCAATGAGGAATCTAGACCTGGAACTGATGAATCATTCTTTCACTTCATAATGTATTTATTGTTTTTTAGGAATAGGGCAAGAAATTAAAAGTATATCAATAATAGAAAATTGAGCTTATCTGATTTGATTGAAGTACCTAAGTTAGATGAGAAAGCATAAGAATAAGAATTGTCGGAGTAAAAATAACAATAATAATAAGAGAATGAAGGATAAAGGAGCAGAAAATAATCATTTACTTTTTATAACGATTAGGTTGAAGATAACGAACTAAGGTATTAGACACTCAAAAAAAACAAAAAAGAATGATGAATAACTATTTTATATAGTTAATTAAATATTTTTTTAATAATGTCATAAATCTCTAACGTTTCTAATCATCAATTTTATACTCCTGATACTTCCAAACATTAAGATTAATTCAAAAGTGCTGAAGATAGGAAAACCACTCCTTTTGATGAAAATAGTATTACCCCTAGAAGCGACGTATATTCAAACACTTTTAAATAATTCTAATAAGAAAATATTAATGATTCCAAGGATCAAATACCAATTAGCAATAATGAATTTGTTTCTCAATGGGGAAATATACAATAGAAGGAAAATTCCTCTTAAGCTTCAAAAGTCTGTGATATCGATGACTTTCCTGATTAAAATGAAAACTCCCCTTCCAATAGTGATGAAGCTGGAATAGATTCCTAAAGAGAATAAGAAAAATATTTTGGACAAGCTGAATAACCAGAAAGAAAATAATCAAGAGATATGGCTGATTTAGAAGATTTGGTGAATGTTAACAATTCTCAAAATGCTTCTTCCTCCAGTAACTAATTCTAGATTATGGACCCATCTGAAAGAATCAAATACTAAAACATTGATTAATTACCTTTAAATCAATTGGAGAGAAATATGTTAATAAAAGCAAAAGACATTTAACCTGTAAATCAGAACTACCCCTTTTTGAATGACCAGTCTCCCTCTACAGGAAAAATATCTGGAATGGCTTTCACATTCAACTTTCCGAATCAATTCTAAAATGAAGGAATTTAAAATATTTTCAATTAGCCTTCCTCACTTCCAATAAGTCAAGAGCTTCCCATTCCCAACGCAGTCCAAAACCAAATTGCAAATCAATTTTACCCAGGAACAACTTTAAATAACTAAATAAATCAGTCTATATCATCAAAAGGCTCCTCTTAAATTCATAATTTAGAAGATCTAACAAATTTTAAAAATCAATCTTAACCCTTATAGTTAGACAACAGTTAAAATTTAAATTTCCATAAAATTAATTCTATTCCAGTTCAATAAAATATATTTGAATAACCTTAAGCTCTACCAATTGACAAGTTTCCTATTGGTGATATGCCTATGTCTTCTGATTCCTCTTAAAATAGAATATAATAATCAATATTTCAACCAGAACTTTAAGTGAACCCTGTTATTGTAACATAATAATAAGAGTAAGTATAAGTATAGTAACCTTCTAACATTTTTCCTATCTAATCCTTGGAGGTTATTTAAAAAAACGTAGATTTTAATTTTAGTTAAGATTTCGAAAAATAATTCTAATAGGATATAAATCCTAAGTTTGAAATTCATGGAAACGATTCAGAATTAATCTGGGAGCAAGATAACAATTTTAAAATCGTTGATTAATTTCCAAACCAAACAACTGGAAATATATTTCAAGAAAGCTAATAAGACAATTAACTGTAAGATTTTATGAAAGAGTTTGAGCCGAAACCAGAAATACTGAAAAAAAATGAAAAGAATAAAATAGAAAGTCCTTAAGAAAGTCCCAAAGACTAAGAATTTCAATTACAGAAACAAACCTACCAATAAATTAACTTTTTATAATAACATTCCTAATAATAATCATAAAGATCAATAAATTAAGATAATTTCTTTTAATAATATAAAGAAGTTCAGCCAAACTTTCCTGCACAAGTTAATACTTCAGAACTCCAGTAATCGTCAAGGGAATAAACTCCTAAAAATTAGCCTACTTAAACTTAAGTGCAAAACTAAAATAATTCAATATCATCGCATAAATCTAATTCAACTCAAAATAAAAATAATGATGTTTAACCATCCTAATAATTTTATCAAAAAAAATTGTATGACGATTGGTTTAAAAAAGAAGATAGTAGCAGAAGAATGAGTTTAAACTCCAAATCCTCTGCTAAAGAATCTTAACATAAGGTAGAGGAACTTTTTTAAGATAATGATAATAATAGTATTTGGGAGAAACATTTAGAAAATCAACAAGTAATTTAAAAAGAACCCTTAGATTTTTTTTAACAACTGCAATAATAATCATAATCAACATAATAACAATAATAGTAATAGTAATACTAATACTAATAATATTAAATCTAGCAATAACCACAACAATAATTTTAATAACAATAGTAAATTGAATAAGAACAGTTACAATAAAACTTATTACTAATATAACAAAAACAATAGCATATATAATAACAATAATAAAATGAATAAGAACAGTTACAGTAAAGCATATTTAAGTAATAACAAAAACAACAGCAGATATTATAACAATAGTAATAATAGTAATAGTAGTAATAATAATAATAATATCTATAATAATAATAATAATAATAATAATAATAATAATAATAATAGTAGTAATAATAAGAAAAATACTAGTAATAATAAAAGGAACAATAGGAATAATAATAATTATATTCATAAAAGTAATTGTAAGAGAAATAAGAACAAGAATAAAAATATTTATAGCAATAATAATAACAAGAGCAATAATAATAATAATAGCAAGAGTAATAGTAATAATAATAATAATAATAATAATAATAATAATAACAATAACAATAACAATAACAATAACAATAACAATAACAATAACAATAACAATAATAATAACAATAAATAGAACAATCAGAATAACAATACTTATACTCATAATAGTAAAACTAAGGGAAGTAAGAAATTGAATAGCAATACTCATATTAATAACAATAATTATTATAATCATAGTAACAATAATCACAAATCTACTAATAATAATAAAAAGAATAGTAACAATACTTATACTCATAACAGCAACAACTAGAAAAATAAGAAAAAGAAAAAGAATAATAATTATTATATTAATAATCACAATAATAGTAATAGCAATAATACGAACAATAACAAAAACAATAACAATAATAATAACAATTGCAATAACAACAACAAAAATAATAATAGTAACAATAATAACAATTATAAGAATAACAATAATAAATATTAGTCGAGTAGTTCTCTTCTAATATAGTTAAATTGCCTGGTTAATAATAATAAGAACAATAAATAACCCCAAGAAATCAAGGTACGAATTCAAATTAATAATTAATTGAGAATTCTCAATAAAATGTAACTCCTAGTCAATCTCCCCAATTTTTTTCAATTAATAATTCTTCAAGTTCTGTGAATGAAAAAAAGAAAAATAATCCTTTTACTAAAGAGGAAGCTGAAATCATTATGGATCCAAAGTGGGAACAGGATTTGCCTCAATTTGATTCATAATAATTTGAAGTAAAACCTGAGCTAAAAAAAACCTTAGATACAATTATCGAAATCCAAGAGGAATCTCTAACTTAGAGTTATGCAGTACAAAACAGAAACTCAGCTTTGTATTAGGAAAATACTATAACAGAGTTTTAAGACAAATCGATTGAAGAATCAAAAGTAATTCAACCTTTCTTAAAAATCTAATCTTAAGAGATCCTATCTGCATAGAAAGGAATTCGTAGTGTTAGAGAAAGCAAGGAGAGTAATTAAGAGGCAATAAATCCTTAATAGTTGGTTGAATAATTAATGCCAGGTTTACATGACGTTATAAGAAAATCTTTCTAATAAAATATAGAAAGTTAACTGCAATAATTAGCTACTTAATTTTAACAAAAATTGTAAGATGAAGAATAAGACAACTTTGATATTGATAAAATTAGTTCAAAAGTGTTTATGATTGAGAATTTGGTTTAAGGATATGGCAAAAAGCTAGATCAAATATCAGAAATGCTAAATAAAGAGAAAGAAAATTAAGACTCATAAAAAATACAAGATTAACATACTCAAAGCAAGGCTGGTTTTCTTTAGGATTCTTAATAACCAATATAAAAATAATAAAAATAAATATGCTCACCATTTGAATTAAATTTAGAAGATCACTTTGAAGAATCGCCTATATAGAATTATTAAATTTAGAGTTAGAATAATTCAAAAGTAAGGGTTGCTTAATCAAATCTACTATACACTTCTCATTAAAAAGGTTTTATTCCATATTAGACGTTACATTAGACATAATCAAAATATATAAATGAAAGTCAAATAAGAGAAGACTTCTAGGAGGATAAATTAAGAATATTCTAAACAAATTATCAATTTTAAAAGTAGTCACTTAAAGGGTTATAGGAATTCGAGATTCAAAATTTTAGGAAATAATGTTTATGTGAGTAGACAACACTTCTAGATACATATGAATTGATAGTTACTTTAACATCTGAAAAATATGAAAGTGAGGATCTTTCTGGCTATAAAATAATAATCTCTTTAAAAAATAAAGCTCAATATGATATCCAAAACTTAATAGTGTTATTTAATTCTAATAAAAGTATAATTTATATACTACATTTTAGTAAAGGATGAATATCAAGTAAAACCTGAAAAGATTAGTTAATCCTATTTAAATCCTGGAGATATCATTAGATAAGAGATAACATTTAAATATTATGACCTTTAGAGCATGTATTTAAATTGCTTCATTAAATACACTATTAATAATTTTAAGATGGGATACAATTTTAATAAAATATCTTAAAGTCAAGGACTATAAGGCACTTAAGATTATTCAAATTTGTATCTTTCTTAGATGAATAGTAGAAATGTGATTTAAGAGTATATACTATTATTATTATTAGAGTTGGGTAATTTAAGAGGAACTTTCAATTTTGCATAGCCAGACCTGCAAATAAGTTCTTTGTTTATAATTTTATTACGAGTGAAGAAATAAATGAATGCGAAATGAAATGCAGAAGTGAATAGTTTTACTTGAGATCCTTGGATGAGCTTATAATATTTCATCCTTGGTTAATACAGATAGACTAATTTACATTGGGAGGGAAAGTGTTTATTTAATTAAAAAACAGTGGCTATGAATTTGTGATAAAAGTAGTTAACAAAAACCAAAAGGGAGTTGTCTTAATGAATGGAATGAACTTGGATTAGAAATTAACCGAACATTTTCTCAGTTTCTTTGCCTTTTTATTTAGTAAATTATATTGATATTATATATATAATTGTAATATTATTTTTTATATATTATCATAATATTTTGCCAACATGTATTTTGTATCCAAATTTATTCAATTCTCTATTAATAATTTTGGCTGCATAAGGCAATCTATAGAAGGGAATCTGTGGAAACAAATGATGTTCTGTTTAAAATTACATTCCTCCCATCAACAAATTAGATAACCAATCTAAGATTTAGTTAAATAGACATTACCAGTCCAATCATAATTTCTAGATGTGATAATTTAATGTTCAATAAAAGGCTTGTCAATTTTATTAAAGAACTTGTATTCTCTTTCATGATTCCCTATCAAAATGCAGGCACTAAAGAATCCTGCAATGTATTATGCAACAACATAAATCCATATTTTTTGTTAGAATACAATTATTTGATGAATTAGTATATAGATGATGTCAATCTTGTTGTATGATGCAAGAAAAGAATCAAATTTCCATCTAAATATTATGAATTTCTTTTATACTTCAAATAAAGGAATCCATATTACCACTTTTGATATTCGTGATTGATATCATCATCTTTACCGATTCTATTTGTGAAGATATGATGGTTATTGTGTTTGAATTACCACCAATCAGCAGAAAAACCATGAATAATTCCATAAGGAATAGATAGTTTATACAACAAAGGATTTCGATTGTGATTGGTTGAATGTCCTTACCATCTAAAGATATATTGTAAATCTTACCCAGCCACTATTTAAGTCAAAGCAATAGTAGGAATTGCTATATACCATTCACTAGTAACCCCCAAATACAAGCCTAGACTCAATCCAATAAAAAGAAGAAGTTCTATTGTCCAATCAGGCTCAAACAGGTTTTTTACTTACTTTTTGATGTGAGTATATTGTTTGCTTTCTTCAGATTCCTTAATATTAGACCTCACAACTTTTTAGGATTTTAATATTTTCAAAGCTCGTTTGGAGTGTAGGCACCTAAAATCTCAATAAATTTAGTTAATTACCTGAAATATTCAGTAAAGTCTTCTTTCTCATCCTTCATCTTTTCAAAAAACGATTTGCCGGCTGGATGTTTGGGAGCATATTCGGTCACATCGTATTCTTTATTTTTGTAAATGAATCTAAAAACCTTTATGATTAATGAATAGCAGATACTTCCTTATTTTCAACAGATTAAACACTTTGGCTACTTGGTTCTGGTAATGGTGCCATTTGATATTCTAACAAATTAATAATATCTTTATTAAATTTGATAAATATTTCACATTAATTTTAGTATAAATACTGCCAATTAAAAATATTATTAAATTATCACCCCTTGATAGATGAAAAATGCCTAATTAATTAAATTCACTAATTATTAAGACATCATTTTTTTTCTATGAATAAAACACATAATTCTTTATTATCTGTAGTTTGAAATTTGTCATTTTTACATTAATTAATTGAGGATTTTTTAATTTTTTTTTATTATTCTATTGATTTACTATTAAATCCTAATTATTATTTTCTATGAATAACTTAAAAGACAAGGAAACCAAAAAAATCGATTTAAATTTTGCTGTGATAGATTATGAGATATCATTTGAGTCTAGTGTCGAAGCAAACAAAGACCCTATGTCTATAATAAAAAAATTACATAAACAAATGTTTTAGGATTAGACCTAGGATGTTGTGGTTGGATATATGAATACATATAACAAGAGTAACCTAATATCAGAATTACCTTATTTATTACAATAAATGGAATACAAGCAAACATATAATTCAACGAGATAATAAGTCTTAGTCATTTTTCACTATATTGGTGGTGCTACAGAAACTGAGCCAATTACATTAATCAAAAAGGCCAGAAATAGGTATGGACAAAACCCAATAGAAGCAAATTAGCCAAAGGATTATTATGTGTCGACTAATATGGATTTGAAATAAGTTAGAAGGAATTATTAAGAAGCAGTCTAATCAGAAGCAGAGCCATTTAGGATTAAGGAAGATATTTAAAATGATGAAGTCAATAAATTATAGTATTTGAGTCATTTAATTTAGTTATCTATGCTTGAAGGAGTGTGAAGCTAAAAATTTAAGGTGTATATTAATCTAAATCAATAAAGTGAATTAGAAACTATTTACAGACCAAAGAGTAGCATCTAGAATATTTTAAATTTTGATCAGATGGTCGGACGTTCAGAATGAATAGACTGAGGAAAGTCAAAAAATAAAGAGCTAATGAACTTTAGTTTGAATAATGAAATATAATAATTAAATTTGCAATAAATAATAATGAAATAGCAATCAATTTCAACTAATACAACTCTGGGTTCTTAATTTTTTAAGGTGTATTTTAAAATTCATTACCACACTCAACCTGGTAAAGCAATATACATAGTTGGAGACAATAAATAGTTTGGAAGTTGGAATCCAATAAAAGGAATGCGCTTATAATGGAATGAAGTAAGAAATACTTAGATATATACGATAAGAATGATGAGTGGACAATCTGCATTAAAGTTGATCGATCTTAATATTAGAAAATTGAATATAAGTTTATAGTGAATAACTTCGATCATCCGACCTTGTAGGATCCGATTTGGGAACCGGGGGAAAATAGAGTTATCACCACTCATATGATTTAAAATGAGACTAAATCAGAATATTTTAATTGTATTTAATAAATAAATTATTAAAGGTGAATATTGGGGCTATAGAACAATCAAATTGAAATTAAATTACAATTTAGCTTAAAAATAAAGAATGATGGTAATTGGCTCTATAGAGTAATTAGGTCAATGGAGTCATCCTGTATTAATGAAATCTTAACAAAAGATAGATATATGTAGTTTTCATTCTTATTTAAAGTGAATGACGAACCAGTTTAGTAATGGTCTATTTCCTTTATTGTGGATCCTATGAATTTTTCATTTAGATACTTTTATGTAATTAGAAATGATGAGAATGGATCCATGATATGGGAGAGAGGTAATGGACGATATCTGAAATCAAGTGATTTAAGATCATTTAGATAAGTTCAAACTGTGTATGCTAAATCTCCTATCAAAATTAAAACTTAGCTATTGGCAGCATGTTAAAATTATAGATTATAAAAATTAAAAAATGGGTCATTCTGTTCTGATAAGCAACTAAAGATTAACAAAGAAACTAGCATAGGTTATTCTTTCTCAGATAAGGAACCTTCTTTCTTTTATTATGAGTCTTTTGGAAGACTTAATAAATTGGATTGGAATTTTGTAGTCTAATTTGCTATCACACAGATCAATGAAAATATTATTATTGGGCCTTATCCTCAGAATGAATAGGATATACTAGTGTTAAAATCTCAAGGAATTAAGGCTGTCTTAAATCTACAGACAAGATTAGATATTTATCATAGAGGAGTAGATTGGGATGAAATACAAAATAGCTATAAAAAAAATGATATTATTATGAGGAATTTTGAAATATTTGATATGGATCCAATAGATTTTGAAAGAAAAGCATTCAAAGCTGTGTAGTTACTGAAAAAATTAATCAACAACTATGAATTTGTTTACGTACATTGTACATCAGGAATTGGAAGAGCTCCCTCCCTTGTGGTATTATATTTATCAACAGTATTATAAATTCCATTGAATGAAGCAATTTCATTTGTTAAAAGTAAACGAGAGCACTTCTATATCAATCTTAGTAATAAAATATTCACTTATCATAGATATGTTGAAAAAATCATTATAAAAAACTGAAATGTTTAACAATGGTGAAGGATATGAAGAAATCTCAGTATTCAATTAATATTAAATTGGAAGCCAACAAAAAATTTATGAATAGAAATTTGATTATAATTTACTTTATTGAAGGAGTTGTTTAAAGTAAATGATTTTATATTTTGCATGATTAGATTATAAATCTAGTTTATGGTTATAAAAAAATTAATGTTTTTGATATAAAATAATAATCAAAAATATTCAAAGTTTTAAATTATATTTGATTTTCTAATCTCTTACATTTTGTTAAATTAATATTCATGGATATGAAAAAAATCACGGTTGTTAAATAATGAAGCATTTATTTGGATATGCAAAAATATTAACATTTAATTGTATTAGAGTATAAATTAAAATTATTGAGCATAGCCTCATTATGAATATTTGTAAATATAATAAGCTATTGTTTTTTTTAAAGAAGGTTTTAAATCTCAATATAACTAAAACAAAGCATCTTAACTAATATTTCTATATATTGAACCCAGTTTTCCATTAAGGTTTAAACTAAAAATAGCTTTATAGCCTTTCCTAAAAATTTATTTAAAGGAAGGGATAATAAATAGTGAGAAACTTTGTTGAAAATTTTTTAATATAATATATATTATTTGTTTGTATAAATACAGTAATTATTTAAAGATATAAATTTAAATTTTTGATTGAATGACCTTCACACTTGGAAATCCAAAAATAAAAATAGAGTAAATTGGGAGATGTTTCAAATAACCAGTAATCTAATGATGTGCATTTAAAATAAATAGTTCAAATAAATTTTTTAACAAAAGCTATAATATCATTAAAATGATTAAATATATAATATAAGCAGGTTTAATAAATTTCAATCTAAGACTCTTGTCCAAAAAAATTTCATAATAACTGAAAAATATCCAAAATGAATAATATTTTTTTTAATTTTAAATTTGTACCCTTTACTTAACATGAACCTTTTTCAATTTGGTTTCTAATTATTCCATCCTAATTTTAGTAAATTTTTTTTAGTTTATTTGATAACTAACAATTCCGATTAATCTTCAAATGCTTTAAATTCTTTGTATCTCTTAGTACTTGATATCATCTTTTAGGGATTCAAGATATTATATTAACATTCAGATTAAGTTTTAGATCAAACTTAAAATTAAAATTTATTAATTTATTTCATGACAGCATCTCTCAGACCTGAAAATTATATTTCTAAGCCCTTCTTTCCTACATTCTTCACAGTCAACATTTCTTTGAATATAAGTTTTTTAATAAAAAAATCAAAATATTAATCAGAATGATATTGACATGTATATTAATCTTTTTTTTATATTTTTCCAATGTAAATTTATTGTCATATAAAACTTATTAATATTTTTTAGTTTAAATATAGATTATTTCAAAGACTTATATATTTTTGATTATATTTTGTGAAAAATCGTCATTTAAATTAGACCTAACAAAGAGCCAAAGTGCAAAATTTATATCTGATTAAAACTTTATCATTTCGCTGGATAATAACAATAATTAATAATTAAAATATGTAAAACCCAAAGTAATTCCCTTGCAAAATAGGAGATCAAAACTTTACAATAGAATTATCTACATCTTCTTTAGATCTAATTAATTAGGAGTAAAGAATATCCTTTAAACTTTCACTAAAACTTATTATCACTTGGGCATTTTATGGAGATAAAATAATCGGATTTAAAGTTGAAAATCTCGAGGTTGAAGGCACTACAGAAGATATGTCGAAGTTAAAAATGTCTTTGGGTTGTCTTGCAACATTTAAAGGAATTTTAAAATTTTATACTTTTCAATAAACTATTTACCTAAACTAGAACAATACCACCAAAGTATTATGCAATTTGAATTAGGTCTGTTAACTTATAAGTAATCGCAATTTTAGACTCTATGCTTGTAAGTGCTATAAGAAATGCAATCGTTCAATTGAGTCCATTCATGAAGAAATAAATTTAATACTAAAGCTGTAAGGACATAAGTTTATTCCAATGATTTATGAAGTGTACGAATCAAATTCCTGTGTATATTTGATAATGGAACATTTGTATAGGAATTTTGACAATGACTTTACTGATGAAGAGATTAAAATCGTTGTATATGTATATTTCATAATTTACAAAAGAATTTGCTGTTATCAATCAAAAGACTAGAAAAACTACTAATAGCCCATAAAAGTATTTCAAGGTCTCACATTATGTTTGATGAGGACAATTAATTAAAACTTATTGGATTTAGTAATGCAGTTATTCAAAAAACAACAAATCATGAATTTGAGCTGGACATTTTTAAAGTGGGTACTCTAATGTATAAATTGTATTTATTATTATGTAAAATTAGCTACAAAAGAAGTATGTAAGGAGATTAAGACTAATTTCCTGAAATTCCAGATTTTGGAAGTGATCTTATGAAAAATCTCCTTGAAAATCAATCTTACTATAGATTTAATATAGATGCAGCTTTATAACATCGATATTTTAATTCTTTAAGCGGAGATGGTATTCATAAAGGTATTTATTGGATAATATTAAGAAATTTATTAAATGAATCCCAAATTTAAGGATAAAATCGAAGAATCATAGTCTTATTAAACCAAAATTTTCGATAACACTCTATTATCTTTAACAAAATAATAATATTTTTAAGTAGATATGTCAACAGAACTCTAAAACTGATTTTATATTTTTTTTAAGTTTATTTAAAAATTAAATTTAGATATTGATCTTCCAATACAAATGCAATTTGAAGGTAATCCGATATTTGTTAACATATAAATTGAAATTTTTAACAATTCTGATATTTATAGGATGACACTTTTATTGTTTCAATTTTTCATCATTTACAATATTGTATAAAAATATATTTATCGCATTTATTGCATACATAAATTATAAGATAATTACATTTCAACATTTATGATATTTAATTGTTCATTTATTGTACATTAGATATCAACTGTGTCTTGATTAAACAATATTTTTAAGATTAAACTAAATTCAGAACATAATAATAATTTAATTAATTGTTGCCAAATTGAATAAAAGAACAAAAATTATCGATTACAAAATTTTTGGTAAATTACTGAACAAAGGGTAACAGTTGAATTATATATTATTATAAATCAATTAAAGATATAGATTATTATGATCATCAAGGTATAAAACACGTTTTTTAAATTCTTATGAAAATGGTAATTTATTGATAATTTATTTTTAGAATAACATTATACACAATCTGTCTACTTATAATTCATAATAACCTTTTTTTTAATAGTTTATAAATATTTAGTAACTAAAGAAAAATTATTATAATCGTACAAATTTTAATCTCTATTTCCTTAAAAATCGATAAATTTTAAAAAATGCCAATAATATTTTAGTATTCATAAATATTAACTTATTCCATGTTCATTGAAAGATTATATGGAATGGATAGCGTAAGAATTATCAAATTAGCTGCTAATATATTTTACTCATTAGGAACTTCATAATTTCTAATACTGCAACAATATTTGAGAATAATTTATAGCATCTATAAATAGATAATACAAATAATTTATATTGATTGTTCAATTTGAAATGGTTTTCAATTAGATGCACTTCATGAGAAAAATAATATATTTTTTTTAATAAGTTAAATGTAAAAACAAACATTCAGACCTGCTGAATTTCATTTTATAAAAACATATTTCTTTTCTTTAAGGGAAATGATATTTAATCAATTATAATTTCTATAATTGATTATTAAATATGTTAAATTCATTTACTATGAAAAATAAGAAATTTAATATTAGATAAAATTTATTAATATCATAATCTAAATCCAGATTAATAACTCCCATTTGTTTACGATTGCTTAATATATTGTGAATCGCCCTATTTTAATAACAACCCTTTTGGAATAAATTCTCCTACTTATTATAAGTGTTCTTGTAAAATTTTATTCTTCTCCTCCTCTATTACCTATTATTTATAGACTTCTTCTCTTCTTTATCTTTCCAATTAGTCCATCTCTTTCTATTTTTCCATTTAAAATAATTGTAATCTTTGTTGCCATAATCTCTCAACTTCTTTTTTATGCTCCATTTCTTTCATTCTTCTTTTCTATTGTCCCAATTATTCTAGTTTATCATCCTCAGCAAATTTTCTCATCATTTGATCTCTAAAATCTCTTTCCAATTATTATTCTTCTTCTTTCTGCCTTTACTTTCTTATTCTTGCTTCTTATTCAGCTTATTGCATTTCTCTTTTCTAAAATTCTCTTTTATTTGCTTCATCAATATCTTTTTATCTCATCTAAGCATCATATTATTCTTAATAAAGCTAGAATCTTAATTCTGTTAACAATTCTGCCTCTTACTTTCTTCTCTCTTCCTCTTCCTTCAATTTTTAGAAGATTTTATCTCTACACTATATCCAAAAGAATACTTAGCTGCATTTTCTTCTTGTTTCTTTACTTTTATTTCATAAGCCTGTCTATCTTTTTCTTTAATGAAATCTAAGTATTTTTAATTTTCATCCCTTTCTCTTTGTTTCATTCTTTGGATAAGTTCTGCTTTTTCCCTTAACGCTACCTGCATATCAGAAAAGGCTATTTTCTTTTTTTTAGCAGAATCTTCCAAAAATTTTCTATCTTCTTCGATTAATTAATGAATCACTCTATTCACTTAATCCTTCTCATAAAGATACTATTCTTTTGCTTCATCTCTTTATTATTCATGTTCTTTCATCTACTTTTATAAAGTCTGAAATTTATTATATATAATATTTTACATATTTTCCCTCTAACCTTTAACTCAAACGGTATTTTTCTTTAGCTCTTTCTTCCTCTTATTCTCTTTTTAGTTTTTCAAGAATTGCTGCTTCTATTTCACTCTCTTATTTCTATCATATAAAATATAACTGTCTGAAAATACCAAGTCTTAAATTCTTCTTAATTGTTATTCTGCTAATTATTGAGTTCTCTCTTTGGTGACATATGCTGTTTGTACTTTTTATTTTAATAATTTGATTTCTTCACTTTCAGCACATATTCTTTCAATTTCTCTTCTTCTTTTTTCTTCCTCCACTTTTCTCTTTTATAGTTCTCTAGCAAGCTAATCTTCAAGACCATATGGGTCAGAAATTGGATTTCTATTCTGATTGTGAATCATGATAAAATAATTAATTATAATAATTCATTTTAATACACCAGCTTAGATTAATGGGAGTAAATTTGCATTAGGTAAACTTTAGTTTCTATGTTTATTGGGTCTTACCTTTCTCTTATTTGGCGAAGCTTCCTCAACGATGGGCAATCTATTGTTCTCCAATGATATTTTCGATTGATGTTGGGTAATCACCTCCAAAACACTCACTTCCTCTTAACTTTGATGTCTATTCGGTCTGACCTTCATAATTGGCTTCCTTATTTACTTGTTGCCTATCGAAATATATTCTATACTTTGTTGTATTATTCTAATATCAATAATACTTCTGGTTAAGCTTTGCGATTATTATGTATATGGTCTTTTTTATCAATAGACTTTTAACTAGTTACATCTTCATAACTTCCATTAACACTCATTAAAGACCTTGGATTCGGACTTGCTTGTTGAGAATGCAAAGATTTTATCTATTTTCTATTGACACCCTCATAACAAGGTTTTGGAAGCATGGATGTAAAATAATGGTAATTCTTAGGAAACTTAATGGTTGACAACAATGTATTAGGTTCATTATCTGTTTATTCTTGTTTTGGTAGTTCTTCCTATCTTTTCAAAAGAGATGGAAATTATAATAATTTGTCGCAATTTGGTCTCAAATGGGGTTGCACTTACAACATTGACCTTATTGCATTGCTGAGATCTTGAGAATAATTTTGCGAAATTCTCGGATAATACCCTCTAATAACTCTCTTATATAATCCTTCCATATCCTCCGCCTGAAATGGGGGTTTTAAAGCTGCCATCTCATACACAACGCAACCTAAACTCCAGATGTCTGATTTCTGATCGTAAGGCTGGTCTTTCCATACTTCAGGACTCGCATAAAACGGTGTTCCTGTTTGTGTGTAAAGAAGTCCCTTCTTGGCAACTTTAGAAACATTCATATCCCCCAATTTTACATCCCCATTCTAGTATAAAAATACATTTGCACTCTGTATAGATATTGTATGTTATACCTTTAGATCTCTGTGTAAAATTTTTAATTCATGTAATGCTTTCAATCCCCTCACTATCTAAATAAAAATGTTCCAAATTATTTGTTCCTCCATCAATTTCCCAGTTTTCTTAGAGTTTACAATTTTCTAGTACAAATCACTACCGTCTGCAAATTCCATTACAATACTAACCGCAAAATTTATAGTTTTTACCATAATGAATTGCTTTGAATATCAATAAAAGCTTCTTTATAACTGATAATATTCGGGTGTTTTACAGAGGCCAATATACGAACCTCGTTCATTGCATTTTATTTTTCCTTGTCATTCAAGTTCTATAATTTCACTTTCTTCAAAGCGTATTCTTATGAATCCTCCAATCTTTTCACCTTATATACAGACGAATAAGCCCCCTCACCTAATAATACCCATTATATTGGTCTTACCTAATTTGGACAGCAGTTAAAAATCTTTCAAAGACATTGCTATTTATATATGTTATAATTATTGTTAAAATATTAATAATTGTATATATATTTAAGAAATTTTTATGCTTTGATTTATCATCCTCCAACCCATCTCACCTTAACTTTGAATGTCTAAAATTCTTTGGTCAACTGCAACATTTTCAATGTTAATGGAAGTTTACCTCCACCTAGTGGTGTTTCACCAACAAAAAGATCAACTGAAGCTGCATCTCTACACATAAGAATGACTTTTACTTAGAAATTCCTAAATATTGGTAAACTGCATCCTATATTTATAATAGGGTGTTATTAGTAGTTGTAATTGTTGAGAATTGTCGTACAATTTATCCATCCTAAATCTCGAAGTGGATTGTTATTTATTTATCTGGAATTTAAACTACTTATTAAGAAGGATTTCCTTAAGGATTATTGACTTATGATTATCCAATTTGACCTTATTAATTTTATTATTATGATTATGGTTATTATTAATATGTTTATAGGTGTTGTTATTGCTATTAATAGGCCATATTAGTTTATTGAAAATTGTTTTATTGATTTTATTGTTGATATTGAAATTGATTTTATTGCTGATTTTATGGTGGATTATATTGGGTTTATCCTCCTAGGTTTTATCCCTAAAAATGGCTTTAATTAATCATATTAGGCCTAATTTAAGACTTTAGAGATACTATTAAACAGGTCTTTGATTATAGTTATTTTGCTAGTTAGTTTGAAATTGATTGACTTGGCTTATCATTTTCCAATCCATTTAGGTTAGGTATTGCAGTCCTAAATATTTAAGAGTAGTTTATGGATTCATCAATGATAAGTTCGTTACGCCATGGTAAAGATGATAATTGCTAAGCATTATAATTTAAAATATACCGTGGATCCACACCTAAACTTTGCTAACTAGCTTCGATCAAATCCTGAATTGTTATACTATCATATACTTATATCTAGATTTACTATTGTCCATTTTTTACAATCAGATTGCTAATAAGGTTAAATAATAATAATACAATTGTTGTGATTATTGAGTATTGTGTACATATTATTATTATTATTATTATTAGGGTAGTGTTGTAAATACTTAAGGTTAATTTTTTGCTTGAGAATTGGTCTAATCAATTTGATTTCTTTGTTACGGTCGATTCTAGTTTCCAGATGGGTATTCTTGAAAACTATTTGAATTTGCGAATTGCTATTTTCTTTAGATATAGAGTTTAGCCTTCTTCTATCCTCCTAAGACTTGTTGAAGAGTGTTGTTTGAAGGATTAATTACTTGACCTGTGCCTCCGACTTGAATTTAGATACAATTCATTTCTACTCCAGTTAATTTGCTAAAAACTAATTAGAATATTCTACTATGGATGTTATGTTTGAATGAATTCGATTAGTTCATTCAAACTCACTGTATCATCTATGGACAAAGTAGTTTTGCAGTTAGCATCAAAAATTTCGATTTCTAGTTCAATTTCCATCTATTTCTATTATTTTTTAAAAAAAATTAAAATATATTAAATCTTGATTGCGAATTCTCAGGACTTATCAGAGGGAAATATATTGAATGTTGAGATTATGAAAAATGGAGCCTTAGTTATTTGAATATAAATAATTGATATGCTTTAAAATAAATATCAGAATTTATTAATGATGAGTTCTAAGACTTTATCAATTTGAGGTTCTGAATATTTCCAACAATCATCCCAAAACACTTCAACATAACCTAACTTCGTTTTCAACTCAAAGGAGGCCATCTGCCCTATACAGAGATTAACTTTCCTGTTGGGTTGTGTCTCAATTGATTAATCCTAATCCACTTATTTCTCCTTTCCTACTAGACTGTTCAATCTTGATGATGTATGTTTGGTGAAAATGAAATGCATAGTCATAGAGCATTTCATTTGTACCATCGTAACGTAATCTCTTTTTATCATGTCAATGAGAGATTGCTTATCATTTTCAGCTAACAAATAATCACTCCTTTTAAAAACGATCTTGTATTTATCATCAGAAACCTCACTTGCTAAATACCTCTTATGATAGATTCCATTGTCTATGGTTATCCAGCCAATGATATTTTAATCTATCAATCTGTTTAACACAGATTATTGAGACCATTAATCATCGAGTAACGGATACTTCAATTTTAATCTATTCAATTTAAAAACCAGAGTGTAATGATTCTCATCAATATTATATGAATGCAACCCTATTATGACTGGTAAGAAGATTCCCAAACCACACATGAATTCCTACTCATACCTTAACCATAATTATTACAAACCTCCACCTTTAGTTAATTGTCTCTTCTATTCCTTGGTAATAAACTCAACTGAAATTAGATTATCATGAGATAAGAAGAAAGTCCCTTCACAGTTTATTCCTTATTGTTATTTTATACATTCAATATTCTTCTCTACATCTAACGACATTTTTATTTCTTTGAGTGTAATTCCAAAATACTCTCTCACTTTTTAATTAAGAACATCCTAACCAAAAGTTGTAATCAGAAGATTGCTATTGTTACTTATTTGAATTGATTTCTATAGCATCTTATTGAATTGAAAATGAGTCATCTCGCTATTTTATAAGTTTTAGCCATCTTCAAACATCTCATAACTTGCAAAAAGGAATAATCTCAATTAATTATGACCGACATGTTGAATGCCTTTTAATAATTACTAAGGATCTTCGTATACGGTTTCTTAAGGCAATAATTACAGTGGCTAAAAGGATTCCAAAGATAATGAAATTGTATTGTTCTTTTTTTATCTGTAGACTTTGATTTCTATACTATTTATATCTTGGCCTTTGGTCTCTATTTGAATGTTTTCGTAAGACTTCTGGATTGTATCTTACCTCTCCTCATTATTTGTATCCAAGAGTCTCTATTACAAAACCAACTTTTTTGGACGAAATAAATATCTCACGTGTCTATGGATTATTGGTTCATGCAATCGGATTATGATCATCATTAATGTGGCTATCACTTAAATGAATTGACAAATAATTCTTAATCTTTCCTCATTCTGAAAGTAATTTAGAACCACAGGCTATCAATATGATAATCATTTATACTATCAACAATCTGGTAAATATATATAGCAATCCATAAGTAACATTTATTTTAATGTAAGTTTGTAGGTATTTCTTAATGAACTTATCAATTACGGTCTTGTATATTTCTGTTTATAATATTTCTGGAGGATACTTCAACAACTTCATTAACATCGTTGATAAAATTATCATCACAATACCCCTTAGGTATACTAAGAATGTTGCAAATACATTGTGTGATTTTAAGTTACAATCTCCTAAAATACTAGTCAATGTATTATTAATACCTTACACCTAAATCATCAAAAACCACTACAAGTATCAAAGAAATCAATGCTGCTGCAAATATTCCGATTTTAATCTCCCTTGATATATCGAAATCATTGTAATTCTTAGCATAAATCTAACAATAGAGGTTCACTATCAATAATATGTTCAATAAATTATAGACAAGTGAGGCTATCAAAGAAGGAATGGCAATCATTTAACATGTCCTCTCATTAATAGACAACATATATTCCTATTAATCTAATGAGTCATCAACTTAATAAAACTGGCTAAACATAAGAAAGAGACTCATTATCTAAATAACATAATCAAATCTACAGATTGAGAGATAAGAATTCCCAAGATAATCTGACCAGGGTTATGTCGTAATCTCCTGATCTTTCTTTGCACATGTATTAGGATCAAAGTTAGCACAAAAATAACTCCATACAAGGATGTAAGCATAATATTTCTGAACATTGTTTTTGTTTTAATAATCTATATATTCAAATCATATTATTCATAATTTTTTGAATCCTTATTCTACTCAGAATATTAACATAAATTCACTCCTTTAAACAATACTCGTATCCAAAAATATGTTTCACACTGCCATAATTTAATTTTAGGACTCAAATACTTATTTCCCTACCATCACCTAATGTTATCCTAAAACTTGATTTTATAATAAAGTCTCAATTTTTAATTATAAAAGAAATTTTTACTTTGTACATAATCCTTACCTTAAGAAAATTAAACCTAATCTGAATATTAATAAATAATGAATATAAAGTTTGTTTACTAACAAAGGACTCATAAGATTTCCTCGAAATATCAAACATTAGCGGAAGTAAGAACTGCCATATCAAACATCTATCCAAATGAACTTTCCGAAGGGTTCTCCCTATATGTAACCTTGGATTAAAGTAAACTCTTTAAATTCAGAATAGCCCAATCTCCCTATGAAATTCAGGATGAATAGTTCTTCAAAAGGATTAAGGACTTATATGGATACCTAGGATGGCAATCAATTAAGTTTCTCGTCAAAGATGCAAATTGCCCCAATTTGACTCAAGATGAGATCAACACACTCAATCAAAGTGTAGTGGTAAAATCGAATGTGTAATTGAAATAATTTGATGATATCTTATTGACGAAGAAGGTTGCAGATAAGTCCCAACCTTAAAAATAGGAGATTAAAGAAAGTAATCCCTCACATAAACCTTAATAAACTAAAGAGGTAGATGGATTTACACAGGAGTAAAAGATATTTAATAATCATCAGGGTGATTTAGCAGATAAATATGTTATCATTACAAGACGTAGATTGCAATAGCGAGGAATTCAAAAAATTTGTTTTCGAACTAATTGATGAGCGATTAGTGTTTCATGGAATCCTTTAAAATAATTAATAGCAATAACTTAAGGAGGAATAGCCAATAAATCCTATATATAAAATGCAGGTTTTGTAAAAATAGAATAATCAAATTCATATGGAGATAGGGAAACCTTATAAATGGGAAATACAGTTGAAAAATGATGGCAATGTTGTTTGGAAAAAAGGATTAGTAAAGTTAATTGGCATAGCTGGAACATTTAAAGATATAAAAATAGAAGTATATATGTAAATCATGAACTTTTAGTTATAAAACGATGTTAAACCCTAGGATACAGGATTGTTTTCATGTGTGTTGAATCCACCAAACTAAAAGGTCAATAATGCCATCAATGAATTTAAAGTAATTGAAAACAAAGATATATTATAGTTGGCCCATTTTTCAAGTAACAAACCAGAATTTTTTGGCCAAAAGGTGTGTTTCTGTTTGTTTGTGAATAATTAGATTGAGAAAATTGATAGACCATCAACAATAACCTAAAAAGATGCTCAATTTGATAGTAAGATATAATATAAAATTTAAGCTACCATAAAGGATTAACAACTAAAAACGATTTAGACTTTAGTATCTATCCTGAGTATCTCTTATTCTGATGCGTAACACTTTGTACAATAAAACTAAAACCTAGATGTACAATAACTAATTAATGCCTACTTGGCAAAAAAGAATTGATTTATTAGTTTATATAAGCTAACATTTCACTCTTGGTAATTATTTTTTGGTTTAATCAGTGAGACTTGGGATGAATAAATTAAATTCTTACTATATTATATTTTATAAAAATGGACCCAGGTGGTTCTACATTTGATTTAACAGCTCCAGCCTAGTTTTTATAACCTAAAATTAATGTTAGCAAACAGGCTGAGTAACCGATCAACAAGCCTTAAAAGGATGTATGGAATGTATATATATAAAGCAGTTACAACAAAAAACACAAGCTTCAAATTCAAAACTACCTTAATTAAACAGCATTTAGAATGTGGCGAAAGGTTCAAACTAAAAGTAGACTTAGCAAGTGCAATAATCATCTCCGAAGCCAATCTAGAAGGCTAAAAAGATAGATTTGTTTCGAGATGCATTGTCATAGGCAACAACAAAATATTTACGTATCTTGTATTTTGACCATAGCTCCTGGGAAAAAGGAGAAGGATAAAACGCAAAAACCTAAACCACAATAAGAATTGCAATAGCAATAGATAGAGGAGATCAAGAAGGAATATGAGGATTTGGTGCAAAATCATTATAAGGACTTATACGGGCATGTTGCGAATGATCAGTAAAAGAGTTTGCAGGATCTACATAATAAGCGAATAGTTACTGCGTTGTAGGATTTGGAATCCAGACCAAAAGTTTAGAATGCTCTTGAGAAAAAGGAGGAACAAATCAATAAGCAAAGGTTGTATAAGGATAGACTACTGTATGAAATCAAGTAGATGATCATAAAGAGCCGAAGACTGGATGAATTATTGAATGATTTGGTGTTGTAAAATGAGGATACGGTTAAGGAGACAATAGAGGAGTTGTTGGAGAAGGAATAAGTGTAGGAAGAGAAGATGGCGAAATAAACTTATGAAATCGCTAAGTTGAGAGACATGTATTTAAAAAGAAGTATTTTCAATTTGATAACGAAGGGAAACTATTATTGGAAGTGTAAAAATAATGTCAAATAACCTATGATGGATTAAAAATCAAATATTAATAATATGAAGCATCTTCTCAGAGTATGATGAGTAGGAAGAAGCAATTGGAATCGTTATCAAAGATAGTTGCAAAGTATCGAAGTGAATTTTAGAGTTAACAGAACTTCTTTGGAGCCAGTCTAAGAGGGAGATTTGATCCTATGTTGGAGGAGATATTGGAGGATGAACTATCCAAGTGTGGTGATGAATAGGCCTTGGAGATCGTTTAGTAAGGGGAAAAGAAAATTATAGCCATCAAGGAAGATAATGAGAAGAGGAAGAGGGGGGAACAGAAAGATAAAGCCAAATTGGCAATTGAGAATGCGACTTAAAATATTAATAAGCAAAAATAGGATATACAATAGGAATTGGAGAAAAAAGTACTTTTGTTAATATTCTAATTAGAAATAAATGTTCTAAAAATTAAGAGTAGTTACTAGTATTTCAAATTAAGAGATCATGAAGAAATATAAATTAAATATGGATTTAGATTAACAGGAATTAAAAAACATTCAAGAATATGTTGGCAAAGAAATTGAAAGATACGAAAGATAAAATGAAGAATTAAGGGCAGAAATCAAAAAATTGAAATATGAGTAGGAGAATTCAATATTAGATGCTCAAATAAATTTGGATCAATTGGAAAGAGATGTGACTAAATAATAGGATTGTTTGTCAGAAAAAGAGAAATAAGTCAAAAAAGTTGAAAAATCGATAGACGAAGTGACTATGTCCTTATCTAGGATTATGTATCAATTAAGTGGTAAAGGAATGAAGGCAAAAAATATCGAAATTAAAAGGTCTGCTTTAGTAGCAACAGCCTCAACTATTTAATTACGTTTGGAAAGAATGCTAACAGTGTTGTCAAAAACACAAGAATTTTTAAATGAAGAATCTATTAACACGAATCCAAGATACAATAAGGTTGAAGATTTTATTTGTTTGAATCCAAAGGTAGTATAAATTAATCAATTTAGAGTTACATATCTTAAGAAATTAATGAGTAAGTTGAGGGTAACATAAAGTTTGTGTATAAGGAAGAGGAGAGCTCTGATGAAGATTGCAAAGATATGGATGAAGTTAGATAATAAGTAAAATCGAAAGCTTAAGAAGATAAACCGTAAGTAGTTGTAGTACAAAAGAAAGATAAAAAACCTAAGTGATGTTATTTTCTTTTCATTATCAATATATCTATTAAGATTAAAGCATTTAGCCAACTGTTTCGAAGGTTAAATTATGATCTAATACAAAAGAAAATTCCATTATTTCAAAGTAGGTGTAATTTGACAGAATAATAAATTACTTCATAGAAGACTTTATTACTACACCTGCATAGTCTTAGAGGCAATGCTGAAATGAAGGATTCTTCCATTAAATCACATATTGTTATTTAAAAATGATATAATGAACTAAGTTGATGTCTAATCGTATATATAAAATAGTAATCAAAAATTATATAAAAAGAAGGATTCACTTTAATCCAAATGTTCTTCCCATCTTGAAATTGAATTTTTAGTTATCTTTAACTTTTCATCATTTTATTTAGAAATTGTTCCATTAATTAGGTGATGTTTCTCATTTCCTATGATTCTCCTACTTCTCATAGTTTTGTATGGAGTTGATTTGTTGAAGCTGAGATTCAATTTTGTAGCCTGAATTCTTAAAGGAGTGCAGCATTGAAAAGGACCTTTCCTTTTCTTTTTCTCCGTTCTCTATTTCTCTAAGTAAGAATTGAAAAATGATATCTATTCATCCAATCGAGATATGTCTTTCAAAATGGTCTCTGATTTAGCAATTGGGAGGGGACTAAAGTTTAGTAGTCTTTTTTATGATCGACTTGTAATCATATAAAAATTAATTTAATATACTTGAATAAAATCCAAAATATAAATAACAGATCCGATTCTCTTTATTGTGGACATTTACTTGAGATATTCACAAATAATAGAGATAGACCTAAGTATTTTGATTGGATAATATTAATCGTTGCTTTTAAGTGTATTTAATAATCAATATATTAATTAACAATATAATCAATTGAATCTATGTCAACCAAGAGACAAAACTAAAAAGAGAAGTAAAAGATTATGCAACCATTATAAGAGCATAATGATAGTACAATTATTTAAATTGATAGTGGTAGCTGAACCTAAAATACTTTCATGTGAAGGTACTTTTCAAAGTCATTTTAGTTGGAGACAATCAGAAACAATTTCATATTGATAACTTGAGGGACTCTAATGAATATCTGAATTCAGATGTAACCTTTCATTAATATTGCAAGAAAGAACTCAATTTAGACTAATTAGAACAATTTCCTTAAAACTCAAGCAACAACCTGATCGATAACCATTATCCACAAAAAATGATGGATTCAACTCAGCAATAAGATTGTAAAAAGATATAAAAGTAGAATGCTTCAACCAAACAAACGAATGATTCTCAATAATTACAAGAGATCCAAAATCCTAACTAATTGGATAGAAAAAGCCTATAAAAGTAATCTAAAGAGACCAAACCATAAAGTACATTAAATGAGGAAATCAAAACTTTTGAAGAAAGAATTGTGAAATATACATCCGAAGTCAATCAAGAAATTAAGTTGAGTCCTAAGCTCTCAGATGAATGGAAGAAGAAGTTTACCTTCATCAAAAAAAAGAAATGATTTCAATATAAGTGAATAGATTATAAAATTCACACTCCCTCTAAATCCTATTAAAGCAATTTTGTATAATAACAGGTAGATGTACATGCCCTTGTTTTCCCTATTTTCCCTTAATTGTAAATTTAACGATAATCAGAAAGTCCGTCACCATAGGGATGATGACAAAGGTACTCAAAAAAGAAAAAAGATCTTAAAAATCATGCTAAATCCATTATTTAGTAACCTTTCTCATATTATCAAAACATGAATCAATTATTATTATTCCTATTTTTATTTGAAGCAATCTTTCTTTTATAAAATAACTCAATGTGAACTTAATTCCTTAGCAATTTATAGTAATTCTAGTTATTTTGAAATTATAGATTATTTAAGAAAAATATGATTTATCATTTCTTTAAATATTGTCTGTTTCTATGCACCAATTTATAAGAAATTATTGGAAACGTTCTAAGCATTTTTATCTTCAAATCATTTGGTATGTAAAAGGATAATCAAATTTATAAGAAATAAAAGAATAAATCAAAAAGAGCAAATTATTCAATACAAATAGACTGATAATAAAGTGATATTGTGAATTATTTCAAATAATAATGATAAATTATCATATAAACAAGAGAAGAATGATAAAGAACGAGAACACAATGCCTATAATCATTTTTATATTATGCAATTTTAGAACTTGTATTATTAATATGTAAGTTTAATAGGAGAGTTTATTATTCATTGACTAAGATAATTTTTATTATTTGGACATTAATAACTCGAATTTCAATAGGTTATGTTATAATTGATTTAACGATGCCCAAAAATATCATTCATCTAATTTTCTTATTAATTATTATTCTATTCAAAACCCATATTTTTCTTTTCTTTCATAGTTGAAATTTAATCATACTTACATTTTAGGAATAACTTAATGTATATTTTCACTATATCTTAACAAAATTTGAAACCCAATACCAGTCTTTTGTTTTTAATGAACAACATAAGTGGTTATCAAAATTGAATGTGCATTTCATGATTTGTAATAGAGTTCTCCTGAATATATATTCCCCAATTATCCATCTTTTTTAAGAGAGAATTTCACTTGTAAATGATCATTTATTTTTAAACATTAATTTTAGTGAGCCTCTGTAAACGAGTTCTTATTCAACTGATTTTGATTCATTTAATAGAGACAATTTATTGTATTAGGCTTTTATTATATTGAGAATTAATAAAATATAATAAATAGTAAAAAAGATAACTGAAAGATGGCTACAGCACTAGTTTCAGCAGGATAATCAATAAGTAAAATGCTTTCATTTAAAGGTTTAGTTGGAACTTATGTACAACAAGATATAGAGACAAGATTACAATAAGAAGTGTACAAAAAGTAAATAAGAGTGAGGGAATTCTTCACAGATTTCGATCGTCTCCGAAAAGGATGGGTGACAGAAGATAAGGTATTACTCTATCAATAACAATTAGTTTCGATCTGCCTTGTCAATGATCAATTTCCACTTTACAAGGGATGAGATTGAGGAAATAATAAGAAGATATAAACTCAATGATGGTTTAGTATAGTACACAACATTCTGCAACAAGCTTGAAGAGCAATTCTTAAATAGTGAAGCCAAAGCTTAGGTGTTTTAGGCACCCCAAGTATGAATAATAGACTAATTGTAGATTTTCAATAAGGACGAGGAAGACACAGTAAGGAGATTGATGTTGGCAATAAAAAGGAAAATAGCAACCAAACGAATATTCTTGAAACAGCCTTTTCAGGATTTTGATAGAACTGCCTGTTCCCACATCACCATTGATCAATTTTCAAGAGTGCTCAATTAATTAGGATTACTACCTAAGGATTAATATTTGTAATTGCTTATAAGATAATACATTGATAATGGAAATCCAAAGGAAGTGAATTATGTTAAATTTTGTGATGATGTTGATAATGTCTAAGAAATGTTGAGCGGCGTAATCACTGGTATAAAGCATAATCCAAAGGAGGTATTATTTATTCAATACATAGGTTCATCCTGATGATGATTTCATAGAAGACAAAGAAGGACTTGATTTGATTTCTACTTTGTTTACTTCCAAGAAATTAACTGATAACATCAACACCTTGGAATAGGTATTAAAAAAGATTTAAGGAGATGTAGTTATGAAGAGAATCAGAATTAGAGAGTTCTATAAGGACTTCGATCCCTTGAGAAAAGGATTAGTTACTGAATCTCAAGTATGCTATGATTATTGATGTTAGTTTGCTAGAATATTGCATCTTCAAAACATTCCTGTTACTGAGAAGGAAATATCCATTCTATTGAATCACTATAAAATCGACAGCATTCCCAATGGTCAGGTAGATTACAATCAATTCTGCGAAGATGTCGATAAGATTTTCACTATTAAGGGAATCGATAAGTCTCCTTAGGCTTAAGTTCCTTAGATTGATGATTCAACTACATTACCAGCTAGAAGAAGATATTTATAAATGACAGAATAAGAAGCCATTTAATTGGATGAACTATTGATGAAGTATAAACAAGCCATTCAAAACAAAAGAGTTCTCTTGAAACCAGTCTTCGAAGATTTTGATAAGACTAAATAAGGATATATCACAACTAATCAATTCTTAAGAATTCTTAATTAATTCAACTTATTCCCAGACCCTGTTTCATTAAATTTACTATTAAAAAGATTTGTTGATAAAGCCAATTTGAATGAAGTCAATTACTATGATTTCTGTAGAATAGTTGATTAGTCTGATGAAGGTGTTGCTATAAGTAGATCTCATGCAGATGCATTCAAAAACTATGTTAAGTCAGATAATGTGAGTTAGGCATTCATCAGAAATGATTAACCAAATGATTTTGAAGATCTTATGGCTAAATTAAGAAGAATTGTTAAGGAATAGAGACAGAGAATTGCAGAATTCCTTAGAGATTTCGATAAATTAAGAAGTGGTACCATTACTGTCACTCAATTAAGAAAAGGATTAAGTATGGCTAAGATTCTATTGTCTGATGCTGAATTCCAATTGATTCTATAAAACTTTGGATGCAAAGACAAGCCAAACTTTGTGTATTGGAAGGATTTCACTGATTAAGTTGATTAGGTATTCACAACTAAGAATCTTGAGAAAGTCAGTCCTTCAGAAGATGTACCTCTGAAGTCAACCTAATATAATTATGGCAGAGTTTCAATTACAGAGAGAGATCGATAAGTGGCTGAAGTTGTCAAGAAGAAATTTTAATATTTCTGTAAAGCTACTAGATTGGATATCAAATAGTTTTTCTAGGATTGGGATAAATTGGGTAGAAACAAAGTGTCTCCTAAGTAATTCAGATAAACCTTGGCCACTGTCAATTTCATTTTATCTGATGAAGAATTCTAAGCAGTTGTCAAAATATATGCTGCTGAAGATGATGGAGATATTAGATATGTTTAGTTTATAAATGACACTCAACCTCCCTTGGAAATATATACAGAATCAGGAGCATCTCAAGCATATGTGGGAGTAAAACCTAAAGAAAAAGAAAAAGTATACATAATTATGAGTTTAATTAGTTACAACCATCAGTGCTCTTAGAATAAATTAAAGTTGCTGTTAAGATCAAAAGATTGAGATTGGGTGATTATTTCAAAGATTTTGATCCTCTAAGAAAAGGATTGATGCCTACCAACAAATTTAGAGGGGTGTTGAGCCAAATGAAGATAGATTTGGATCAAGAGAGTTTAGACCTGTTAGAAACCATGTATGTTGTACCAGAAGATCCCATTAGAGTCAATTATGCTAAGTTCATAGAGGATGTCGAAATTGTGTTTACAAAATCTGTAAGAATCTATATTTACTAATCTTATAAAGGGGTTGGATAAAGATCCATTGATGAAACCTCCTGTTCATGTTATTCCAACTTTCCTTGATCCAAGGGATGCCTTGACTTCAGAGGAGGAGGAAGCCTTACATGCCATTATGTTAAGATTAGGAGAGGTGGTGAAAAAACACAGAATTCTACTTAAGCCTCACTTCCAAGATAAAGTAATGTATCATTCACATTTTATAGGACAAAACTAAATCTGGAAAGATTACTTTTACTCGATTTAGATCTATTATGGATTTTCATAAATTGCCATTAACTGATGATTAATTTAGAGTCATTTGCAAAAGGTAACCTATTATATTTCATAATAATCTATAGATTTGCTTACTAGGGTATTGAATTCAATTACGTGGAATTTGATGAGATTTTAAAGAAATACGAGAATTTTTATCAATGAATTATAAACACAAAAATCATATCTATTAATAAATTTTATGTAAATTTTTAAGAATTCTAAATTTTTCTTTGGAACACTCAAAGCTCACACTTTACCAGCCCTTAAGTATGGATACAGTGATCTTGAACCAGTATTGAGTGCAACACTTCTTGAATTCCATCATTCCAAGCATCATTAAGCTTATATCAATAATCTTAATGCTGCATAGGAGTAATTGGAAGATGCCTTAGCAAAGAATGATGTCTAGAAGATTGCCACTCTACAAGGCACCATCAAATTCAATTTGGGAGGCCATTTGAATCATAGTTTGTTTTGGGAGAACTTGTATGCATATTTAACTTATTATGCAGGACACCAATTAAGAATGGAGGAGGACAATTGCCTGATGCAAACAGTGCTCTGGTCTAAGAAATCAATAAAAATTGGGGAAGTGTTGACAACTTCAAGACTTTCTTCAACACTAGAACTGCTGCAATTCAAGGCAGTGGATGGGGATTCTTGGGAGTTGATTAACAATCAAAGAAATTGAGATATTTGGAACTTCCCAATTAAGAAATTCCATAAAACCATGGTCTTACACCAATCTTAAGTAAGGATTCCAAAATTTATATGATTAGCAATTGATGTTTGGGAACACGCCTATTGGTGGGATTACAAGAATGTAAGACCAAACTTCTTGGCTAACGTATGGAAAATCGTTAATTGGAAGGATGTAGAAGCAAGATATAATCAAGCATAAAAATGAATTAAGAATAAGAACATCCATTTATTAATTGTATTTTTAATTATCTAACTACTTCTTTCTCATCTATGTTTAATGGAAGACAGAGGGGGCTAAGTTGGAATCTTTATCATTAATTATCTGTCTTTTCTTCTCTTTTACAATCCTTAATAGTAATTGTGAGTGCACTTACATTTTCTGCTATTGCATAATTCTACGACATCCAAACAGAAACATTGATTATACTTCTCAAACCATACGACTACTATTAAATTTATTTATATTGTTCTGCTTGATCTCGTTTTTCTAATATGCTGACTATTGATCTACACTCATCAAAGACAATATGATTCTACAAACATATTAAATATGAATAATATTGCAATATTTGAAGAGTAATGTGGTTCTAATTGATTTTACATGACTGTTGTATTGAATTATATATCAATAAGTTTCATTAACAATTTTTTTTATTATTTTATTAATTAATAAAATAACATATTTTATTTCAAAATGTTACATCTTGATATTGAGGTACAGACAATCCAATTTTTCATCGGCTCCTCACTGGATTCCTGTTCTATTCGATTAAACGATTGTATTTATAGCGTGAAATCTTAGCCTCCTCCACTACTGTCTTGGAATCGAAAGTCAGATGCAAATGCAAAGAGATTCAAGAAATTTGGGAGAAAATTGAATTAAATGTGCAATATGTTGAGAAGGGCAATGTATTGGATTATTGCATATTTTTATAGTTGAAACTCTTCTTTTATGAAGGGACAACCATTTTTGGAGAGGCAACCATTAATTTAGGGTTTTATATCGAGAACAATCTTCCTCTTATCATTGACAAAATTACAATACAGAATAAATTCGACTCAGAAGCATAAGTTTAAATGAGTCTCGCTTGGAATTAGTTGGATTAGGTGCAACCCAAATAAAATCGGTAAGTAAGTCCTTTGAGAGATTAACCACCTCCTTAGAGACCAATCGGGTAATAGAAGAAGCCAGCTGATGAACTTCATTTTGATAAGAGAACTGTTCACGCCACATATACATAATGGAAAGATCACTAAGAAATGGTTAAGGAACAATATGTCAAGAGATTGAAGGAACCCATCAAAAAGGGGCAGTAGGAGGATGAAAAACTTGAAGAAGTTCGTAAACCTGAAGTTCGAATCATGAGTCCTCGCAGATTTCAAACTCCCAAGGATTATAAACCTCTAAATAAGTAATAAATTTAAAAATCAACTGGAGGATTTGACAATCTAAAAATCTCAAATAACAATCAATTGGATTTCAGGTAAATCAACAAGGACGCACAGAACAACTCAAATAACAGAGCTCCCTCTAAAAGTCCCAATCGTTACGACTCAAGAACGAAAACAAGAAATGAAGTCTTATCTGCTACATCGCCCATTGAATAGAGTGAAATCCTCAAAGGATCTACCAAACCTAAACCATTACCAAAGAAAGGAGAATACTAAGAGAATTTTGGGACCAGACCAACCTAATTGGAAGGAGGTCTGACTATGTCCAGCAAATAATTGGATACAGATGGAGATTCCAATTAATGGAGATAATAATTGTCCTAGTTATAACAAGAGAATGTTTAATTAAAAAATTAAATTTAAAAACTAACCAATGAAAATTAGAGTTTAAAAGATCAATAAATCAAAAGTGAAGCTGCCTTTAATTTGTTATCAGAAACTTACAGTAATCTAAGGAATGAGTATCAAAGAATCTAAGTTAAGAGCTTTAACAATAGTTCAAGTCACTCCTTATTAACAAGCAAGGAGACCGACCATTTAAAAAGAGAGCTAGATCAAAAGTCTAAAGAAATTGAGTTCTACAAAAAGGAGGCTGAGTTATGGAAAAAGGATTTGGAAGTAACTAAAAGGGAAAATACCTAAATTAAAAAAGAAGCAGAACAATAAAAGAAAGATTTCGAAAATCGATCTTATGATTTCGAAAACCAAAAGAGAGATAATGAGAACAAAAAGAAAGAAATTGAGTATCTAGAAAAGGAGTTATAAAGAGCTTAATAAGCGATTTAATTGATTCAAAATGAAAGTTTTAGGAATTCCTCTTAATTATCAGGACAAAGTGGCAATTAGGAAATACTTGAGCAAATGAAAAATCTAATCAAAACGAAACAAATTGAAGTGGACAGTAAGAATGAAGAAATTAAGTAAAATAAGATTAGAATAGCTTATTTAGAAAAGGAATTGTATGAGAAAGGCAGACGTTCTTAGGATTAATGCGATCAAATTAAGAATCTAAGTTCGTAGTTGGAATAAGAAAATGAATAATTGAAATAACAGTTAGTTGAAAAGAATGTTGAATTGAAATCAAAGTAAATATGAATCATAGAACATAGAAATCAAGAGATTGATAGATTAATGGCTTAGAATAATTTAATTCTGCAATCCCCTGATATGCAGAATACAGATTAAGCTAAATTATTAAATGAATACTTAGTCTAGATAGCTGCGTTGAAGTAGGAGAATGAAAGTTTAAGTAACTTGTATTATTTACATAAAATTAGTCTTGCGAAGTAAAAAAGATTAAGTTGAAATTGAGAGTTTACAAAACTAGGTTGAAATAAACAAGGTAACCACATAATATATAATAATTGACAGAAAATTGTTGTACTAAGTGAATAGCGCCATCAAACTCTTGAGCAATAAATATCGGAATTAGAAAAAGCTGTTGTTGGAGGAAAATAAAATATGGCAGATGTGATCAATGCTGTAATGGAATGTGGTGGTCCTCAGTTGGCTGAGGAGGTGGAGAGATTCTTGATTACTAGAAGGAGTACCAAAATTGGTTGATATATACCATTTTATTAAAATTATTAAATTATAATAATTGACAAAAAAAATAAAAAAAAATTTATTATTACTTTTTTTTTGTAAAAATTCCTTTTTTTAAAATTCTGCTTCAAATTTGAATTATGGATAGAAACTGAAAAATTTCTCAAGATTATCATTTAATAAGGATTGAAAAGTGTTTTTAGAAGTGAATTCTCTGCAGTAAGTCTTAAATTGATAGAAATTAATCACAATTTGATGTGCTCTAGTAGGCAGAATTTTGAAATTATTTGATGTTTAAAATACCTTGTGAGGAAGAGGATGTGCACAATTACCTATTTGACAATTAAAGTAGAGCAATATCATTATCCAAAATGTTATCAAATAAACCAATGAAATTAACGAAATTTTTATAATTCGAATTTAAAGCTTAAGAGAAAAAACCTTAATAATAAAAATAAGAAAACATAATTAAAATGGCAAAAGCAGCAACTAAAGGAAACAAGGGAGCAAAGAAGACAACCCCCCCAAGTCAAATATTTAATCTATTGTAGAAGCTACCAAGCATGTCAAGAAAGTTACTAAAAAACCAACTGAAACAACTCCAGCACCAGCCCCAGTCACCACTACTCCATCTGTCCCAGCCGCTGCAACACCAGTCGCTGCCTCTACACCCAAAAAGCAAGGAAAGAAAGTAGCCTCAAAGCCAAAGGGTAATTCTAATAAAAAGGGACCAGCCAAGAAAAACACTAAGAAGGCCCCCAAGAAATAAGTTAAGAAATGATTAGTTATTCAAGAATTAATCAATTAATTAGATTTAATTTCCTCGTCTCCTCCTTGCACCCTTTGCAATATTTGTTTTCTTATCAACTCTGTCTTAAAATTTTATTTTAACAAATAAACAATCAAAAACTAAAAATAACATACAGAAATCATTCATATTCAAAGAATTGAAAAGAATGTGACTTACTATCTTCAATAGCGATAGCTGGAGTGAAGGTTTCTCAGTGAAGGGAAGTATTCAAGATCCCAGAACTCAGTATATGATTTCAATATTTTATATTTAAACATCAAAGAATCAATATTCTAGGTTCAGGCTTAGAGAGCTGTCAATTTATTTTGAATGATTTAAACACTAAAGGAGATGTTTGATTCTAAAGAAATTAAGAAGAAGAGAAATTAGAAGCAATAATATATCTATCCTAATAGTAATTAAAATATTTATGCAAATAAATAAATATTATTGAAAATATTTTTATCAAATTAATACCCTTGTTTAAATCTATTATTAATAGTTTCATCATTGCATAAAATCTCATTTGAGTACATGTGCTCATAAGAACTTATAAAAGTTTCTTTTAAATAAATATTTAACTCAAATCTTAATTTTCATGTTGACTCATTATTCTCTTAATATCAGTTATTACTCAAAGCCAGATTTTTATCATGCTTGCTATTGCGAATCAACAATATTTTACTATGATTTCAATGTATTTTTAGTCTTTAAAAGACTCAAGTGTGATTTTCTCTTGATTTTATTGATGCATCGACTATTCTTGGAATTTTAAAATTAGATATTATATGGATATTTAGGATATTTTTTATTTAGGCAGTTCATATCTTAAATTATATGGAATAATTGTATAATTATTATTAAATAATGAGCAACTTTAGTAATAAAAAAGGTTTAACAAATTATTCTTATTTAGTAGGTAAATAAACAAGAGCTTAAAACAAGAAGTAAGTGACAGCCACTACAATGTCGAAGAAGATGAAACTTATCTCGAAAGGCAAAGGGATATATAAGTTGGAAGTGGATGAAACCTTTCTCGCTTAACTATAACAAGTTTAACAATTTTTGGCAGAATTAAATGACACTATGATTGGTCCGGTAGAATAGAGTTAGGCTATGGCTCAAGAATCGAATCCCCAATTTGAGCAGTAAGAGGAGGAAGGGTCATCATCTGCCTCAGAAGATAAAAGTGGTGCTCCATTGTCTCAACAACCACAAGAACAATAATCTCAATAACCCAACGAGGTCAAGGAAACGCAGGACTTTTATAGGTAAGAGTATGAATCAAATTAAGACGTATACCTCATTTTTTTATGGGGAGATTCAAGAAATGGGCTAAGATTTTAAAAGAGGATGATGTTAGTTCATTTTTACATCAACTAAAGTCCAATAAGAAATCGAAATAGGGTCGATATGAGTTAGGGGATTTTCATAAGTAATGTTATTATTGAAATAAAAGATGTTTTTAGATTGACAAACATGATAGCAATGAATAATAAAAACAGAAGAAAAAAATAAAAGAATTGTTTCTTGAATTTTTATAGAACGAGGCCGTTCTCCAGATTATCCAATATAACAAGATCACCAACCAGGATTAGAAGGTAATTTAATGGGTTTCTAATATAGATTAAATACATAGATGTGATTCCAAATATGGTTTAGGAGATGTACAGTGATAAGCCATTTGATTAATTTTTGGCTCAGTAGAACATAGAGAAACAGATAAACAAAAAGAAGCAATTGTTGACTGAGACCCAGGACGTGAAGCAATAACAGCATTAGCAACTCCCTTAATAAAAACAAGATCAATCTTTTGAGGAGCCACTCATGAAGCTAGGACGAGAAGTGTCATTTTAAAGCTAATTATGATGTTTAATGATTTATGTATAATATCATTAAGGCAATGCTCCTCCAATTAATTGTTGGGCTCCATTGAACAAGTTTATAGGGTTATTACCATCAGTGAAGATGTAACCTTATAATCCCAATCCTTTGAGCAATTCAGCTTGCATTTCTGGTCCTGCATTGGCCATGGCAATAAGGGTATCTTATCCTAAGGCTTCAATGATTTGCTCAAACTTATTGGATTCAATTGTAGCTAGTTCCTTGGCTCTTCTGATTTCAAGTTCAGCCTTTTCTTGTTCATACTTGATAGTTTGATCTTGTTCCTTTTACTTTTGTTTCAAAGCAGCCTCCTTTTCAATCTTATTGGCTCTTGCTCTCAATTGAGCCAATTCATATTCCTTTTGTGCTTTGATTTGTTCAGCCTTGGCAATAGCTTCAGCATCTGCAATGGCAGATCCTTATTGTGTAACTTCTTGTGATTTGTTTTCCATTTCAAGTAATTTCTATTTAGCAGCTTCTGCCTTGAGATCGTCTTCGATTCTCAATTAATCCAATTCACCCTAAGCTTATTGTTCTTGTTATTCAGCAACGTGTTGAGCAGCCTATTCCTATTTCTTGGTTGATATTTCAATAGCCAAAGAAACAGATCTTTGAAGACTCTATCTAGTTTGGTTGTCTACTGGTTCGACTGTTTTGATATCTACATTAGTAATAACAAGATTATTCTTCACCATGAGATATTCCTTTCTAATCTTTCCGTGTTCATCAGTACCAAAGATGGCAGTTCTAATGAGTTTTGCAGAGGTCTTATGGAATTTATCGAAGACAACAGAAGCAACAGCAGCTCTGACTTTAGATGCCATTTGATTACACAGATCTCCAATGAAGTCTTTGACTGCAAAGATCTTGGAGGCAGATTCAATGTTATTTTCATCTACCTTAAATCTCCAATTGTAAGCTAAGAGCAATTTCAGGACAGCATGATCAGATGTTTCGACAGTGATTTCATCAGTGGAGAATTCTGGACCCATCATAACATGCAACGTATTGACAACACCTGGAGTCTTTGGTGTTTTACCAGATAATGATAATTGAGTAAATACTTCATCTGGTTCTAAGCTTACCAAAGCAGGACCAAACACAATTCTTGTCTTCTTGGTCTTGTAGTCATAGACCTACACTGATGTATTGAATGGAGCTCTGTAACTAACAACCTTCCATTTGTCTCTCTTTCCACCTGTATGGAAATATTGAGATGACAACAATTATTCAACGTTGTTTGGCAATTCCATAGACCATAATTCCTCATGGGATTTCAACATGTATGATTCACCAAAGACAGTTCTCACTTAACCTGTTCTTGTGTCTCTAACATACACTCCTTCATTCTTGTCCAGAGGAATTCTCTCTCTCTTTTCAATCACCTCCACTACAATGGGTGGTGTGTAGATGCATGGACCATGAATCATCCATTTATTACCTGGCTCATACTCTACTTCAACTTCTTCGAATTGATTGTTCTTAGCCAATTTCTTCTCAGTGAACTTGCATTTTTCCTTTGCTCTCAAAAGCAAGGCTTGGTCCTCTGATAAGATGTAGGAATCTTGAATTCCATATTGCAAAGATTCATTGGGTCTAAGGAAAAAGCTTCTTGGACCTTCGACAAGCACCTTTGATCCAAATTTGTTCCTTTGAGTTTCAAAATCAAACGGATTTTCAATTATACAATATTGTCTTGGATCTAAGACAGTCAAATTTATCACAGTGACCAATTCTTCAAATACATCCACTATGTGTGCAGATGTCTGTTCAGATGTTATCAAATATTCCTCTCCTGCCTTTCTCTCAATTGCTATTCATAGTTACACATAGAAATTACAATAAACATCTTTGAAAGTCTGAATTGCTTTTAAATGCAATGCCTTTCGATTGTCCAAAATCTCAGCATCAATTATCTTGACAAACTCCTCATAAACCTAAGGAAGATAGTATCCAGGTGTTCTTATCAACCATTGCTCTCCTGATTTTCTGACCACACCATTAGAATCAGTTTCTTCTTATTTTGCTTTAATAAGAATTGCTTAATTCTCTTTAATTAGAATGGAATCAATTTGACCGAGAATTTTCTCCTCAATTCTTGGGTAATAAGTGGCTGGGCCTTTGAATAGGTACTAGTCACCTGCTAATCTGCATTATTGTTATTATAATATGATACATATTATTGTCTCCCTATTTAAAATTACGTTGCGCCTCTATTTTCAAGGCGCTTCCCTCTTTAACCACAGTGAGCTTTGTGGGCTGTTGAAGTAGGTTTTCTTTAGGGAAGAGGGGAAATGGAGTGCTGTATTGCTCAAAGAAACGAATCTCTCGTTCACCATGCAGAACAACAAATTGACTAAACATTAGATGAATCTCATTACCCATATCGATCCTTAGCGGGCTAACCATCTTTATCCTTCACAATTGGGTTTTCTATGATGCAATAATGTTGTTTTGGGAGCACAATCATTTTTTGAGGTTATAACCCAGACGTAACCTTTGTTGTTATTTCATAATTACTTGTTCATGGTCCTGACGAATAAATGTTTGTGGGCCGATCTCAACTCTAGTGACATTTGAATTGCAATCCAAGACATGTATGAATTAATATGGCAAAATTTTGTATGTGCTTGTCTATCCTTTGGTTTATGACATATATCTTTATTTATTTAATAATTATTTGCATCGATTTTAATCATTTATATAATGGCTCAGAAAAGATATATCTCATTTCAGATATGACATCATTTTAATTACATAAATTATTCTGTTTATTCAATTAAAACCCACCTTCCTTTAACTCTTGCTTCTAATTTATTTATATTAAATTCCTAAATATAATTTAAATGCAAAAATGCTTCCATCCCTACATCATTTTCAAACTACCAACTGCCCAAAGCACTATATTTAATTGCATATACATAATTCGTTGAAAAAGTATCTAAGATATAGGTACAATATCTTATAATATTTTACATACTTAATATTAAAAAGAGTAATTTTATTTATTATCAACCATTTTATCAAAATTTGTTTCTAAAATTCCCATAAACATAACGAATAAATATTATTATCGCTGTGATGCCCTATAATAATTTCACAAATATATTCTGTTTATATTGAAAACCCAAAAAATAGACCATTTCTACAAATTTTTAATGAAATTGGAGACGTTTTGAAGCGAATGAAAATTGGGATACATAAATAAATTTATCAGTTGACTATAGCAAAATAAAGCCAAATAAAATCACAGCCATTTTATAATAAATATCGGAGGTGCAACTTCTGACTTCTCTAGCTTATTTTAAGTTAAATTCAATTCTAGAGCAAAATTGAAGAAATATAGAAGATATATGAGAACTTGCTTGTCATTATTAAACCTAATAAATTTAACAGAACAGTTGATATTCAAAAAAAATATTAAATGATCCATTTGAGATGAATTGATAGGAGGATGATAATAAAATTGAGAATTTTATCACAAAACTTGAATGCCTTTTTATTAAAAGTTAGAGGGTAATTGTTGGTGAAGCCAACTTAAGAAGTTCGAGAAATTCATTTGCCATGCTGAAGGTCTAATAAAAATGATTTTAAGATGTGTTAATTAATTATTAGATGGATGCAACTGATTTTGTATTAGTATTAAACTGAGATTAATAAAAAATTTTGTATAAAAAATTATTTTTAGTTATAGTTACTTTTGAAAAACCTATTACAATCTTGTAAATTTCTTTTAAATATTGGGATTACTATGTAAAATAAGGAACTTAATGTATTTCTAATCAAAACTAGCTAAATTGATACCACAAAGATTTAGCCAAATAATTAATAAAATGAGAAAAATTTTAAAGAGAAAAAGTAAGCAAGTGTTCCATATTAATGAATCATTTTTGAGATACGGAAAATAAACTAAAGGAATATCAATAGAAGGTAACGTCATTTGGTAAGAAGAGTGATCTACTTTATATAATTTACTATTCATATCCAAAGCCTATGAAATATATTTGAGTTTTAATTAGAAAGTGATTATGGAATTAAAAATATTTTCTTATCAATTAATAGCATTATGTCCATCCCCAGCAGCTTCATCCAACCATCTTTATCTTCTACCATCAATCCATTCACCTTCTCTTTGTTCTCCTCCAGGCTTAACAAATAGTCCCTTGCCATGTTATTTGCCTTTTTTCCATTCTCCAATATATTTTCTACCATCACTCCAAATAAAAGTCCCTTATCCATGCTTCTTGTCATCCTCATAGCTTATCAATAGTGAAAATTAATTACTCTCCCTCATAACTTCTTCCATCAGGCCAAGTGGTTGTTCCTTAACCATGCATTTTATTTCTCTTCCATTCTCCTTAATATTTTCTATTATCAGCCCAGACATACACTCCAAATCCATGTATGTCATTATTATCAAACTACCCTTCATACATGGATCCGTCAGCAAATACTAGTTTCCCTTTACCATGCTTCTTCCCTTCTTCATACTACCCTTCGTAATGTGCCCCATCTGGCCAAGTCTCTTTACCATTACCATGTTATTTATCATCTTTCCAAAATCCTACATATTGAGCACCATTGTTGTGAATGTATTTGCCCTCTCCATTTGCTTTGTCATTGAGCCATTCACCTTCGTAAACATCCCCATCAGCATGTATTAATTTGCCTTTGCCACATGCCTTATCATTCTGCCAATATCCTTCATATACAGAACCTAAACATTTGATTATTATAGTTACCATCTGGCCAAACTTATTTTCCCCAACCCCATCTCATTTTTCCTCTCCATTAACCAGCATATGTGGCACCTTTTAATGTAAATCAAAGATAATACCAGTCTCCAAAGTAACTGGTTCATACTCTTTCTATTCATCAGGAACTGGTTGTTGATTATTTTAACTATCTTTATGAGGATTAACTGAAGCTTCGTTGCTTTCAACTAGTTTCACTTTTTCATGGTAGGACTCATTTTTCTATTTGTCCTCCTGTTGTTGTTCCTACTTTTTTTCATCTAAAATCTCCTCTTTAGGCTAGGCTTATTATTGAGCATCATCTTATGGGAGATTTCCAACAATCAACACTTATTCTATTTCTTATTACTCCTCCAAATCCACTTTCTATTTCTTATCCTCAATTGTTTATGCTACCATATCCTTGCCACAAATTCCAGTGCAGTTGCCCATAATTCCTTTTTTATATAATAATTAAATAATCAAAAATTAATCATAATGGACAAAATATAAATCTCATAATTCCTCTCCACTTTAATTTAAATACCACCTTAACCCTCACTTCTTAAATATCTCTCTTGTTCCCTCTTTATATTCTTTTTTCCATTTTAACCTTTTTAGAAATATCATCCCTCCACCCAAATCATTTATACATGTATTGTCACGTCATCCTCTCACTTAATATGCGATGTATCTTACTCAATCATTACTATCCTACAATATCAAGCTACTTTTTAAAATAAATAAATTATTCATGACAACATCCAAAATTCTTCCATCCCTTATAGTATGGAATTAATAGATAAACAAAAAGTGATTAGTAGAAAGAAATTGAAACAAAAAATGATCAGAAGAATTAATCAAATTTTATGAAATAACTCCGATATATTACAATCATTTATTGATAATATATAAATTTTATAAATCTTCCTTAATTATCTCAAAAATTTCAGATTTCAATCCCTCTAAATCACTTCTCTTTAGTATTCTTGTTTATTATTAATTTTAACCAGTAAAAGATTAATTAATTATGATTATTCAATAATTAAAAAATCTTTCTCATTTAAATAAGAATCTTAACAATGATATTCAATTTCTTTATAATCTCTAAAATACAGTTATTTAAACTATCTAATTACTGTGTAATAAACATATTATAAACTATTCAAAAATTTCTCAAATTGGCAAATCCCCTTCCTAATTTGACCAAATCTTAAAATGTACCCTATTCTACAATAGATCCATTTTCCATATAGTAAATTCGGTCATAATCCCTTAATGCTTCCAATCTATGTGAGATGGTTATTATCGTTTTTCCACATTCTCTCAAATATTATTAAATGAAATCCTCCACCGATTAATCGACGCTTGCAGTAGCTTCATCTAAGCAAATAATATCTGGATTTTATAACACAACTCTCGAAAATGAAATCAATTGTCTCATTCCCTAAGAAATTTGATTTGACTCTATTTATGCCTAACTATCCAAGGGAATGTATTTTGAAATTAGATCCTAATCATAGCAATCTAAATTCTCACTCAAAGTTCCATCAAATACAAATCCTAATTAAGGAATGACACCCACTTTATTTCTCCATTCAAAAAGCTGTTATGATGGCACAGACATTTCTCCTTCAGTTTGTTCATATAATTGAAATAACACTGCCAAAATTGAAGATTTGCCACTTCCTGTCCTCCCACAAAATGCTATTCTCTTGCCTAATTCAATCTCCAAGTTTATTCCTTTTAATGCCAACTATCCATTAAGATACTATAATTGAACACCTTGAAACTTGATCTCTTTGGAATAATTAAAGCTTTTATTTTGTTCCATTGAATTGTTGCAATATTTGTTAACTCTTTCATATGATACCAGTTCTTACTCGCAAGTAGTTAAGGATAATGTTAAATCCTTAAATATACTAATCTTAGTCAAAGAGTAATATAGTAACAATTATAAGGTTGACTTACTGATAGACAACTCATAGTATAAACTTAAAGCAGTAAATAAAAGAATAAAAAATACGATGAATCCTGCAATTAGTTGCAATCTTATTTACAACCACAATGCAATTACTCTACTACACCATTGAACTTATGTGGCTTAAGTTAATTTACTTAGAAAGATTCCTATAAGTAAACTATATTCATATATAAATACCTCTAAATTCATCCCGTTTATTGAATGCATTTATAGTTAAAATCCCTTTGAATTACTCAAAAATGATAGTTGCCAAATTTGAATTAGTCTCTGCATCCAATCTACGTAAAGACAGACTGGTTGGTCTGTATAGTTACTACAACCTATGAAATAGTAGTGCTGACACTATTACAGGTAACATCAACTCATATTAAAGAACAACTAACACAATTAAGGTTCCGATACAATTAAAAACGTTATTGCATAACAAATTCAACTCAAATGGAAATCTGTTATCTATAACATTTTGATCATCTGAGAATCGTATTAAAATCTGTCCACTATCCTCAGCATCAAAAAAAGAACAAGTTGCATGTATCACATGGCTCAATAAATTACTGAATATAGTTCTTGCTTAAACTAAATTTCCATAAGCAAATGACACAGCTCTGGATATTTTGATGATTATATCTAATACTATTAATACAAATAAAGTTAATTCAAATGAATTACTAAAGATAAATATTGGATTCTAATTAATATAAGAATTTAACCATAAATCATAGACATTAAAAGACATTTACATCAAAGCCAATGAAATCAATATCCATAAAAAGTTAGACAGCCCTAGTGCTTGTAAATAGAAGGAGGTTGAATTTTAAGCCTTCTTTATTTGAGGCTTTTCGTTATTTTCTCTTTCCTGCTATATTGTTTCTTATTAAGCAACATTGGCGCTCTAATCCTTCAAATCAAAGGCTATTTCCTGCAAATCTTGGAAATACATATCAATTTTCTACTAATCATAAATGACCTAACCCTCCTAAATAATTATAATTTAATCTGCATATTTTTTGTATCTCTATAAATGATTATCATTTAATGCAAATATTATCGGTTTCTTTAACTTCAATAAATTATTAAAAATGCTATCTCCTACTTGAGGATCTAAACTGCTAAAGATATCATCCATTAGATATATATTACTATAATTGTACAAAGCTCTACAGATGCATAATCTCTATTTTTATCCTCCTGATAGTTTAGATCCATCAGGACCAACATCAAATAAGTCCTTCTCTGGATATTATTTAATATCATCAATTAAATAACTCGAAATTAAGCACTATTGGTACAATTCAGCATCATATTTTGATTACATTAAAATATTATCCCTGATTGTCCCTTTAAAAAGCCAACATTATTGCGAAACATATGAGAATTCTTAATTTACTTAAAAGAATCCAGAATAAGGCTTCATTTAATTCAAAAGAGAGAGCAGAAAAGAAGATTTTCCTGATCCCACTTTTCCTCCTATAAATACTACATTATCTATTTTGAAGTGAGGAATTTTCAATGTGAATGCAGCATCAAAATCCCATTTTAGCTCTGCTTAGTTAATTTGAATGCCTTCCTCAAAGTAATTTTTAACTTTTCGAGTTATCACAAATGAATTAATTCTTTTAAATGAAGTCTTTGCTTATAGCATCCCTGCCAGGGTCCAAGGCAATGCGTTTAAAGGATTTGTTAATAATGAAAATACATAAATGATGGTAAATACATTATCTAGATTGTTATTTTGTGAGTATATGTATAAAGTAATTGATGAGATCAAAGTATTAGTAATTGACCAAAAGATGACACAGAGAGAATCCAACCATTTTGAACCTGCAATAACTGCGAATTCTTTATCTCTGAGATTCATTATTTTAGATTCCCATTTGTTTTCCCATTTCAAAAATTTGATAGATTTAGGATTAGTAATAAAATCTTTTAAGGCTTTCATTCTTTAATCTTTATAGATCAAACCTGATGAATAATAGTGGCCTATTTTGTTAGCAATTGCAAAATTGATAAGCATTAAAATGATGGCTGTAGTAAATCCTACAAAAACAGCCTCTTATATTTGCATGTACAAAATTGTCATGCCTATTATCAATTTTAGAATTAAAGACCAAAATTCATGAAAACTTATAAAATAATTCATGATTGTATTGACATCAATATTGATTAGGTTCATTAGATCTAAATTAGATTAGGCTTCAATAGAATTATACAATGTTTAGATCAGGAATGACTTACATCTGAACTCTAAAATCTTGATCTAATAATTGTATTATGTATCAGTGAGGGTAGACACTAAGGTTGAGCACAAGACTGCACCTGAGTAGACTACAAAGTCGTTAATTGATTAATCTACAGCAGTAGTCAAGTAATTGATTAAAATTGGAGTGGTGAATAAAAAAATAACTGAGAATAATTTTAGCAATCCAATCCATATAAAATTCTGCAAAAACATTTTCTACAAGGTCTTCAAAATGGGTTCATTGTTCTCTAATCCTCCATCATATTAACCAATTAATTCATTGGGTAGGTAATTAGAATCACTGAGAGCATTTTCTACTTCCTCCAAAGGAATAATTCTTTCCTTCGATTATATGATTTTGTGGATTTAAGTGAAGAATAAACTATTCAAATTTTATTTGTAATTTTTAGAGATTTAAGATTGGATCTCTTCATTCAAATTTTGGTGTTGAACTTTCATGAATAAAATATTCCTGATGATATTTAAGAATGATAATTTTAAAACAAAAAGAATTGTAAAACATAATAGACTTAATATATTCATTTTTCTGTTAATTCTCTATATCCCTTCCAATCTTAAGGAGCTTTGAAATTAGTTTCTCCCATTACATTAAAAAGTGTACTGATTGGACCATCATTCGGTTTAATTTACTTAGCTTTTTCAAGCCACATATGGGCTTCCTTCCAATTTCCCAATAGGTAGCCTTAGAACCCTTGACCAAATTGATGCTAGATTTAGTAGTATGTATATCATTACCAAGAATTCTGGATTGAAATTTTTAGTTATAAGTCCAAGATCTTTGTTTCTTTTCATATACAATTCTCCATTAAAATCGCCAGACTCTAATTATTAAAGAAAGATTTGCTTTTTCTCATACATCACTTATTACTTCTCTTCTTAAGGGTAATCCTACTTACTAGGAGGCAAATCATCGCCCTCCATCTCAACTGTGAACAAACCAATAGGCTTAACACTTCCCTTCACAGTAACCTTATCAATCTGTCTTGTATATTTCTTAATTTCATTGGAGAAGTATTGATGTAATTCACTTGAGATCAAGACGGCCACTCCATATTATTTAGTCGCAGCCTCTAAACGGGAAGCCATGTTAACATTTGGACTTAAATAAGAGGCATCAATTTTGAATTCTGATCCAATGGCACCTTCTATACCCCATCCTATATGCAATCCAAATCCCATCTTTACTTTGTATCCTGGCAAACGTTGACTTAATCTCTCGTCATTCCTATATTCCAATATTTTGGGTTCTCTATTGATCTTAGCATAGATCTTCATGAAAGCAATTAGAGCACAATCAGCCAATTAATTTATGAACACCAAGTTGGACCTTAAACAATTTTACGATTTAATACCATTTGATTTCATTTCCATCCTCATACCATTGAGAATCATTGATTTTCCAAACTAATAAGAATGCATCTCCAATATTTTTATTAGCTGATCCTTGATAACGATCCACCATCGAATGAACGATCTCAGCTATATTATTTACAAACAACATCACATCCTTTTGCAAGACTTCAGTGGCGTCGGTGAAATTACGAATATCACAAAATCCATAAATTGCCCATTTACGTTTACCTGGTAACATAGGATCCACATCTCCTGATGAAGCCATATTGGTTCCTATAATGGCAGAACCTGCATCACCAAACCCTAATGCCAACAAGGCACCTATTTTAATGATAGCATTTTCTATCTAGGTGGTTTCCTTTTGGGTTCCTTCAGATTCTAATTTCATCTCCTTGGCCAATTAAGGATTCTTTGCTATTAAATTGACCTTCACTATCATCCTATCTATTGGTTTCAAAGCTACATTATTAGCATCATTCGAAAACGCAATGGCCCCAAATAGCAATACAGCACTCACAAATAAAGTATTAACAATATTGATAATTGAATTCTTAGACTCAACATCGGAATTATCTGAGACAAACAGAATGACAGGATCACCGATATAATCCAATCCCACCAATACAGGATCTACTAATTCAAAATAATAGCTTTTGGAGCTTTCTCTTAAATATTAATATGAAGGAGTTTAGTAATTCTCTATCTCAGTAAATGGGTTGGTAATGTATCCTACAGGTGTGTCAAATGATTTATGCTAATCTATCACAAAATTAATGGTCTGATTGATTTCGCTTAATTTAGTATTTGGAATTTCAGCCACAACTCTGAAATATTCAGCTGCATAAGCTAAACTATAGGATGGTTCAAAATAGTAATCAGAACTAAATAAAGGCATGATTAAAAGTAATATAATGACAAGGATGATGACTTTCTTCGTTGTGGAATCTGATAATCTCTTGCTCACTCTTGATTCTTTTATTTCTTTTGCTTTGACTTACGATGGTTCCTTCATAGACTGTCTGCGATTTGGTAAGCTCTTTGGAATCGAATTCTCAATTTAGAGTTATTTTGCAACCATATTTTAATTTTCCCGATTTTCTTAACTATTCGCATTATCTTCTCCTTCTGGCTTATGACTCTCAATACTGCCCCTTTATTCGGTGTGATTCTCTTTTTTATTTAGATTCTCTTATTCAATTACCATGTTATTAATGTTCTCATAGACAGATGGGTAAATTGTTGCTCTACTTTTTTTAATGGTCTAAGTCCGGATTGGTTACCTCTTGAATGCTTATTCTTATGAATAACTAGCTGCCTTATACAACTTAACTATTCTAATTAATCTAACAAGACGAACAACTCTAATTGCTTTTGAACTAGTCTTAGAGGCTTTGTTGGCTTGGGACAATTGGGAGGCGGATTTTGCTGCAACGGAACCTCTAAAATGGGATTAAGGGTGAAATAGTTACTGTAAGCCAACTGCAATATTGAATTAGGTGATATCCAAAATTTAAGAAACTGTTGATATTATATCCAGCCAGAAAAAGAATGAATTAAAATAGTCAGTTCTAACCAAGCTTGCAATGACAATTTCAATTGAAAATATTATCTACCATATTTGATGATTTTACCATGCATATTATAGTGATTACATCGAATCCATCATCAGCTCTTTTATCAAAAGCAATTATTCTAATATCATCGCCAAATAGAGCATAGATAGTTAACAGATTTACGAATATTTAAAACCAACTACTATCCAAAATACTCGTTAAGAGTGGAAACTTATCACTGAATTCATAATTTTTTCATTACATTTCTTAATCTTGACCAAACACGTCGATATCATCAGCGTTGCTCTCCTCTGAAATTACAGATTAGTTATCAACTTCTGGATTTACTTGCGGTTCACTCATTATTATTTCTATTTTAATTATTATACATATTCCTAAGTTTATAACTAAATAATATAATTAACTAAATTATTTATAACTAAGATCCTTTTCAAAATATATTCTTCAATCTTTCCAAAATTCTTTTTCACAAATATATATATATATAGAATAATCATCAATAAGATTAGGGTTGGTTGGTTTTCCGTTTTTTCCTTTTTGCATCTCCTCCACTTCATTTTTCATCATCATTTATTTATAATGATAGGAAAATGTGAGAAGAGTGTCTCAGCATCAATCTCATTGAATTTCTTCTTCATCATTTTTTTTACTCAGTCTTAAAACTTTATTAAGTGGTTGATGTTTTAAAATAGTTACAGTTTCCTGTATATGTATAATAAGCTCCTTACTTAATGGATTTTCAATGAGTTGTGTAAACACAGATCCTTTCATTCATCTGTTTTATAATTTATATTTTATATTATAAGATTCTGAATTTAAATAAAGCATTCATTACTGTTTAAAAGAATACTTACTTTTTCATTGCTAGGATTATTCAAATGTTGCGGATTCTGATAAAAGAGTGTTATTAATAGTATTAAAAATCTTAACTAATTACGAGAATTATAATCAATTCCATATTTAAGATTTTGGCACATTGAATCGTTGAGCATATTTGGTGTATATACCTAATTCTCTATTTTTAATTTCTTCTATTTTCTGTCTGGATGCCAAATTGATTTTGTTATTCCTATAAAATGAATTTCTAAACCCAATATGTTATTCTAATTGGGAGGAAACAACAGGAGATTTGTGAACATTTTGTCTCCTCCTCTTCTTGTCTACCATAACTCGTATATCCACTTTCTATAATGGCGGTAGTGATCTTTTTTATTATTCTCGTGAATTTTTTTCTGAATACTAATCTTCGTCAGTCTCATTTATGGGGAGTGGATTGGTTCCCTCCATTTCAGCCAAAAAAATTGGTACTCTCTTAAAATTAACACCATAAATCTAATCAAGAGTAAGAGGTATAGATTAAATCATTTTGTATTTCCAATAAAGTTCCTATTAATAATAATAATCATAATAAATTTGGCTACTGCAAATGTAAATCATGTTCTCAGATGTTTCCTCGAGTGGGCATTCATATACTGGAGCAATAATTAATAAGACATCTGTAAGGAATTGCTGATTCGTATAAAAGATTATGCAAAAATAATGAAGAATGAGCGTTTTATTAAGGGTTTGGGGTGATTGAAAATATAATAATAAAAGGGTGGGGGGGATGTAAGAAATTCTTGGTGAATAATATTATCATTCTATAATCATCAAAAACTCATAAATTTATTTATAATTAGTTTTGTGAGAATTAATATAAATCAATGAATTAGTAATTGCTGTCTGAGAAATTACAATTGAGTGGATTGAAAATTGAATCATGTGGATTTATTAGAACATATGATTATCTTAGGGAATTGAAATTGTAAGATGTGATTCAGATCGAGGATATTGGTGCACATAATATCTATAAATTTAGTGTTAGAATATTAAATCAATAATATATCATAAGGAGAAGGGTGAAAGATTTCTAGTAGTTGGAATCAACAACAAATCCGGATCCGCTTTTTTTATTCAAAAAAAGAGAAGTAATAAAAGAAAGTATGGAAGATTAACCCAAAGAGAAATAATAAATTTTATTCAATTTTTTGAAGTCATTTCTGTAGAGTGAAAATCTGAATGATCTAACTCAAGAGGTTTTAAAGTTTTTTGAGATTTCTGAAGTAGAGTATGGCGATTTCAAAAAGTTCAAGGAGTGCACCTTAAAAAAGAGAGCAGGAGGTAGATTCTCAGAAAGTAGATGCACCAGATGCGGAACCCTCTGGGGAAGATGGTCCAAAAGGTACCTATTCCAATATTAAAATTAGATATTTCTATATATCGAATAATGGAGTGATGTATTGCAAGGGTCCATTTGGGCAAAGAGCATAGATGAGAGAACAATTGGTGTTTGATTACAATTTTCAAATGAAATATGGTAAGGCAGGAACAGGTTACAATAGAGGTATCAAATTAGAGTTCGCGACAAGACATCTATTGCTTGTTGCCCCCGATTATTTCACTTTTACAGAATTCTTAACAGCATTAAACCAAGCCTAAAAGGACTGTCCTTACATGCAGATTCATAGATTCTCTTCCTTCGCTCCCGTAAAGGACAGTCATTGCAAATGGTACATCGATGGAGAAGGGTATTTCAGCGACGTGATGACTGCCTTGTTGAGTGCCAAGGATTATGTATATATCACTGATTGGTGGATGAGTCCAGATCTCTACTTAAGGAGACCCATAGCTATAGATTAAAATGATTAAATAAACTAGGATTCCAGATTGGATAGGATTCTTAAGAAGATAGCTGATAGAGGAGTGGCCGTCTACATCTTAATGTATTTAGAGCCCACAATAGCATTAAAACATGATTCAAATCACACCAAACTTTTCCTAGAAAGACTGTCTCAAAATATCATAGTCTTAAGACATCCCTCACCAATACCCTAATTATGGAGTCATCACGAGAAGATCGTGGTTGTAGATGGATCCGTGGGATTTATGGGAGGACTCGATTTGTGTTTTGGCAGAATGGACACTCAATAGCATTTACTGACTGATTTGGATGTGAGGAGATAGTTCTGGCCGGGGATTGATTATGCAAATAATAGAATCAAGGATTTTGAGAATGTTCACAAGAGTGGGGAGAGCTAGATCAATAGGAGTGATCCCAGGATGCCTTGGCATGATATTGCAGTCAAAGTAAGTGGATAATCAGTTAGTGATTTAGTCAGACATTTCGAATAGTATTGGAATCACGTTATGATTAGTCAGAATTTTCAAAAGAGAATACAACATTAATTATAAGGAAATGCTAAGAACCCAGGCAATTATTATAAAATCTAAGATGCTTAATTACAAACTACTCATGATACATTCTTCTAAAAGTATAAGAATGAAATCAGGGAAGAGTTTTAATGTTAGGGTCCAGAAGAAGAGTTCAAAGAGAATTTGGAGAAAGCAATTACGAAATCTTATAATCAAAAACAAAGGTTATCAGCCATTTTCCCCAATAAACAATAATGTAATAAGGACTTTATGGAAATTCTTGAGAAAATTCACGGGTAGAAGTAGGAAGAAGAGGAAGATTTCGAGGAGAGCATTGTGCCAATAAAGAAACAATTTCGATCAAGCATTATGATTCAACCTAAATTGTAGATTGTCTATGAGAAGGGAGAATGTCAAACTTAAATTTTGAGATCAGCATCAAATTGGTCAATTGGTTGTTCCCCTAACAACACTGAATTCTCTATACAAATTGCTTATACTCATCTAATTTCAGAAGCTCAAAATTTCATTTACATTGAAAATCAATTCTTCATCAGTGCTGTTGATGACAATCAAAAGCCCTTAGAAAATAAAGTAGCCATGGCTCTAGTTCAAAGAATCAAAAAGGCCGCCCTAAGAAAAGAGAAATTCAAAGTGATAGTGTTCTTGCCTTTATTACCTGGCTTTGCTGGAGAAATTGACAAGGATTCTGCAGTGTTGAAAGTCTAATTGCATTGGGAATATTAGACTATTAGTAGAGGAGGGAACTCCATCCTTGAGACTCTTAGAAAGGATGCCAACATCTCAGATCCTAGTGAATACATTGAATTTTATTCATTGAGAACACACACCAAGATATTGGATGTACCTAAGACTGAATAAATTTATATTCATTCAAAACTTATGATTGTTGATGATGAATATGCTCTTATCGGTTCTGCTAATATCAATGATCGAAGTCTTGTTGGAAATAGAGATTCAGAAATAGCAATTGTCATTTACGATAATAAAAAAAAGAGATCCATGATGGGTGGTGAAGTAGTGGGAAGATCCATCTTTGCTTAAGAGTTAAGGACTTCCCTCTACATGGAGCATTTCGGATTGACATATGAGTAAGTCATAGATCCTTTGAGTCAATAATTACAAGAATTAATTAGATTTAATACTCGTAGAAACACAATTATATATAGATAAATATTTGCATGTTATCCGGATGATTGTATTAAATCATTGGTTGACTATTAAACTGTAAATCAATATTTAATCTTTAGTTTAAATCTTTAGGAGACCTTTCCAAATATGATTAATTATCTGAATAAATTGTAGGTCATGCTGTTGAATTCCCCTTAGAATTTTTATGCAAAGAGGATTTGACAATTAAAATGTTGAGTTTCGAAATTGTCGTTCCAGATATCAATTTTACATGAATTTAAATTACACACAATTTTAATGGGCTTAATGTATATTTCTTATTAATTTTATGTTTACAAGATAAAATGTTCTATTCTTTATATCTATTATAGTGATCTTAATGTGGCTCATTAATGAATAGGAGTTCTGAAAAATAATGCCTTTTTTGGATTAGATCATTTGAATATGTAAGTATAATTATCATCATTTTTATTTATCACTTACCTGCGCATAAATAGACTTGCTTGGTCACCATTGTTAATTATATTTTATATCTACAATATTGTGGAAATTCGTTAAAAAATTAATCCATTAATATTAATAATGTTTCTGAGATTAGCATCCAATTTCATTAGGCAGCCTATGATGATGAAACAAATTTCAAAGTAATTGAGATTTCTGCCTATGACAACAATATTCAACAATCACAAATTGTTGATCTATAATTTATCATAATTGCACACAGCATTCTTTCAGATTGAGGAGTAGAACGACGATGATGACTTATTGTAAATACTCTCTATGAATAAAGTAGATTGGAAGAGGTCCCAGTACGTAGGACAAACTCAAACTAATTGAAAATTGATTGATTATTATAGTCATAGTGAAATATTCAAAATTATTCATTGATTTTAAGTGTGGATAGTATTTTAATTAAATTAATGAGAAGTTTTCCGCTTCGATTCATTGCTCAGAAAACCACACAAGTATTCAGATCAAATTAACCCCTTTCGAAATTAATGCCTTGCAGAATAATCAGATTTCATTATTCCCAGGAGTTCATTCATAATAACAATAGCAATAATACTAAGGATCAGAGCAAAAAGGATAATAAAACTATCGATATTCAACCCTAATAAATGATCGAGCTATTCTAAAAGTTGGTTGCTTTGAGGAAAGAAGAATATACTGAAATAAATTGTATTTCATAATTAGATATTTGTAGAGGAAAGTATGATCATAGCATTGGAATAATTAGAACCTTTTATTGAAAACTTCAACATTCATTAATTAGAATACTTTTTGGTTTTAGCAAATGAGATAATTGACATTGATCAAAAACTTACTGATAAATTGTTTGAATAGAATAAGCACCTCTTGTATTCAGAGTATCCAAATTTCATTAGCATTTAGATAATCTGATTTCAATTAGTGTTTAAAAGTCCTTGCCTTATTGACTGAAAATCCACTTGAAGAGCCACAATTAGAAAACTTCATCAAAATGATCTTTACAATTCTTGAGATTCCTGATCTTGATGCATCCATTCTTGGTTAATCTATCTATGTATATGGACTAATCATTAAACAATATCAAATAGAATCGAAAGAATTCTATGAATCAATCACTAGACATTTAAAAAAAATTGATTTAGATTATGAGGAAATCATGGCCAAGGGTAAAAAGGATTCATAATTAATTAATTTTACTTAACAAGACCTCAAATTACTAGCCTTAGGATTGTATTTAGGTGGATGTTAAAGTTCTGTTCTTGGAAAATATATTTCATTAAAAGCACAAAGTATTTTTGTCGAAATCTCGAATCTCATTTTGATATCTAAATTTATGTTTAAACAAGAATCAGTAGAGCAAGAATTCTTGATTTACTTTAAGCAATAACTTGAGAAGACAAAAAATAAGATTTAGCCAGATGACTTAATGCAATTGGCCATTTCTATCAAATAGATGAAATAGCCAGACCAATAGATATTAGAATTCATTGTTAAAGAATTCTTGAGGACCAAAAGCAATTTTACAATAGGGGATAAAGCATTCATATATCAAAAGATGGCATAAATGCTTTGTACATCCCAGGAATTATGGACTCAATTTGCATCAGAAGTGAAAGAAATTGTAGATCAATGTGAATGGTTTGATGCTTGCTTGATGTTTCATGGCATTTTCGATGTAATCCTATCTGATTATTTAGGTGTTCTAAGCCTTGTCACCAGAATGTCAAGAATTCATATTCAACTATATCATTGGGCATGAGAATGAGATCGATAGTGAAATGAAGGAACTGCTATTCACAAAGTTGAAAGAGAAGGGGATCATTACGGAAGAAGATGTTGAGGAATCAAAAAAGCAAAAATGAATGTGTATAATATGCGTATAAAGTCATAATGCTAATTGATACATGTAATTGACTCTTTTTAATACTTCTTTGTAATTCCTAATTGCTTTGTTTGCTCGATCTGTGAGTGATGTGTTAGTAGTAATCGAAAAATTGAATGGTTTTAATTATAATATATTATCTTTGAATGGAGACAATTAATTCTAATTAGATTTTGAGTTTTTACATATATTATTTAAATTTAATCTGTACCTTTTGAATTTACTAGGTCAAATATTTTTTATATTAATAATTTACTATACCTACATTCATTCATCATGTAATTCAAATTATTCATATTTATTGTTTTGTTATCTTCCAATATCAAGTATTAGGATTCCCTAGTGCACAATTCAAATAGCACCAACCCTAATTGCTATTGCATGTTATAAGATTCTCCTTCCATTATCTTAATCTACCCATTATTATAGAAAATGCACGTTGTACTAAGATTTGAGGTTTAATTTTTCGATTTGATGAACATTACGCCTTGCAAGATCTAATAAAATAGATTCCAGATTTCAGTCTCTGCAATGGGCAATTCCTGATTGATTAAGTAATCTTGTAGAGTGGAGTCATAGAACTCGTAATATATTGAAATGTAGCTATTATTGTTTTATTTGTGTAACTCGGCAGCTAGTAGCTCGATTACATTCTCGTGTTCCCAATTCGATCTTTCATGCAATTCCTATTTCGAAATATCCGATTGCAATATTTTGCAATATGCCAACTATCCATTCTCTTTTTATTTCCAAATGTCAATTTGACCCAATTCCAAATGCCGAATGGTAAGTAGAAAGTCATAGCTTTCCAAGAAACTCATTTTTTGTTAACTGATTAATTAATTATAAAAATCTATAATAAAATTCATACATAATGATTACAGACAATTTTAATACTCATCATGTAATTCATAATAAATACTATTCCTAGTGAGGAACATCTATAAACTATATTTTAATTGAATATGTTCTTATATTAGATTGAAAATAAGAAAATAAATTTACATCAAATATTTGATTATTCACAATCTATCTAATAAATAGTCTTAAGTGTACTCTTAAATAGTCCTTCAATAATTGAAGATATAATTTAATTGAATTCTAATCATGTTATATTATTAAATTTTACCACTTTAAAAATTATATTAAATATCCAAATTTGGGAATTCATAATTACTTTGATCAAAGATAATATTCATAAGCTCAACTTTTTGAATTCACCAAAATATTTTGGAAATTAGTACGTTGACTATTTAATAAACAATCATTGCAAGATTATGATTTTCTATTCATTAATTTATATAGAATTTATATTTTTATTATATTTTAAATTTGATTAATATAATTAGTATTATTAATGTGATTAATTTGTTTGTGAAATTCCTGTTCAAATGAATATTATTATTTACTATCATCAATAACATCAATTTATTCATCTTCTAAACTTTCAAACTAATATATAATAGGGCTTATTAAATGATATAAATTGGTTAAGTGTTTTTGATATGCTATATAAATATTATTATTAATTGGAAATTGATATAACTTATTAGTATTTACATTTGATATAATTTCCAGAAAGGTGTTGATTTGATTAATTTATTTAATTTTAATGAATAAAGAATGTAAAATATTTAAGTCGAAGGAGATAGCTTACTCCAGAGATCCCAACGATGTAAGACTATATCATTAGTGAATTTTAAGAAAAAGAAGATCATAAATGGATATAAGATTATGAAAATAATTGGAGAAGGATCATATGGGAAAATTAAACTAGCAATTAAGGATAATCATGAATATGCAATAAAAAAGTTTAATAAGTTTATTCTGAAAAAGAAGAATAAAATATATAAGAATCCCAATGGAAGTAAATACACATAGAATTATTTAAGCAACCAAGTATGTTTCATTATTAGATGAAGTATACAGAGAAATAGAAATTCATTAAAAATTGGATCATCCCAACATAGTCAAGATGCTCGAGATATACGATGATGAAGAGAGAGAGAAATTGTATGTGGTTTTAGAATATGCAGAAATGGGGCAAATTTTGAAGTGGGAAAGCAAATAAGAATTATTCACAGCTCCATGGAAATTTGATGAACCCACATTCAAAGATTATGCCAAACAAATGCTGATGGGATTGCAATATCTTTAGTAATAATATGTTGCACATCGAGACATTAAACCACACAATATACTATTGACCAAAAATCATCAGATTAAAATATGTGATTTTGGATCAGCTCAATAAATGACTCCCCAAAATGACAGAGTCAAAGGAACTGAAGGCACATTTCAATTTGTTGCTCCAGAATGTTTAAGAGAAAATAAAAAAAGTGAAATTCCAGGATATAGTGGTCATCTGGCAGATATTTGGAGTTTAGGAGTTGTCTTTTACTGTGTAGTTGAATTGAGATTGCCCTTTCAAAGTGAGATAATGTTGGAACTATTTAATTAGATAGAAACCAAAGAGTATGATGTATTCTGCTAACATTTAGAATTACAATGAAATATGATGGGCCTGCAAAAGTTGTGATCCTCAAAATGTTGACTAGAGACACTAATAAAAGACCGACTGCAACTTAGTTATTAGAGGATCCATATTTTAAATGATTTAGTATCGTAGTAGCATTTTTATAATTAATTCTTCTAAAATCACATCATCTTGCTCAAATACTTCACTCTTAAATTCATTATAAATGTTATACTCAACAGGCTTATATTCTGATTGAACAAAATTCCATTTCAAAATCAGACATCGTTTATTGTCACATTCAAATTCAAAAACATACTCCTCTTTGTTAAAATAGGAATAATCGTAATTTAATCCAATTTCCCATACAAATACAACCCATTAAGGACCAAAGAGCTGATTCAATTGATTTCGAATGTATTCTGCCTAATTGACAAACACCTTCTATTTCTAGCTTCTTGAGAACACATCATAAATAGCCTCCTTGTGTATTTAAGTTACGTTATAACCCTATCTAATGATGCTAAATTAACTCATAGATTTCAAATAATATTCTGGGTTGTTTATAAAATAATTAAAAAAAGAATAATCAATGATGATTATCATTATTTATTACTTATCTTCTTTGGTTCCTTCATTTAGTGATTCAAATCAGTTTTGATTTTGTCAATAATTATCGATGATCTTTTATATCTAATATTAAATTGCATCTTATCCAATATCATTTAATATTATTGATCATACTTTTACCTTCCTTCTTTATTATGATATAAAACTATTTAATCATTTTTTGGAAAGATAAGACATAATTAGTATCATTTTGAACCTTCCAAATATTAACATTTCTGCGAGACTCTTAAGTTTTAGTTTTTGTAAAAGTATAAACAATTAAATTTAGCCTTATTGACATGAATTAGTAAAGCGTTGGTTTGATGAAATTTAGAATTCTACTCTATTTTGACTAGAGAGATAGTAATTACTTAGAAAATTAAATTCAGAATATTTAATTTTATTTAAATGCTTAATTCATCTTAAACCAAAAGCACTTTGGAAACAAAAAAACCAATTATGATTGAACATAAATATAGCATTATCAAAAACATTTACAGAGGAAAATAATATAACATATATTTAGGTAATAGATGTAGAATTTAAGAGATAGGTAGCCATTAATAAAGAGGAGGTTAATGATTCCAATTAGACAGATTTTAAAGATAAGTTTTACCTAATAAAGATGAGAAAGTAAATGTATATGACATTCTAAGATAATCCTAACAAAACGAGATAATTCCAGAACTGCAATTTTTATTAAGATTAAAGGACAGTATGACCCTATGCAATATTTATAGCCAACTGTGCTTCCAAACTGGTCAAACACGGAGATCAGGTTATAAATGGTTACAAATATCATTATCAAATCCTATAACGACATGGTCCTTCGATAAAGCTAGTGTACAATTATCTGTCTAAACGCCTTCCTTTACCTCTATTGTGTCTCATAGCCATTTAAGCTGTATTATTGTATATGAATATTATAGTTAACTTGTTTAGAAGTCATCCACAAAAATTAAATAGTTCATAGGAATATTCGACCGAAAAAGTTATTGCTTTCAACCAGTGGTAATGAAATCTTACTTTGCGATTTCAAATTTGCTAGTAAATTCAAGTTACAACAAGGATCAATTTGCTGTTTGGAAAATCACAATTCCACTTCAAGCAAACTATTCCTCAATAAATACTCAAGTATTAATTAGCATTTGAATCAATGTAAGAGCGTCAATACGACTATTAGTTCCCACACCTAAGGATGACCTAGAGTCCCTAGCTTATATATTGTTAGTGTATGCAACAAATTCAAGTATCTTCAAGGTAAAAGCCGATAATAAAGGGCTGAAACTCAAAAAATTGGAGAACATTAAATTATCAATGATACCTGAAATTGCATTTAAATCCGCTCCAATTGAATTCATCCACTTCTTAAACCTAATTAAGATTAGCAATGCCAATGACTATCCTTAAGAATATGAGAAGTTCAAATCATTATTTCGTAAGATTATTTAAGCCAAGGGATGCAACGAAAAAGATCTCTAATATCCTTTATTCCATATACAATTTCAAGAATCTCATCCGTAACAATAATAAATTTAGGCAAGTAGATTTAAGAAAACTTAGAATGGCAAGGAGACTTCTGAAGATGAGGATGACTTTTCAGTTTATTAGTGTAATACCGTTGGAGAGGATTGTACTATAGAACCAGTCATAAAGTCTGTAGGACCTTAATCACACAAAAGCCTATCCGGTCTTAATTCACTTAGACTTGAACTTGAATCCTAAATCATGAAACTCTAATTAACTAGGACTTGAAATGTAGAATATTATATTAACAATTTTCTGCATTTATTAGATATAATTATAATGTTTTTTGGGTCAATTAATAAATAAATGAAATATTATATCATTCTTTGTTTCGTTGCAGCTACTTTGGCTGGATCTTGTGGATAAACATGCTGCTAAGATTTGAAGACCAGAGCAGCAATGACATATCACTATTATATTAACACAGGTAGATTTGTTGGAGGCAGCGGAGACTCTGCAATTAAAACATTTGGATATTCTGGTTCTGGTCAAGTATCTAAAGTCATTCGATAAAATGTAGTATAGAAATGATCCAGCATCAATGTGCATCAAGAACAAAGGTCCTGCTCCAGCCACTACTTATAAAATCACATTATGCAAAAACACAATGCATAATCCCCCTGTTGACAGACCTTGTTCTTTCTGGATCGAGGCAGTAGATGAAAAAACAATGTGTGGCAGAAGCGAAATCTTCATCCATGGATGTTAATGCTGCACTAATGGAGATTGGACCGAACCACCTGTTGATGGATGTTCTGCAGGGTAAATGAATATTTGATTACATCATTGTAGATGCGTCATCATAAACGAAGCCAATAGAAAGAAATTAAGAGTCGGAGACACTATAATTATTGAGGAGAGAGATCCATTGGGTGAGGATGTTGAATTCTTGGAAGGTTACTCTTAATTTGCTCAAGAAGAATGAAGCAATTGTTATATCATTGGACAATTATTTATCAATTATTTATGAAATGTTTTCTTGCTCTTTTACTTGTTGTCACAACTTAAGCTGCAAGTTGTGGACAAACCTGTTGTTAAGATTTCCAACAAGAACTCCAATCACATTCTATTACTTTATAAGCATTGGGAGATTCTTCGGAGACAGTGGCCATTTATCAATTAGTACTTTTGGTTATTCTGGAGCTGAAAAAGTATTTATTCTATGGAATCAAAACCAATATAGGAATGATCCCGATGCCTAATGTTTAAAGAACTAAGAACCTGCACCTGCTAATACCTTCACAATAAAAACATACTAAAATACTATGCATAATCCTCCAGTTGACATGGCTTGCTCATTTTCGATAGACTGTATGGATAAAGACAGAAGTCGTGGAAGAACAGAAATTATGATCCATGGATGTGCTTGTTGCACACCTAATATTTGGAGAGTAAGGACAACTTAGATATCATCCTAGAGGAAGTGTTAGTATTGGATAATCAAACTTACTGTACCACCTATCGATGGCTGTTCTCCAGGGTGATAAGTAATTACTAAGATAGTTGTATCATTATAAATGAAGAGAATAGAAAAAACTGAGAGTAGGAGACACTTTGATTGTTTAGGATAATGATCCATTGAGTGAAAGTATCAAATTAGATGACATCATCTTGGATAAAGAAATTATGTATTAATGAATTATTAATTTGCAATAATAATTCCTGTTATTATTAATGATAAAATTTAGATAGAAGGTTTTTTCTTTTCATTTAGTTCTTTAATAAAATTCAAAGGCTGAATCTTACATTGTTTAGTTATAGGGTGATAATTTTTATAGAACATTTTTCAATGAGACTTGACAACATCCAGCCATTTCAGATATCGCATTTAAATTTATACCTCCTTTTTCTTTGAATACAAAATCTCCTGTTAATTTAATTAGGACTGAGGCGACTACATGCTCGTGTTCTCCTTAAATTAGATTCAAATTCTTTAAATTGGAAAAGAAGAATTTGCATAGTGTTTGAAACTTCTGATTAAATCCTATGCATCTACAAATTCTAGTCATGAAGGCTAGGGTAAAGGCGTCTTCGTTAAATGGTTTGAATTGGTTTAGTTGAATCAATATCTTGCGTACTTGTTTCTCATTCACATCGATAATTTAAATAACTTCGTTGACTCTTAATGGAATGAGCAGAATTCTTAAAGATTATATAATCAATGCACATGCTATTGATTAATATTTTTTGGATTTTACTTTCTCTATCAATTCACTATTCAACATCTCTAAGCAGTTGACCTTGATCACGTCTTGGTTTAAATCACTTAAGAATTAAAAATTAGCTTGTGAAAGCTTTTTGAGCATTTCCTCGATTAAAAGGTTGACTTGTTTGAGTCTTCTTTTGTCGGATTTCTGCAATTCTGGCATCTGTTTTGTTTCTTCGATTTATTTCTGGACTACTAAATTCCAATCGAATTTGGGAGGAGGTGGTCTTTAGCTAATTTTGGAATTCATATTATTTGGTTAATTAATTAATTAGAAGAAATTTAATTGAAGTGCCACTGACCAGAAAAGACCAGAACTTATTTTCAAAGCATGTTATGTTATTGAATTCAAGTAGATATTATTTCCATAATATATTCTGCATATTTAATCGGGCTGTAATTCTATTCGCGCTTATATAAATTTATTGCTATTATTGTAGAAAATCAACTGATAAATAAAAATATGTAAACAAATGTTAGCAAACCTGTTGAAATCTCTTATCAATCTTAAATCATCTGTAATTCATCCCATCTATATTAGAACCTACTTTAAAGTCGTAGCAGCCACCCAACACTTAGATACAAAAATAGGCATTATAATCGATCCCTTTGGTTCCATTGAGATAAGCCCACAAATCCATGACCACAATTAGACCCTCCATATTTAAATCCAGAGTGGAGGAGTCAACTTCGTTTAATAAGTATTATATAAACTATGAACTCAGAGATGCCTCATCCCTGATAGCTAAACTTGATTCGTTACGCGAAATTAAAACTTAAGAGAGTCCTTTCAGACATCACAAAACAACCTACATTCAACCTCAATCTAGCGTTGTCTTGGAATTCAAAAACGCTGCTCCAAAAACTGTTCAATTGTAATCAAGTGTCTTCGCAAGTTGCGTTGAACCTTTCCGTTCTTCTAAAAGCATCGCAAGCTCGAGTGTCTCAAACAGTTAATAATGGAGTAAAACTGTGCCTCCCCAAAAAAATTATGAAGCACTCATCGAAACTCTGATGAAAGAACAAGACACTGTGGTTGAACAATATGGTGAGAAATTAACGAGGTTGGAATAAAAAGTGGTTGTCCTCTCTCAAGAAAACACTAATCTTATGGAATAAAATAAATTACTTTTGACTTAAAACATTGAATTAAATGAAGAAATTACATAATGGAAAAATTAAGTAAAACAGTATCTTCAATAATCGTAAATTAATTCCAAATTCCAAAATGATATCGAAATCTTAGAAAAACAACTTGAATACAAACAAGATGAACTCAACTAAACCATCTCAAACCTGGAATAAATCAAAAACATCAATCAATCATTCGAACTCACAATCAAAGAATAACAAGACCAAATCAATTCCATACTCTAACAATAACTTAAAGAAAATGAAGCCTATAACTCAAAAATTATTGCCCAAAAATAAAATATCCAAGAATTAGAATCTAAAGTAAATCAATTTTTGAAAAATGAATCTTCATCATAAACCTTAATCAGAGATTTACAGAATAAACTCAGATTATTAGAACAAACCAATGAGAGATCGAAAGTCCTCAATTAACAATCTCCTTCCAAAGTATAATTACATTCTACATAGATTAATGTTAAAGATTAATATGAATATAAACAATTACTCTTGGAATTGGATAGCAAATCCATGACCATTACAGAAAAAGAAACCTAAGTAGAAGCATTGAAAATCAAGAACACCATGCTCTAACAATAGCTAATATAATTACAAGCATGCCAATTGGGTATCAGAGATTATGAATCTGGACTTAAGTAAAAGCAACAAGAAATCAATGAACTATAATTAGCTTTATAAAGAAAAAATTAAGAATGTGACACTCTTTCTTAAAATCAACATAGCATAATCAATAATAAATATGAAGAATATGAAAATATCATAAATGAATTGTAAACAGCTTTGCAAAATAAAAATGATGAACTCGAAAAAGTTACCGTTCAATTAAAAACAGTCAAAAAGGAAAAAGCCAAACTATCTATGAATTTAATTACTGCTGGAATGGCAAATCTAGTCATGGTATCCTAAACTTCTACCTGAGGTATGAGTCTCCCTGATAATCATTTATATCAAACATATGCAAAACATTATTAAGATTCTTCTTATAAATATACAATTATTAAATCTTAATCAATATTCAAAGTAACAGATAAAAACTCAAAAAAAAATACATAATTCTAGCAGAGATTTTAATCTTCTTAAGTTATTTGAACATTCTCTGGAGTGCCTAGTGATTTAATGAAATATTTATGGATAAAAACGCTGATACATACACTGGTATTGAAGTCGCACTAGTTCCAAATTTAATTTTAAATCTAATTTGAAGTGCTATGCTGAACCCAATAATCCATAGAGTTTGAATCTTAAATTCATATTCATGCAAAAAGTAACACAAATATATTATATATTACATAGTGTAATAAATGATGCAGTAAAATAATATCATAATATAAAACATGTAAATTATATTTATAATTAATTGATAAATTAATAATATAATTTTTTATATAATTAAATTAAACTTTTTTTAGAAATTTTTTAAATAATTTGGATAATATATCTTCTATGTAAGACTTATTTTCAAATATTGGATTGAACAAAGAAATCTAATCATTCTAATAAATATTTTATGTTCTTAAATATAAAATTCTCATGAGCAACAACATCTTATAATTACTGGGCCCTTTATCACCACAACTAACACTAAGATCGAACCTGCAAATACTCCTAGATTCATTTTGGTCATAAATTTGAAACTCTCTTCATCCTTCTTAGTAGATAGGCTTGTTAGAATATGTTATTTTTTATTAATAGTTTTTTCTGCTGAGAAAATAGCTAAATTTTTTGTAATCTGTGAAAAATTTAGCTCCGCTACAAGGCGCATAACCTTTTTATCTCCCTTAACTAAGGTCTCAGACTATAGTTTGATGTCATTGAAAAATGTTACCTTTAGATCCTCATAAATTTCAAGCTTAAAAATAATAACATATCTTACTAAGAAGGATATCTCAACTTATTTTTTTTGTTCTTTTAGCTCCATAACATAGTATTGCATCTTTTCTGGAACATTTAAATTCAAATTTGAAGAATCAGAAAATTTAATAACTTGTGAATGGCAATCATTTCCGAAGTATCCTTAAAAACACTCACATTATTATTTCTAACAATATTTAAATATGTTACGTGACATAGACCATGGTGATTACACTAATTCAAGCAATTGTTTCCTAATTCCATCAAAGGAGTTACTTTTATTTTATGCTTTGTGTTGTTTTATGAAATAACCTAAATAATATTCTATTTATGATGTTCATTGTACACTACTACGTGTCTTTCCAATTAGCCATCTAAATAACTTTATAGAATATTATTTTATATACCTTGAAATTTTTATATAGTTAAAATTTAGTTAATCTTATTCGGTAACAAGTTGGACAAGAAGAAAGGTTTGATCCTCATGCTCTAAACTTACATCAATGCTATAATAAGAGTGATCTGCAGGGAGAGTGTAAAAGGAATTACTTGAAATACTCTCTTCACTCCATTAGTTGAAAGAATTTTCCAACTGATGTAAGTAAACTTATTTGCTCAAACTGCTATTGGCAACAATGACAAGTAAAGTTATGTAGCAGAGCATAAGGAATTGTGTAAATAAACTACAATTTATTTAATACTAATTAAATTTTGAATATTGACAGAAAGATACATTGTAGCTGTATTTGAAATATTAAATTAATCGCGATTAGAATAATATTGATTTTAATATACAAATTCTTAATGAACATTGCATCGCATTATATCATATAGAAATAGTATTATAATAAATTTTAAATAATATAATAAATTCTGAAATTTTAATGGCGGATAGATTTGATGAGCATTTCTTTTTAATCGCAAAGGAGACAGGAGGAATCGAAGGGCTGTTAAACTCGTTATTCAGTTTTCTATTGAGAAGGACAGATTATTATTATGAATGTATTGCATGTAAAAATCAATTTAGGTGATCCAGGAGATAAGATGGGATTTCCACCTGGAGTGGCCTTGAATATGTTAGGAAACATATTTAAGAAATATTAAGATGAACATTATAAAGTACATAAAAAGAAGTCTGCCTAAGAATATAAGGAGAAGTTGGATATTTATTAAAAGAAGTAGAAGGAATTACAAGAGAAACAAAGAGAGTAGGAGGAATTAAAGAAGGAGGCATAAAATCAGCAATAGCAACAAAAGTAGGTTCAACAAAGTGAGAATAAAGGTCAATAGGAGGTGAATGTGAAATAAGAGCAAAATCAATAAAAGAATGAGAGTTTTACTCACAAACAAAAAATAGATCCTTACATTAATACTTATAATGGAGGACAGACAGATAAATATTCTTGGAGTTAATCTGGTAATGATGTGGTAGTAACAATGAAAGTTCCAGAAGGATCTAACAAAAAAAATGTATTATATATTGTTATGAACAATTCATTAGGTTAAGGTGAATATTACAGCGAACACATTAACAGTAAAGGTGAAGGATAACGTGGTTGTAGATGGAAAATTATATGACAAAGTAAAAAGTGATGAGTCAGTATGGTCTATAGAGGAGAATCTATTGACCATCACTTTGGAAAAGGGGTAGGAGAACATTTGGAAAACTGTTATTCAAGGAGATTAAGAAATAGATGCAACGAAGGTTGAGAATACAAAACCATTGGAGGATTTTGATTCTGAAACTCAAGGGGCAATCAGAAAGATAATGTACGATTAACAAAGGAAATAGTAAGGGTTGCCAACAACAGAGGAGGAATAATAATTAGAAATGTTAAAGAAAGCTTGGGATGCTGAGGGCAGTCCATTTAAGGGTTAGCCTTTTGATCCAAGCAAATTCAATCTTAGTAATGGTTAAATATAGTTCTGAGATATTATAGATATTATATTATGTTGATATATAATTATATATATAAATATTTGATTGAATGTCTGTAAACTAGATAATCGAATAAGTGCTTGTGAGTATGTTGGATTTTGAAAACACAGACTTCAAGTTATCTAAGAAATCTCAGATTCTGGAATTGATTGAGAGAGACGAACTATTAGTTATGGAAAGACAATGGCCTGCAAAACGATTAAATATGGTGGAATTCATAAAATTGATGATTCCCATAATCCATCATAAATAGAGTGAACTTTTGTATCTGGTGATGGGATTGATTGAATTATATAAAGATGTTGTATCAATAAGTTAATAGAATGAACTCAGCTTGTAAGATGTTACAAGTTATGTATGTTAAGTAGATACAACTGAAAATACTATGGTGCCATAACGTTTGATATCTGATCCAAAGAGATTCAACTTGAACAAAACAAGAATCAGGGAAATAGATGTGGTAAGTTATAAATTTGACAATTCTAGGAATCAGCCAAAATTATCGGAAGCAATGATAATGAGATATTTCATATAGTTCCAAATTCATTGTAAAATGACTCAATCAGACATCACAATGGCATTGTTCATACAGGGGTATATTGCAACAAACAAATTATAACACTTGATAGTTTGGATTCAAAGATTAATATCTATCATGTGGATGGTTCGTTGAAACAAATGGTCAAGATATCATAACATGAAGACAAAGAAACCATCATTTTGAGTTTTGCTTGGTCTGATAGATAACAGAGAGTATTCTTAAATCTCATATATTAAGATTGGCTTGACTCTAAAATCACATTCCATTTGCATGTATGAGGGTGACTTTAAAAAATATAGAATATTCTCAACTGTTTTGGCCTCATAGGAATATCAAACAAACATTTGGTTTCTGGAAAACCAGAATTAATGGGTTACTACAGATAGCACGTTTAGGTTATACTTTTGGGATCTACTGAATGAGTCAGCTAGTCTGATCTTTCATAATAAATGTATCTAGGGAAATCTCATTGAATGTGTAGAAGTAGTTCATATGAAAATGATAGCGACTGCCTCCTTAGACAAGTAAGTGGCTTTATGGGATATCTAAAATGGAGAAATTAAAATTACATTGTCACTAAAAGAATATGGGGGTATTCATAGTTTAGTCTACTCTTATTACTACTAAGTCTTCATTACATGTGGATATTCTACATATATAAATGTATATGACATCAATCCTAAATACCATGATGTAACTCAGATAGGTAAAATGACAGGACATACTTCCATGTTAACATCTATTCTCATGGTTGGTAAGTTACCTGTATTGGTCTCTGGTGATGATAGTGGATCCTTAAGATTATGGGATATTAGAACATTTTCTTGTCTTCAATCCCTTAACTTTGGAAAGAAAACTCAAATCACTAAAATTCTAGACATGTCTGATATTAATATGTTATGTTTTCTTGGATCAAGAGTTAACATCCTAAAATTAGATATTAGACATAATGAAGAAATTGAAAAATATGCAGTTAAAGTTGAATTTGATCAATAAAGAGATGAATTAATTGTGGCAACTAAAAAATAAATAATATTCCTTGACATTTTTACTGGCAAAATTAAAACTATTTTGAATGGTTTATTATCTGAATTTGAAGATGATATAACTTAATTTAGACCTCTGAATTATTTCAATAAATTCATATTGGCAGATTCTAAAGGTAATGCTAAAATTTATCATCATAATGGAGAATACCTTTCTTCATTAAAAGGCCATTCGGACATTAATGTATTAAAATTAGACATTTTAAACAAACTAATTATTACAGCAAGTTAAGATTGTATTCTTATTCAAAAAATGAATGGGGAAATCCTGAGAGAAATTACTCATTTCGAGGCTTCTCAATTAGAATTATCTGTTCATCATTCTCTCATTCTATTATCCTAAGGCTCTAAACTATACTATATAGATTATGAATTTGTTAAATGTCTAGGAATTCTGGAATTTGATGCAGAAATTACCAACATTATTTTCATAGCTAATTATCCTTTATTGGCTGTCTCTACCATACAAGGAAAAGTAATATTTATTAAATTCAATATCAAAGAGCACATTTAAGTTGATTCAGAACTGTATGATCTCTATGACGTGGGTTCAAATAACTATATCACTGAAGAAACAGAATAGGAATTCGTAACCAAGATGCTATTCAATTTAAAAGAACTAGAATTATTGTTTGCAACTTCAGAAAGCAACATAATTAGAATCTCTTTGAATTTAGATGATTTAGCAACTACAGAGCCAATCCATGAGAGAATCAATTATAATCCTCTCAGAAAAGCTAGAGAATAACTGTTGTTTAGTGAACCTTAGAAAATCTCCATCTCGCAGAACTTTACAAGCATTAAAAATCTACACATGTTTAAAGTCTCTAAAAAATAGATAATTTCTCTAAGCTTCCTAGAATTAGACAATCGCTATATTTTGATCTCTACTAATGATGGATAAATTTCGATTTTCGATCTAATTGGAAACTTAATTGCTTTATATAATATCAATCATCCTTTGCCTATCAAATGGAACATCTAGTATTCAAAATAAGGAGAACTAAGAAAAAGAATCATTTATGGATTTAAAGTCATTGACATTTTGAGAAAGTAATCTAAATCCGAAAAGGAAGCTGAATAATATAGTTTAGTTGAATCTCTGGCACTCACCGGTAGGATTCCATTGAAATCTCCAAGATAATATAAAGCCACTGTCATGAGAGATGAATTCAGTCCTAGAGATCTTAAATTCAATAAAATTAGACATCTCTATTAAGCTGAAGTGTAAGGCCCAACTCTTAAATAGCTTGAGGCTTAAAGAAGACTAGTAGAAGTTTAGAATATGTTTAAAGATGATTCTAAAGATCCAAAACTAGATCTTATTCTCAAGTAAAAAGAGAGGGAAAGATAAAAGGCAATTGATAGAGCAAACAATTTAAATTTTTTAGATCCAGAATTTAGAGATAAATCTTTATTAAATACTAAATTCTTCTAAAATAACTAATATCTTACTAATCTAAATTTAAGACTAGAAAATACAGAAAGATAAGATTATTCTTAACATACTAATAAGGAAATCAATAATACTAATAATGCTAATAATAAATAAAACATATATCTTCCTATCACTAATCGACATCTTAAATCTATCACTAAAAAAAAATCAGTATCTGATTTTTATCAATATGCTGTCGAAAAAAACTTATTTAATAATGATCAAAATACTATCGATACATTTGCATCTCAAAGTAGTTTGAGGCCTGTTCAAATTAGCACGAATCGATAAATGAAATCCATTGGATCTTCCTTAATATCAAGTGACTTAACTTGGCATGGATAACATCGATAACAGCAAAAGGATTTATCTACAGTGCTTCATAACTTAAATCAAAAACTAAGACTTAGCAAAAATGCTTAAATTAATGAACCCATCTTAAAGGATATCTCCAAGTCAGACATTACATTTGAAGAACAAATTGACGATTTTAAAAAACGACACAAACTTAAATGAAATTTATATTTACATAAAATATATATATTAAATATTGAAAATTATATATATATTAATTTGAGTATGATTATTTTAATCTTATTATATATGTCATATCTGTGTCAAATTCATTGGACTTTGAAAGAATTAATTTGAATTAGATAGTAAAATTACTTATTTTTGAATCTCTTCACACCATTTTTAAATTAGACAGAAATTTTTTAGCTCCTTTTCTTCAGTAAATTTCTCGTTTTAATTAGTTTTTTCTTTTTATCCTATATTTGAATTTTCTATACAATTTTCTGTTTTTTATGATGAAAGAATTGTTGACATCGAAGGATATAGTGGATTTAATACAATTTCGTATGTCCTTATTACTTTTCGAACCTTTCTGATTCTACTTGGCTTTTTACCCACTCTACCCTCTCTCTAAAACGTGTTTATTATCGATTTACAAGTAGATTATAAGATATTGTACTCTTATGCCACCTAAATCATTAAAAGTAGAATACTTCCATTATGGTTTTTTTTTCATTTAGAATCTTGTGAATAATTTATTGTCTTAACTCATTTTTGATTTTGCAATATTGTTTCTTAGAGTAATCCATTTTGATAAATATTTATATTTTTATTTGATTGAATTTGCTAATCTTAATTGATTATATAATAAGAATCTTTTTTTCAATTAAAAAATTATGTTCAAAGTCTCTTCTCAACCTTTAATTTTTCATCATTTCGTTAATTCTTGTAAAATATCCATTATGATAAAAGTTTAGAAAAGAAGAGTTAAATCAAATTTTTGAAAATTCCATTACCTTATTAATCTTAAATAAAATTTATCAAGAAATTTAATCTCAATCAAATAGAATTGTAATTATTTCAAATAGCTAATGAAATTTCTATTTTTTAGTTAATGCATCCTTCATTCAATCAGAAGGAAGAAAAAATTTCTTAAATTTCAAATTTTGATACTTTATAAGATTTTTATCATTTTTATTTAGAAAAATCCATCACATATTAATGTGTACTAATATTAACATCTAATTGTAATTATTATTCAAAATTATTAAATTATAATTATTATTAACAGTAAGATGGCCTACAGTATTTCTAAAGACGCTCAATAACTTCTGTGCGAGATCATAAATTAAATAAGCCTGACTGAGAGGAGAGCCGAATAAATAAGAATATAATTATGCAGAAAAACTAGTTTCAATCCTTACGCTTGCTTCAAAAGGTATTACATGTAGCAAACCCTAGATTAGATTCAATGAACACTAACTAAATTAAACCAGAATAGGTAGTACAACTTTTGAAAGAGTATGATTTCTTCGTATAAGAGCTAAATACTTTGTTTAATAAAACTTTTTTGAAGGAATTTCTTAATTATCAAGAGTATTAATAATAGTTGCTAATTTTTCAGCTTTTTAAACTTAATTTTACCAAAAACCGATAGCGAATTGAGAGAGATCACAGCTATGAAATAACCTACAAAATCCGCTGTAGAAAAATAGATAGATTACACATTAGCTTAATTATTCAATTTGTATTTCTAAGACTAATTATAGAGAATATAATGAAGCTATAAATTTAGAAAGATTGAAAAATATATTAAGTAATCAATATAATGCCGATCAAATGTTTTAAAGTTTGGATTCTCTAAATAACAATATCCTTAATTTTAAGGATTTTGATAGATTCTTTAGAAGGAATGGGCTCTTGTTATATGAGGAAGAATTGGTAATTGAAACTATAATTAATAGATAGCATTTTTTTATAGAATAGATCTTCAAAGAACAGGATAGATTACTTTGAATGAGTTTAGAAGAATGTTAGAGCCTCTCCAAAAATCTGAATAGCCAATTCCAACTAACAATCTATAAACTCCAAAATAAGCAATATCATATCCAAAATTTTCGAGTACCTTTAATGATGAAGTTGGCAGTGGTAAAAAAGCTGGGCAAATAATATAAACCAGAAACTTCTCAGCAAGCAATAAAAAAAAGTTTCAATCTACGAGGAGAACTTCATCAATTACAGAAAGTCTATAAACAACAAAATTATCGGAGAATTTTTTAAATGAAGAATAAAGATTTATTGATTTAGGATTGGAGGTCTTAAAATTGGAAATGTATTTAGAAGAAATAAGATTAAAATTATAATAGTAAAAAGATTTCAACACTATGGATTTCTTTCATTTTATGGATTTGAAAAACAAAGGTAAAGTGAATCAACATGAATTTGCTTATTTTTTAGAACAAATATCGCTCAAAAATATTGATATTATTGAGTTGTTTAATTATTTGGATACAGATTTAGATGGGTTTATTAGATATTCAGATGTTTCTGAATTTATTTCTCCTTCAAATATGAGCTCAACTTACATTTGTAAGAAACCAGCTAAAAATAGTCATTTCTCTTATTCAATCTCCTAATTATTCTCAAAAACAACTATAATATTGATTCAGTTGCTATTTAATCAGTGGGATGCAAATGAAAAAATAATAAGACAAAAAAAAAAATAATTCTTGAATGAATAAAGTCTGTATTAAATTTTCAATAAACTTGATCAATACAAAAAAGGGAAATTCAATCGATAAGATGTATTTTTATTATTAATTTAGCTTCAACGTTTTTTTGATCTTTATAATGTTAAAGACGATATTAAATTACTGTATAAACGATTGGGAAAACTCAACAAAGAGATTAATTATAAGGAATTTGAATTATTTTTTATCAACTGATACTCACAAATACAATTGATAAAATCTATCTATAGAATAGTGAATTTATCTATTCACCTTCGACTTGTTCTATTGATGCAAATCATTAGGATTGTAAATTTGATAATCTTCTCTCTTGTCCCAATATTAAATATTAAGTTCTGCCAATGTTTTATCCATTTAAGTCTAAACTTCATTATTAATGAATATGTCAATGTATTTTGTGAATTCTTCAGGTAAATTTAATTGGAAACCTATTAATTGAATGATGTCAGCAACTGTTGTAATGAGAGGAGCTTTGATGAAATTTTTATCAATTTGATTGATCAACTAATTTTAAGCACAGAGTTAGATATTGCAAGATTGATTGGTATTGGTTTTATTGACAAATTTTTAAAGTTATTCATTTTTCTATTTTTATTATCTAAAATTTTTAATCTCTTATTATATTAATAATTCCTCCTGCATTCGATATTATTTGATATCAGGAACTACAGTATTGAGTATTTTATTCACAACCTCATCAACGCGTAAGTCTCTCCTAGTTGCTATTTTTTTTCTACATGTGGGACATGACTTTTCTCTTTAGAATCTTATGCTCTTTTCTATACATTCCTTGCAAAACCTATGACTACAATCCTTAACTGAGTTCAATTAAATAAATACTATAGACTGGCTATTCAAATAAACTTAAACAGATAGGACATTGAAGTTCATCAAATATTTTCACCACTTGATGATCTGTAGGTTCTTTGTCAGAATCTATTAATGCACGAACCTTGAATATTCCAATTAAATTATTTGTTTATTCATCTACTATATATTCAGAGTCTGATTAGTCTGAGGCTTCTTTTAATGTTCCAAGCATAAATTTAAAAGAATATTATTGTTTATTTATAATTTTTTTCAAGTGATTTTTTGTTTAACTAATATATATTGCTATTTTAATTATCATGCCCTTTGTGATGAACTGCATCTTGGTTTTAATTTCGGTAATGCACAAGTAGTCCTATTCTAAGTATTTATTTTCTTTATTGCTTGAAACTCTATTGTGTCACTAGTAGTATTCAACACAGATTTAATATTTGTTATATTTTGATGAATTTTTTGATTCTCTTAAAAAATTTCTGTCCATTTCTCATTTTCCAATCTTCGAAATTAAGATTGCACAGAATAATGAATTTCTTGTTTTGGCTTTCTCAATTTTATTTTTTGTATTTAATTCGTCAAATGTTTCTAGGTTAGAGCTCTTCTTATTTTATCATTCAAAGATAGCGTATATTCAAATATCATATTCGTTAAAATTAATATTATTATAATATTAGAATTTAATGAGTTTAGAAAACTATGCTCATTAATACTATTCATTTTTTTATCATGACATTATTTAAACAATATATATTTTACATGATTGTAAACTATCTCTTAACTTATTTAATTATCATAGGTTTTGATTGTGTATTCAAACCAGCCATAGTGGTCTGGTATCGTATCAATGTAAAAAGAATATGAAGAATAATCGTCTTGTTAACGCCAAATTTAAATTAGTTTTTGCTCTTTTTCTTGTTATTGTAGAATATACTAAATTGAAAGCCACAAAATCAAAAAGTAATCAAATAATAACATAAATTAAGAAGATATCGAGTTTAAATATCAACAACATATTCATATGCCTAATATGCTTTGCTCTCTTTTTCATAAATCAGTTAAAGTACAAACTAAAGCTGTTATTCTTACTATCTGATGCAAAAAGTCTTAAATTCAATACTCAAGAAATCAAAATAAATTGCAACTAAAAAAATAACTATATTTGAGTAGTTTCAGATAATACCGAAGAAGCAAATTTAATCTTGAGGTCACCTAATAAAGATAGTAACTAAGAAATTTGAGAATATTATATGTAAAAATAGGTGATACAATATAACTTAAACATATAATAAACACCCACAATATTGTATAATCTTAATGTCAATTCAAAGTAAAAATAAATTATGCATATATTAATTATTCATAAGAAAAAGTAAGTATTATTTAACAATAAATTCTATTGAATTTTTGAGAAAAGAAAGAAAAAATATAAGAAAATAAATACTTAAATTAATTTTCTAAGTATGTTTCTGATATATTAATATCTTTACAAGTATTGACTAGTGTCTTAAACTTTGTAGAATTTTCTAAATAAAACTTATTTATATTTCTTAAATATATTTATTGATCAACATAAATCAACAACTAAAAAATAGATACTAAACAATAAATTAACTTAAATGTTGATAATTATCTAAATTATCTTTTAGTGATAATTTGTAATAAATTATATAAATTATTTTAATAATGAAAATAATAATTGACGCCATTAATTATGAATCAGATTAGAATAATTATTAAGTAAAATTAAAATGTGGACCAACAGTGTTATAAACAGTGTTAGGAAATAATTGGAATCACAGATTTGTTTTAGAACATAAAAAAACATCAGAAATCAGAATTGAAGTTTGGCAGAAACCTAATGATGAATACTAATTAATTGGAGATTCAATAGTTTTGAGAATAGAGGGAGCATAAAGATTGACAATAAAATAAAATAACAAGGAATAGGGTTTTATCAATGTGTTTTATAAGGAAGTGAAGGACTCAGTTACACAATAAATTCTTAGTTAAGACTCATTGAATGTAAGTATTAAATGAACTTTAGTTATCCAAAATAGAAAAATAAGCGTAAGCCCTATAGAAATTGAATGATTCATTATCGATGATGCCCAGTCCACGTCAAGATTTTGGATCTGTAAGTGAATATTTCTCATAATAATTTTAAAATGAAGATATCGTAGGAAATTCAAAGTAAGTAGCCACTAAACTCATAAAGGAATCATTTGACAGAGTATTACAAAATATCCAAATTGAAAAAGAAACTCATATTCAAGATGATGATGAATAAGTGGAAAACGAAATAGAAAAAAAAAATATTGAGAAGGTGCAAAAGTAGTTGATGAAAATTGATTGCAATAAATTGGAGAAAAAAAGAAAACAAATAAGTTCTGAGATTCTCCAATTAGATGAGATAGCTTAATCGTTGAGAATAGATTAGATAGATTAAAAATAATAAATATAGAATATAAGACAGGATTTGTTATAGAAATTGCTTTATCTTGAAGATTAGATTGAGCATCTAAAGAAGTAAATAAGAAAGTAGAAACATCATGTGTTTGGAACAAATCCTAATTTAGTAAATAGCGAAATAGAAATGAGTTCGATTAATTTACAAAAATAATTTGTTGAAAAATGGTAATAAGATCCCAATGTAGAAAAACAAAGACAAGAATTCATATAGAAGTAGATACAGGAATGGAATGACATTTAAAGTCAAAGGAAAAAGAGGATTGAAGAACAATTTAAAAAGATTGAGTAAGAAGCAAAAATAATACTGTAAAAATAAACTGAGTTATAATAAACAACAAATGCTAAAAAGAGGGAGGAGATAGAAAAGAACTTAAAGCTATTAGAAGAACAGTAAGCAAAACGAAAAGTTGAATTAGAAGAAGCCAATAAAAGATTTGAAAAAAAGAAAAAAGAAAAATATCTTGCCTTAAAGTATGCGGAATAGGATGCTACATATATGATTTAATTGCAACAAGACAGAAAGAAAATACTGGCTCAAAATAAAAATCCCGATTTTGATGCAAAAGAAATCAAATAATTCGAAGATAAATTTAACTAAATTCATCTCGAAAAATAGAAAAAAAGAAGAATCTAATGGGAGGAACGAGAAGCTTAATGGAATAAGTTTAAAGCTTAATATTATTCATCTTCATATCAAAAGGCTAAGGAATAATATTATAGAATTGGAAATGTGATTGAATAAGAAAAATAAGAAAGATTAAATAAACTTTCATAATATATTAAGGAAGTAAAATAGAATCACAAACCTACTGTCTCTGAAGAACTATAAGAGAAACTTATAATAATTAAAAACTCGATAAAGCATTAGAATGACTTTAAAAAATATTAGTCTCTCTCCAAGATAGTTCAATCTAAGCATTAATATCATGGTGTTAGTAAAGAGAAATTATAAAAAAATATCAAAAAACATAAACTTGTGCCTTTAGTGAATTTGCCAACCAAAATATCTCCAAGAGATGTAGGAGATTTTTATTTAAAATAAAGTGCCACTTATAATATTAAAAATATCCCCCCAATACATCAAGTTTAGAAGAATGATAATGAAGCTAAAGAATCAGCAACATCTCTACCGAATCCTAAAGTATTTGATTATTTGAAACACTAAAGGATAAAGAAAGCCTAATTAGAAAAGGTAAGAGTATAAATATTTATAGAATTAAAAAAATGAAAATAATGTCCTGCAAAAAGAAGATTAATAGATGCTTGATTAAATTAAGATGAAGCTAGATTATTTAAAGTGAAATGTTATTAATTTTTATTCAAATTATATTAATTTTTGTTGGTTAGTTAATTATTCATATAAAATTTAAATTTAGCGCAAACTTCATAATTATATATTTACATAACTCTCAGATCTCATATTATTATTGATCCTTAATATCAAGCCATGTAAATTCTTCCTTTTAATATCAATCTAATCACATATTGGATAATTCCAAACAAAATATAAGATGATAATAAATTAAATATATATTGAATATTTTAGATTATATTTTAAATTAATGTTTTAACCAAAATAATTGCATTTACCTACAGTTCCTCAAACATAAGAAATTGAATATTCGAAATAGTCTTTTGAAGACAGTGTCTTGAAAATTTAGAATGTTTCATTGGCAACTAGGTTGGATTATTTAAAAAAAACGATCAAGGAACAAAAATCTATAATTACAGAATTGGTGGAAAGAGAAATCAGACATCAAAAGTTTTTTAGTTTTCTTGAAATAACTTGGAGAGGGTTTCTGTAGAGAAGTCTGAGAATTGAAAGTATTGTAAAGAAGAAGGGACTTTTGGAGAACAAATATCTAAATGCTTTTTAATATTTGGATGATGTAAGTTAATTCAAATATGTTAGATCTTCAATAGTCAATATTTAATGTGTAATAATATAGAAGGACAATTCAAAAAGTAAATAAGTCATAAGTTTGAGTAATTTTTGAGAATAATTGAGAATATTTATTTTGAGATCTCTCTGGAATACAGTGAATTCATGGAGATGATTAAGGATAGGACAAATTAATTGTTAGATTTAGAGGAGCAAGATTACATGGAATATGTGAAAAAGCTAATCAGTACAAATAAAGAGGTGACGAAAAGAAATCAGGATATAGAGTAAAATTTGAAATAGATCTAAAAAATAAAGGAAAAGAAATTGAGCGATTTGGATGGTTAAATAGGATTCTAAACGATATATTAGTTACAATCTTTGATTGCTGAAAACAAGAAATAAAATGAAACACTGAGCAGAAGATTGAGAATATTGATGAATTACAATGACAAATCAATAAATTAAAAATTAAATGAGGAGGAGGAAAATTATGAATGTATATGCGGTGGTGTCTAGATGAAGTAGATAGGATTTAATAATCAATTGGATTTTGTTCGATAATCGTATGACAATAGTGAAGACAGATAATTGTAATTAACCAAATTGGATAGAAAAAATTAGTCACAAAATAATATTAGTAATTCAATTTAACAGTTATTGTTAAAAACCTTAAAGAGCAAACAGATAAAGGTGACAGCTATTGAAGATGAATAATTGAATGTCACATTTACTTAATCTGAAATTAAGGACTTGGAATACATATTAAATAACTACTCAATAATCTTAACTCAAAATAAAAAATACCAATAATAGGCAATCCAATAGTAAGTAAAGATTAAGGAGTTGGAAATTAGCAATGAATACAGAGAGGATCAATTTGTAGAATCTGAAACGTTTAGTATTTTACAGACTTAGAACATGAATCTTATAGATGTGAATTCCTAATTAACTTAACAATTATAGGCTTTGTAGACATAGTATTAAGAATTAATTAACTCAAAATAGTTTGACATAAATTAATTGAAAAATCTTTATGAAGTTGAGATATAAAAATTGACATCAGAGAATTCTCAACTAAAGAGATTGTAACATGATTCACAAATTGGAATCAGGAATATACATCATGAAAGTGAGAGATTTAATCAAAATTTGAATGAGAGATACGAATAAGCTTAGAAGATTATAGATGCTTAAAGTGGGGAGAATAATGTATTAAAGTCTGCCAATAAAGAATTGAGAACTAATTTAGATGATTTAACAAAATAATACTAGGAACTTTAAAATAAATACAATGAAATAGAAATGGTATTTTTATATTGTCGATATCATAGAAAAATGTTGGATTGATGGCCAGAATTCCAGGTGAATTAAATATTGAGTAACTGACATTGAGACATAATAAACATAAGGAATGTATATAAGAAGCACTGCAAATTATTATTCGACATTAACCATAATTTAAAGAGAAATTTTAAGAGTTGGTTGGGTATATCAAGACAAGAGATTAAAGAATTGAATAGTTTGAGAAGGAGATCAGCAAAAAAGACAAATAGATTCAAGATCAAAAAAGACATTTGCAGATGATGATGGATGAAACTGACTACAATTCTAAAATTTATGAAGAAGTTATGGCTAAATCTAAGATGATTGAATAATAGTTATCAATTAAGGAGAAGAATGAGGCTGTCTTAATTTAAGATAAATAAGCAGAAAAAACTAAATTTGAAAATGAAAGAATCTAATTCAAAGAAAAAGAAAGGTAGTAGTAAGAACAAATCAATTAATTGCAATAATAAAGAGCCAATTAGTAATAATTATTTCAAAAATACACCCAAGAGAAGTTTTAAGTTAATTAAAATCATGGAGAATTAGTTAAACAATTAGAATTATATAAATCACAATATGAAAAACTATTATCTGAGCAAAGTACTACTAAAATCGAAAGAGATTGTTATGCTTAAAAAATATAAAAATCTAAACTAATTAATGATGAATCGTTGCTTGAAATAGACAAATTGAAACAAAAGATAATCGAATTAGAAGCCAACATAGATTCTTAATAGTCGTTACTCAATAATCCTGCTTAATTGGAATAAGTTAAAGGCTATCTGATATTAAAGAAGGATGATTCCATTTTTGAATAGGCTTAATTACAGAAAGTCAAGACAACTGCTTGTTGTAGTGAATGCAAAATGCAACTCAAAGAAGTGATCATTTAAAAGTGTATGCATATGCTTTGCAAATCATGTGGGGAAATTGCTTAATTAAAAGAATCTTGTCCTATTTGTAAGGTCAGTATAAATTTAGTGGATATTTGGGCAACTAAAGTCTAGGAATGAATCATGGAGTATTAATTATTAAATTTTATAAAAATTATATCTCATGGTTTAATTTTATTTTATATTATTTCTATGAAAATTCTTTTTGTGAAGGATGAATTCTTGTTACTATTTAGTTATTTCATCTTTTAGTGCAATTAGTAATTTGAAATTCTTTGTGACAATTACTGGCAGTCTTGTTTTAAATAATTCAAAAAAAGATGTTCACAAGTACATATTAAATTATTTAAAATAAATATGAATTAAACATCATCAAGAGAATATGGTAACATTCAAAGTTCAAACTCTTCGAGAATTTAATCTAACTCTTTTATAAAAGCACATTCAAAATTACAATAATAAATGCCATTAAATGAATTCATTATGGAATATCCTTGTTAACCAAAAGACTCTATCACCTATGAAATTAACGGAATCGATCTCGACATCAAAGAACATTAAATACTTGATTCTTACTCGAATAGGAGTAAATAGTAAAATTCTTAATCCATGATTATTCTGGCAGTATGTTATTTAATTTGATATAGGAAAGGAGAAAAATTACATCTCCATCAATTAAGAAAAACAAGAAAAAAATAAAAATGGAATAAATTATCAAAAAATTTATAGAGAAGATAAAGATTAGTAATAATTTATTCACGAAATAACCTTATGTTAATACACTATTATAAACTTATTCCATTCCATTCGTTAAAGAAAAGGCAACCAATTTGGGAGTAATGGACAAAATAAAGCAATCTATAAGGCTTCCTATTCCAAGACAATGCAAGTTTAGACAATTTTGGAAATTAATAATGCAAATCACTTATTTAACTACTATTATTTTTTCTCCACTAATTTTAATTTATCCCAGCAATATTTAAATATAAGCCCTATTATTTACATAATTAACATTATTAGTCTTTAATTCGATTTTAAATTTAAATACATGCTTTTACAAAAACGGAGTAGAGGTAACTCATTTACCTACAATTCAAATGAATTATATAAGAAGATATGGGTTACAGGATATAATGTAATACTTGTCATTTATCTTTATTTTATAATTTTGTGAATAGAATTCTTAAATTTCAATAATTGCTTTAATTACATTGAATCTTCTCATTGTTAGAATAATCAAATTGAATTCTCTGATATCATAATCAAATAGTATTATTTTAGGTTGGCAATTTATAAAAGGATTAGCATATTGTCATATTTTCTCTTTAATTTCAATTTCATACAAAGAGGATATTGGTTTGGAATCAATTAACGTACAATTAAAATCCTACTTGAGCTATCTACATGAATATATAAATGAGTATTTGACTCTACAAAGTTTTTTAGTAAACAGTACAAATTTTGAATTGTTAATATCACTTTTGGTCCAGATCCTATTCACATTCAATAGAGTAAAACTAATTTTAGATCTCTTATTTTACTTTCATTAAAATGTCCATAAGTATTTATTGAAGAAAAACTACCTTGATTTGAAAGCTTATTTGCTAAACCATGAGGTTGATTAAAATCTCATGAAAAAAGCACTAAGTAATTACAAATTTGAGATGAAAAAGGATTATTAACAATCAAATTTCATGATGGATGCCCAATCTATTAAGTATATAGATTATGAAATTTAGAAGGCCATCTAGAATACTGTGAATGCTAAATACTTTAAGAAAATCTTGGTATTAGGTTAATTCTCATAAAATATCTAAGAAAAACTGGTTGAAAACATGTCAATACAGTATTTTTAACCGAATGAAATTATATTGAGATAAAATTGCAAAGATGATGATTCCATCTATCTAATTAAAAAAGGATAAGTAAAGGTGTGTTATTAGAGTGGGAATAAGAAATAGTTTGGGATTAAATCATTAGGAGAAATGTAGACGTTTGGGGAGGTCTCCTTTTTTACTGGATTGCCTAGAACAAGTACGATAGTTAGTCTAGGACCTGTTGAAACATATAAAATTAGTAGAAGCGATTTCTTAGAGTCAATTAAAAATAATCGTCAAGATTTGGTATATTTAAGTATTAAAATAGGAAATAGCAACTTATATGAAAGATTAAATTCTACAGAATAATTAGTATGGTTTAATTGGATTAAAATGCTTTTGTTGTAAATCGAAAGAGCATTTGATATTTTAATGTGACAAACTTCATTATAAGCCTGATAAAGAAAAGATTATTAGTAAATACTAATATGCTCATCTTTAATCAAGGAGATAATGTAACAATTTAATCACACTATGAATAGATAGAAGGAATCACAAAAGAACAAAGAATACTAGAGAACATTTATTCCAAATAGGAATGGCTGGTGAAGAGTTTTAAGAAAATAACTTTCTTTTAGAGGATTAGTCAGACATACTAAAAGAGTTAACATAAAATTATAATTTTTAATCTTCTACCAATATTTAACAAAATCAATCTTAAGCTGTGGGATTATTTCCAAGCAGGGAGAGAATAAAGTCAGTCGATAAAAATAGCATATTATTAATAAGTGAATTAGATGATGTGAGAGAGCAGTTTTAAGAATTGGATCCAATGGTTTTTAAAAAGGATAAAGGTCTGTTCCCCTCAAATAATAATTTTCCAATAAAAGAAGTTATCCAAGAACTTGAGGGGGAAGACTCAAGTTCGAATTCAAATGATACTATACCTAATGATATTTGTATCGCTCATTTGCAACCTAATTCAGATAAACAAAAGTAAAATAATAATTTATTAACAATTCCTGACAAAGACAAGCTTCAAGAAATGTTAATTATCAGTCCTAATAGCTAAGTTCAGCAAGTGAATAATAGTTGCCATATTCAAACTTCTCAGGAAATGAAAAACTCTTCCAAATAAAGCAGAAAATCTTTAAGCTAAACTTTGTTACATGTTTAATAGAATGATGTCATTAAAAGGCATGATAATTTGAAATCTCCTGGCAGGTAGGCTTATTACGAGGAACTCGATTTAAATCCTTTAGACCGATCATCTCCAGGGATGAAAAAGATAAATAAAAATCCATAATAAAACAAAGCAAAAATAGAAGAGAGTCCATAAATTTTTATAGACCTAAATAATAATTCTGTAAATTAGAAATTATAATTTAGAGTCATTTTTTCTGTTTAGAAGATAAAGAAGAATTAGACAAAGCATAAAATTACATCTATTATTATCCGTACTACAACCCTGAATTTATAATTAATTCGTAAGTAATTTGGACTAATATTAGATACAATCATTTTAAGATTCATAGAATCCAAAAATATCTTAGAAAAAGTCCTTATACTATCAGTTTTGTTATTAGTGATAAAATTAAATAAAAAGTCATTATAAATTGATATATATTACAATTTATTCTACATCACAATTTGATAATTTATAATTTTGACTATAATTGCAANTTCTTAGAGTCAATTAAAAATAATCGTCAAGATTTGGTATATTTAAGTATTAAAATAGGAAATAGCAACTTATATGAAAGATTAAATTCTACAGAATAATTAGTATGGTTTAATTGGATTAAAATGCTTTTGTTGTAAATCGAAAGAGCATTTGATATTTTAATGTGACAAACTTCATTATAAGCCTGATAAAGAAAAGATTATTAGTAAATACTAATATGCTCATCTTTAATCAAGGAGATAATGTAACAATTTAATCACACTATGAATAGATAGAAGGAATCACAAAAGAACAAAGAATACTAGAGAACATTTATTCCAAATAGGAATGGCTGGTGAAGAGTTTTAAGAAAATAACTTTCTTTTAGAGGATTAGTCAGACATACTAAAAGAGTTAACATAAAATTATAATTTTTAATCTTCTACCAATATTTAACAAAATCAATCTTAAGCTGTGGGATTATTTCCAAGCAGGGAGAGAATAAAGTCAGTCGATAAAAATAGCATATTATTAATAAGTGAATTAGATGATGTGAGAGAGCAGTTTTAAGAATTGGATCCAATGGTTTTTAAAAAGGATAAAGGTCTGTTCCCCTCAAATAATAATTTTCCAATAAAAGAAGTTATCCAAGAACTTGAGGGGGAAGACTCAAGTTCGAATTCAAATGATACTATACCTAATGATATTTGTATCGCTCATTTGCAACCTAATTCAGATAAACAAAAGTAAAATAATAATTTATTAACAATTCCTGACAAAGACAAGCTTCAAGAAATGTTAATTATCAGTCCTAATAGCTAAGTTCAGCAAGTGAATAATAGTTGCCATATTCAAACTTCTCAGGAAATGAAAAACTCTTCCAAATAAAGCAGAAAATCTTTAAGCTAAACTTTGTTACATGTTTAATAGAATGATGTCATTAAAAGGCATGATAATTTGAAATCTCCTGGCAGGTAGGCTTATTACGAGGAACTCGATTTAAATCCTTTAGACCGATCATCTCCAGGGATGAAAAAGATAAATAAAAATCCATAATAAAACAAAGCAAAAATAGAAGAGAGTCCATAAATTTTTATAGACCTAAATAATAATTCTGTAAATTAGAAATTATAATTTAGAGTCATTTTTTCTGTTTAGAAGATAAAGAAGAATTAGACAAAGCATAAAATTACATCTATTATTATCCGTACTACAACCCTGAATTTATAATTAATTCGTAAGTAATTTGGACTAATATTAGATACAATCATTTTAAGATTCATAGAATCCAAAAATATCTTAGAAAAAGTCCTTATACTATCAGTTTTGTTATTAGTGATAAAATTAAATAAAAAGTCATTATAAATTGATATATATTACAATTTATTCTACATCACAATTTGATAATTTATAATTTTGACTATAATTGCAATATTCTTTAGAATCTCTTCATTCTCCTTAAGTTCTAAATTAACTTAGAGACTATGCAAGTTATTGATCAATTATTAATTCCCTTTTTCTATAAATTTATGAACAAATTTTTCTTGACATACATTATAAGAATCTATTTTTGATTGCTATAAATTTATAAATGATAATAATAGTTTTAAATTAAAATCATATCGAGGATTATTAAATCACTATACCTTTCTTTTAAAGAACAGAAAATTATTCCTTTAGAAATTTAGTTAACATCATTAATCTCCAACAACTGTGATAATTCATTGGCTTCTCCTATTTTTATAGGCATTTCTTTTTCTTTCTCCTTAGCTCTTGATAGATAATATTTAGAGAGGTTTTGCATAGGTACCACTCAAAAAATAAAAGAAATTGAGTTAATTGTTTACTCTTGTAGGAGATACCACTGATAGGTCTTAAATAATTGGGAGCAGTCCTGGTGCAGAGGCGGATTCTTTGAGCAGAGTATTTCCTTTCACGATCCTAAGCCATGTGTAATGCTCCTCTTTAATGAACTCAAGCTGCATCGTCTTCTACAAAATTCTATTTATGTTGAAAATGGGAAATACATCTTGATCTTCATTCATTTTGAATAAAAAAGGCATTATAATTAATATCATCTTGCCAAAAATTATGATTTTGTGCATAATTGATGATTTTAACTAATAGTATATCATTTTTAATTAGCAAGTACTTAAATGCAGAAAGGAGTGAAAAATATGATGTTATATAAGTAATTAATATAATGAATAATCTTCGATATGGCTAAATTGTCAGAATTCAGGGGGATTATGGAATGATAGTCACCAAGGGGTATAGTTTTATGGTGATAATGTTAGATACACTCAGACAAATGTATATTACATGACTTTCACAAATTTGGCCAAGATAAGCAATTTTCGGGAGTCATTATTTTAAGTGCTTCCCAAGGGGAGCTTTGAAATTCATGATGAATTCATGAAATCTCATAAGAAGTAAGCAAGCAAGTGTGATTAAATTAGAGCAAACCAGGATCTGCTTGATTAACGACTGAAGACAGAATTGAACTAATATTTTTCTTTTGTGGAAACCAAGATGGATGAGGAGGTTCTGTTTGGTCAGGAGATAGTATTGAAACATTTTGATTCGGAATACTTTTTGGTTGGATCTTACAAGTGTTCAGAATAGTCGATGGAGGCATTTCAGGTAAGTCTGAGTAGCAAGCCTTCGAGTCAGGCATTGTTTAGAATAGAAGCATATTAAACGTATCAAAAGGATGGTTAGCAGATATACTTTGATGAACCTTTCTTATTGGTGAATACGAAGCAATAATTTTGTTTGGATTTTATTGAGAAACCAATACAATGGTTGGATGATGAAAGTTGTTTGGCCTATATTAAGCGATTAAATGACGTGCAAAGACACCAGGTGATAATTACTCATAACAGCAAGACTAGTTGGAAAATGAAGTTATTTATGCGGAATGATTAGAGAATCGAAAAGAAATCGATAAGGAATTACGAATTAATATATTTATAATACACTGAAGATGGAACTTATTTGAATGGAGAACAGTAGATCGTTTCATTATAACAAGCAGGATTGAACATTCCATTGACAGCCATTTGGGAATTACAAGTATTATAACCGACTAATGATACCAAACGCAATCAACCATAGTTAAACAAAGATAACTAAAGAGGATCAGTTTTCTAAAATAACTTTGATTTTTTGAAGGATTTTTCAAGGGTTGCACCAAGACAGAAGAGTGTTGTTGAGTACTAATAATAAGCCTAATCATAAGTCACTAAGAAAACTCCCCAGTAGGAATTCATCCTTAGGAATTACATCTCAGGTAAAGTACTTACCTCTCGAGGTTAATTGCCATAATTGCATGAGTATATTTAAGAGTCCAACTAAGTAGTGGAAATCTTGCCTGCTAAGTAAGGGTAGCAGGAGATTGTAGAGAATTCTTATATTCAATTGTCTGTCGATAAGGAGTTATTATAGAATGTTGAGATTGAAGACTAATGGAATGATAGTATCAAAGAGGATGAAGAAATAGAGACTACGGTGATAAAGAAATAGTTGACTTTTGAGGAGAAGGAACACTAGCATGCTTTCCAAATCAAAAAAGTCAAAGGGAATATCAAAAACAATTTAATGTTCGTGTTATCAGCCCAAGAAGTGCTGTTTCAATTTGTTTTGATTTTGAACAAACAAGTTGACATTATTTGGAAGTTGCTTCATGCTTAATAATTATCATAGGTGGTGGAAGTTATTCAATAATTGATTCAATTCTTGTAATTCGAAGTGGCCAATCGTTAATAATGCATCAAGGAAACTTACATCATCGATTTGGCAATGAAGATCTTGGTGCCGATATATGAGAAGAAGCTGTATGCCACTGATATTAAGAATTTACAAAAGAAGATGAAAAAGATATTCAAATTAACCTATTAATTGATTAAGGAGTTAACGTAGAATAACAAACAACTTAAGTAAGATATGGGAAAGTATTTGAAAGATTTTTTAGAACAAGCCATGGATGACGAAGCAAGAGCTCAGGACAGTTTGAAGGAATTGTTAGAAGACAATTATGAATCTATTTAAAAGTTTGTCACTGATGATCATATTCAGAAAGTATTCGAGAAAATGAAACAAAATCCCAATGAAAAATATTTATCAATTCTAAGCAGTATTTGTGTTTGCAAAGGAAGAGCTATTTTGAAGAATCAAATTTTAATTTTAAAATTAGTATTTCAAAGCAACGAATTGTTGAATTTTAAATTTAGATTGAATACAAAAAACAAGGTTGAGGTGCTCTGCAGGATCAATAAATTAAAACCCATGTGGCGACGAATTCGTTAGATATACTAGGAAAGTCAGGAGTAAGATGGATTGTAGACCTGGAATTACCTTTAGGGCTATTTCAATCTCTTAGGAGATGTGTGTTATAACAGGAATAAATTGGCATAAGACTTTGTTAAGGAGAACATCTCAATTTCAATTTTATTAGCCTTGGTAGAAGATAGTCATTCTCAATCTATAAACACATTCGAGTCCTATTTAAAAGTAATTCATTTGGCATTTGTAGACACTCCTGGATATCAAACCCTTGTGATTAGCAAAGTCATAGATTGGGAGGAGAACGAATAAATTTCAATAGAGAAGAGAATGTCAATGAGAAGAATCAATAGTTTCGGTGGGTTTAGTAATCATTTGCCATTGTAAAATGTAAGTGATCTCAACAACATCATAAAGTATGTCCAACAATTTATCGCCAAATTCACTCATTTTACTTATGATTAGAAATATAATCAGACCCTGCAAAGAGTGTTAATGATAATCAAAACCTTATTGACAATGAATCTAGAAATAGACACTATGCAATTATTATAAGATTTGCTGAGGATTTGTTCATGCCAGAAGGATTTCTAAAATTTAGAATAATAAAAGGGAGAGGAGAACATCAAAAAGGCTAAACATAGGATGACTAAGGTGTCATCAGAGAACAAGCCAATAATGGAATGCAAGATGCTAGCCTCCAATATCATCTTAAATATACTTGATCTTGAGAATGATATCAGGATTAATGAGATGGTAGCCTATTTTAGAAGTAAGAGAGGAAGCGATTATACTAATGATTCAGCAAATAATTCACCTCCTAAAAAGGGACTAATCAGTGGTATGGTAGACTTTGTCTAAAGATTTTCGCATAAACCTCCTGAAGAATAATAGTAATTATTAGATAACAACAGTTCTGTCTTCAAAGATTTTGCTAAAAGTTTAAGTGGTTCTAAAGACAAAACTGAACAAGAATCTTATAACATTCCTTAATGGATTCAAGTCATCAAAGATTTACTAGATAATAGAAATTTATTCAAAAACTTCAATAATAATGTGATGTTGGTATTTGTGGAAATTTCTCTGATGCAGGAACCAAAAATGGTTGAAACAGCCTTATAATTATTTAATAGAATGCTTGGTTAGAGAAGAGAGTTAATTAAGCATTTCTCACAGATTGTATTGCTATCTAAAAATTGTTAAAAGAACGTAAAAGAATTGATTAGTAAATGCATTCAGATCAGACAACGTTTAGAATAGTTGAGTGATAAGAATGTGTATACAATTACGAAGGAGAACTAAAGTACTTCAAACATATAAGTTGATGAGATAATTGAAGATCTCAATAAATTGTGTGTGTCATTGAAACTGCAGAAGTTTACAAGTCAGGTTGTTCAAATTTCATTGGCTTTTAATGAGTGTGAAGAGAATGACAAAACAAATCAAACTTTGTTTAAAGCATTGGATATGCATCAAACATTAGTTACTTACATTTCTGGAGCAGATGAAATAAACCCATATTTGTAGGGGTTATTGAATTCCTGTTATAAATTCTTGACTCTTTTCATTTGGAATCATGCAACCAACAAGATTGAAATAAAATGGCCATTAAAGTAAATTTATTTCCATTTGTAATACAATTCTTGTTGCATTGATTTTGTAAGAGAACTCTATCACAACAATAAAGAGTTGCTCTACAATGAAAACGAAGTGTCTGTGGCTATTAGGTCTATCATCCAATAGATGAATAAGGAAAAGCCAGATAGTATGTATAGGGTCAAACTGTTTGATTCCCTAAGAGTTTTCTTGTATGATCACAACAAGACAATCAAATTCAACCAATTATAAATCTTAGCCTTGCTCCAGCAGAAGCAGAATAGGAATTTAATCTACGTTCTCAATGACTTATAGTCTGAATTTTCAATGGATTCCATCGGCAAGCCAGAGACTCCTTTAATGAAATCAAAGGTTTGGGACGCTGAGAGTTTCCACGAATTAATTGATGACTATAGTGCGAATTATGAGAAGATGGAGGAAACAAAATTGTTGCATATCCAACCTCAATTGTAATACATGGTGATACATTTTGAGATTTTCAGTTTACTAGTTGAAGATCAGTATAAAATATTCATATATTTAGTAATGTCATTAACCAGGAGAAATGTCGAGTCATGCACCCTTACCATTCCTTATTATTTTTGATGAAGAACTCTTATCAAAGCAATTGTTGGCCATTACAGCACTTCCTGAGAAGTTACATGAACCGTCTTTACTACAATAGTCAAATGGAATTAATAAGTCAACTGTGTATTTAGGAAGATCTAGAAGTAAGAGTAAAATTAATCTTAGATCATCCGACATCAACTGGATCAAATTCTACTATTGAAGGGTTGCAATTACATCAAGCAAGTTTAAATTGTTGATGGTGTTAGATTTTAATTTATGTTCTCATATATCTTTGCTTGCATGTAGGAGATATTGTATTCGATCAACCTATTGTTTCTGAATGACAATTTTCTATCTGAGTTGGAAGCACAATTGAGCAAGGATATCGAGAGTCTCAGAATCCATTAATTGTTATTCAAGATTGCAGGTCATTTGGTTCAGATCTAAAAAATGTGGTTCAAATCAAGTCACATAACTCACTTGTGTTAAGTTCTGATAAACATCATGAAGATAGTGTTTAGAACATTCGACATTAGTGTATTATTGAGATTAGAAAAGGTATTCAATGGAAATGTGAGTGAACCACAAACTCCATTAAAACAGGACGAGATTTAGGAGAAGGAAAAGGAGAATCTTCAAACTGATTAGAACGAATAGAATGAATAGGATGGCATAATAAATAGGTTGCTGATTGTAACTGAAACAAAGTTGTCGCAAGATGAAAAGATTCAATCAAATCTTCAGTAAACACTAAAGAGGATCTTCCATTTGAAATCCAAAAAGAGACTATCAGTAATAGAAGAACCTGACAATAATGCAGAACTAAACATCAGGCTGATGAAATTGATTAAACTATTCAGTGAGAATGAAGAATTTTAGGGATTCATTGAATAGGAATTCAATTCGTTATGTGGTGAATTCACAAAAATTGATGAGTTCTCTTTGACAGCCTATCAAACTTAATATCCAGCAATTACTTTGGAAGAGTTCTTAAAGAATTTGATATAGATGAATATCACTCATCAATTAAATGATGATTTAAGAAGTTACTTCTTAAAAGTGTTAACAAGAATGATTAGCGAAAAGAATCCAAATATCGACACCTAAGACGAATAAGCCAAGTTGGCAATAGATGAATGGGCACCTGAATTCTGGAGTGATTCCAGATAATAGATCTAAGAAATACAATGCTTTTTGGCTGGATGTGGAGCAGCTCAATTGATTTATGAAATGTTCAAGGAGAATTTCGATGATAGATGGGAGTTATTTAATTAGTTATTAATATTTTCAAATGCATTTCTATTAGGAGGCAATACCAAATGCTAAGATTCGCTGCTGTAATTATTGAAACAGGATTCATCCAATCAAATGATGAGCAACTTACAATAATCTATTCTTAAGTTTAGCAAATTTGTTAATACTAATTTCAAGATTTAGAAGACCAAATTTTAGAAAGACAAGCAAAACCCATTCCTTTCCATCGTTTACGTCGATAATTTAACACAATTTAGCGAGAAGACTGAAACCTTAAAAAGGTCTTTGCCTTCTGCCATTGAGAGTTAAAATACAATAAAAAATAGATAATTATCTATCAAAGTGATGTGGAGAGCATTCAGAATGTTGCAATTGATGTGTGAGAATAATAATGTTCAGATGAAGAACTATCTAAGAGAATAGACAGATAAGGAAGATTCAGTCCACATCAATAGTATTAATTTTATTGAGTTTGCTACCAAAGAGTTGAGAATATTATTGAAGATATTGAATAAGAATGTGGTATCAATTACTTAACAAATAGTGGATTTTATCAATGAAGTCATCCAATTGCCATGCTTTTTAAATTAAGTCACATTATGTAAATCAACATATATGGAGGATGTATGTTTTACATTTGAAACATTTTAAAAGGAGGAAAGCCAATTGATTCAAAGGGAACTCCATACTCCAGAAGAACAAGATGAGTTATTTGAATTACAAGCCAAGATTATTCAATCAATTATGTTGGTTTTAGAAGGGAATAACCAAAAAAATTATGAGGAATTATAATAGAAATTGGACTCTAGGTTTTTGGTTAATTTCATTAAATTAATTGTTTAGAAGGTAGGCATCGAGAAGATATTCGATTTTAAGAAAGAAGCTAGATTCTCTGATGAGATTCAATAGATGTTGAATGTTTTCATAATCAAGGAGAAAATAGAGTATGTTAGTAAGGATTAGAAGTGGGTGAAGCATTTTAAGTAGGAATTTGAGAGCAATCCAACCTTAAAAGATATTTAGACTATGTGTTTGAATAATTTAAGAAAGATTGAAATTTTCTATGAGAATGAATATCAAATGGTATTCTTCCCTGCTCATCCAGTATTCCAATTTTTAAGTGATGAAACGAGGGATAAAATAATGTTCAAAATACCACGAGACACATAGAGAAAGAAGTTGATATCTTTATTAGAGGAAATGGAGATGATTTTTAGGGAAATCAGTTACAATTTCAGTTTATAAAATTGGATATTGCCAATAACCCATAAGACAATTCAACTATTAATAAATATCTCATAATTATTGTCATTAATTATTAATATTTTTATGATATTTGCATATGCAGTAATGATAAAAGATAAGCAATCAACATTAGTGACAGACGACTATGAGGAAGCAACGTTGTTTATTTTATCCTTATTGCAATTTAGCTTCAGTTTATGTGCATGTACATTTTACATAATAAGCAGAGCATCATTGGAATTCAAGAAACTTAAATAAGAGTAATTCTCTTTGACTAAAATTCACTCTTATATAATTTAAAAGATATCCAATTTCATTATTGTTTTCAAAGGGGAAGATTTCCTGTCTCATATATCATTTACAGCAATTGCATTTTTAGGGTTAATCTCAAATACATATTACTTTTCCTTGCACTTGTTCTATTTATTTGGATAATTATCATTATTGCAAAGCGTGTTTTAAGCAATATCTCACAATGCAAAATAACTATCTTTGGTAGCTTTGCTTGGAGTGTTGTTCTAATTTGTATTCAGCATAGTGGGATTCAATAATTACGTGGATGACATTTATCCTGAACAAGTGGAGGATCCTTGTCATAGTCTCATAAGTTGTATGATAACCTTGATGACTTCTGGAGTGATTGGTAGTTCGATGTCATAATGGGATCCCTTGAAATTCATCTATGATACAGTTTACTTCGTGTTCTTTGCACTATTGTTCACCAATATCATCTCAGGTATAATGACTGACACTTTTGCACAATTGAGAGATTAAAGAACCCAGATAGAGGATGATAAGAAAAACAAGTGTTTCATCTGTGGAATTGATAGACAAACCCTCGAAAAGCAGCAAGAAGACTTTGAAGAGCACATCAAGAGTAAGCATTTCTTGTGGAATTACGTTTTCTACATTTATTGTCTCTAGAATAAGGATTCCACTGAATATACTGGATTAGAGTACTGGATAATGGATAAGGTGCAATCTGAGAGTGTTAGTTGGTTTCCGATCAGATCTGAGGATGAAGATGATCGTACTAAATAGATTGAATTGTTGTAACAAAAGATAGAAGACCTGGCATAGTAATTAAAGACTTAGTTGTTGCAGCAACAGATTGAAGAATGAATAATTTTAGTATACAATTTTAAGAATGAATTCCAATATATAAACTTTGAAGGGAGTAAAAAAAATTATAAAATATTTTGATAATTTTAAAATATAAAATGTTTCTAAAGAATATGTTTAAGAAACAATCTCGATTTGAGAAGCATCTATTCGAGGGTACGATTTACGATAATTCTGAAACAGTTGATTTAGATGATATAAAGAAAATGCTATAAGGTAAGTATTACTGATTAAAAAGGTTATCCATCAAAAGAAGAAGAAGATCAATTAGTCCAGAGTATGACGATTGTTCAAGTGTTCAAAGAATTCATACGACTTATACCATCGCAATTAGAAACTCCTAAAAAATTGAAAGTCTTATTGACAATCCATGTCCTAATGGGTGATATCAAGCATGGCAGATTGTTTGTGTAATAATTCCTTGGATGGATTGGATGGCAACATACAGAATAGAAGGATGTTTTGAGTAAGTTCTCTTCTGTGTAGACAATGATCATCCAAAAATTAGCATTGATTAGTGAGATTATCCAAAGGAGTAAATTGAAATCCAACGTTAATATTTTATGTAATTTCATGTGAATTATAATATTATAGTCAAGGATATCGATTCTAATGTAATGCAATTTTATAAAATGATTAATGCTCTCAATCTAATTTTAGGATAACAAGAAGTAAACAAATTATTTTGACATAAGTTTTACGCTTAGGTATTTTCAACTCACAACAGAATAATAGTTATGGAAATCTATTTGTTATTGTGGAATGATGTTATTGCACTATTTTTAATGTTGGAAAGGTAATTCCACATCTTATTCTAGTTCATAGGTTTGTACGATAATTCTTAGATTGTTATTAACAAATGGATTAACAACAATCTATCCAAGTTTACGAACTGTTCAATGAATATATCAAACTAACACCACAAGTCAAACGATTTGCCCAATTGTGCATATTCTTTTAAAATTGCAATGTGAATGAACCGAAATGGTATCAACCAACAAAAAAGGAAATTGAAGAATTATAAATTTACTTTTAGAATGTCAAAATTTATCTCACGAGTAGATCTAAAAGACTGAAAATTGAGAAATCAAGTCCTCAACCCAATAGAAGTTGTCAAACGACTGGAAGGGACCTGAAAAAATCATAATCCCAATCCTAGATAATTCCGAAAGGGGATTTAAAACAACATTAGGATAATTATTTATCCAATACTACTATGGGTTATGCAAAAAGGATATATTAGGGAAACAATGCATCTTAAGCTATTTAATACACATTTGAGAGTGATTGCTTAACTGCAGATGTTATTAAATAATGAATGATTATATAATTATTCAATTTAATTTCATCTAATCTAATCCTATGTGTGTAATTATTTCTTAATAAAATATTATCATACGTGATTTTATATAACATAATACTAGCCAAATTACTTGATCAGCTAAACAAACCAATTTAAGTGTGTTATTATATTAATTTTACGTATTAATATATGTTTTGAATAAATAATATGTATTATGCATTGCCATTACGACATGAATTTCAATTCATATTCTAAATTTGATAAAATAATTTAATTATTAATGGAATCTAGTACGAATCAAGCAAAAAAATACTCTTACAACCACCTCCTAGTTGGTTTAGTTGCTCTGTTTTTCTCACCACTCCTAACCTTTTTGTATTTGCTATTCTTCCCAATCACCATACCTACGACATTTATCCTCTATCACTTTTATAAAGTTCAAGTAATTAGCCTATTTATTCTTAGATTAAGCAACATATAAGTGAACTTTATTAAAATGCAAATACCATTGTCCAAAACGGCTTGAAGGAGTATGTTGTTCCAGCTTACAATGCTGCCAAAACAAAAGTAACCTTAATTTTCATATAAAAAAAGATTTATGAAATTGTGGATCTTTTGCTCTCACAGATCAAAAATATAAAGGAATCAATACTCAAAGGCTACAATGCTGCCAAAACAAAAGTAACCTTGATTTTCATATCAAAAAAGATTTATGAAATTGCGGATTTTTTGTTCTCACAGATCAAAAATAGAAAGGAATCAATACTCAAAGGCTACAATGCTGCCAAAACAAAAGTAACCTTGATTTTCATATAAAAAAAGATTTATGAAATTGTGGATTTTTTGTTCTCACCAATCAAAAATAGAAAGGAATCAATACTCAAATTCTTCGAAGATGTCCAAACCTATTTGTTGGATTACCAATGTATCAAAAAACTAGTTGAGTATCTCTAGGCAGGAACAGCAATTGTATAAACAATTAATTAATATTAGATATGCGATTCCAAGAACATCCTTTTGCTTATTTTGAACGAAGCCCAAGTGAAAGTGTTAAATAACAAATATGTGGTAATTCAATTATAACATATTTTAATAGAAAATTGGTACTTCAACTTTCACTACTTATATATTACCTCAATTATAATACCTATATCCAATCTTTAGGTACATCATATCCAAAACTGGTACTGTTATATCCTAAGTTCGTGAAAATATCAACAAATAATACTTATAAATTCCTAAGTAATTTAAATCTTTTATATTTTCTAGAAAAAAAATTGAAATCATTGGATATGCCATTTTGAATGAATCAGGAAAAACAATTTAGAATTTAAACCCAGAGCAAGAAATTGACAGATACAGGATCCAATTGCATCAATATGCTATTACTCAATTCTGGAAGATCAAAAACTTCAAGGACACATAGATTTTAGAACTTGAATGTGGAGATGCAGTAGGTCTATCATATTTCTCTTCTGCATACGAACCTCAAAGATGTTTGGGAGTTGATTCCTCAGAATCACAAATTTAAGAGAATCTCAAATTGTACAGCGAATTAGAGAGGTTGAAATTCGAAACTAGAAGTCCCCTTGAAATAGGAGCTCTGTGTGCTCCAAATACATTCGATGTGATTTTGGGTTTGGAATTAAAGAAAAAGGAAGCATTCAGAAATATCGATTTCAAGAGGTAGTCTAATTATCATAAATTGTTAGTTATATTAAAATAGTGAGTACATTGCTTAAGGATGATGGATACTTGATCATTGGAGATTACGACACACAAGAGGAGATTTAGAAGTTTCAAGAGGAGATCTAAGTGAATGGATTGGTAATTACTGAGAAGAATGACTTTACTGTAGGAATTACTTAGGCTATGAAATTACAAATTAGGAACATTAAATAAACATTTAGACAAAATGGAGGATATAGTATAATTATCAAATTATAAAATAGTTGCAAAATTCTTGAGTGAAGGATTGAAGCCAGATCAAAATTTATTGTAACAATTTAAGGATAGATAGTAAATCTATATGGTGTATATTCTTAAAAAGGCAACACTTTGAATTATAAATTAAATTCATATACAAGCATAAATTTAAATTACCACTTTTTTATTCTTCAATAGTTAATCGAGAATTATTAAAAGTATTAAATAAAATTAGAAGTATTAAGAAATTTAATTTAATTACGAAATTCGATTATTCCTTTTTTTCATAGGTTTATTATCATTTAGAATGGAGCCTTTCGATTGAATCTCTTCAGTAATTACATCTAAACTAATTTTCTGATTATTCTCCATTTTCACGAAGAAACTGTGATTAGGATTTATCAAATTAACTTCAATTGATTGTCTTTGAATAATAATTATTATGAATCATATAGCAAAAGATAACTTGATTGATCTGAACTCAAAATTAACAGATGAAAATTAAAGACTTTCACTGCTTGTCTACAGTCTTCAACGATAACTGGAGAAGGCAGCAGTTTAAATTAACTATGTTTAATCATTAGAGGAAAAGTTCGAAATGGTCTCAAATGAACTGATATAGTTAAGAAGAGACAATCAAAACTTATAAGAACAAATCTATCTTGTTAGTTAATCATCAATCTCAAAGGATTAAGAACAGGCTTTTCAACAAGAGATAGAAATTGTGAAGACTTAGTACGAGTAGAAGCTATCGGTCATGCTTAGAGAGAATAAGAGACTCAATCATATAAATAAGGAACTGTAGAATAAATAGATTAGCAACTTAGAGACCCAAACCTCAAAATTGATGGAATTGAGTGTTGATTTAAAAAATAAGTTGGATAGTTTTGGATAACTACCTCAATCCTTGAATTCGTCAATAATGGCTCCTAAAGTGCTCACCAAGCAGATTTATGACAACCTAATCTAATAATTGTCATAGAGTAGCGGAGAAGAGAAGACTTTTCGTACAACTCAGTACTTAATTTACTTAATATTAGACCAAAGAGATTGCCAGTTTTGTAATTCAAAGAAACTAAATAGCCAAGTAACATTAGCCAAAAAAATTTAGCAGCCATTCCTTTTATTTCGAATATAAATAGTGTTAAATGAAAATATAAATACACATACTATCTTAAATCTGTGGATTGATTAATATTCATTAATTATTTTCAAAACGCACTACAATAAATTTTATTAATGTAAATGTAATAATCCCCACCTGTATAATTTGAAAAATGCCCCAAACATCCTCAAAATGACATCGTGCTCTTCTGTTTATCAATTGAATGTAAAGAGGTATGTATATATGTTAAACCAACTCTCTAGCCACTATGCAAGGATTGTTGCAAACTACATGTTCATTGGCACAATCAATAAGGGACTTAAGCCAACTTAGATACAGTGGATAATGTTAGACAATAGTTACTGACAGATGTGCATGAAATGAAGCTTCGATTTGAAGAGTAGAAATATCATATATATAAATATTAGAGAAAGAGCTATTCTTCATCATTTTAGTGATAGCGAGTAATCTGAGGCTGTGAAATAAATGTAGAATAAACTGTAAAAAGTCAAATAAACTCTTCTTGCCGCAGTGCATGAATACTGTCATTAATTGGAAGAATAAGTAAAGCAGCGTATCCAATTACATAGAGTAAGGATTTGAATTTAATTTATAGTAATCACACCCGGGAGAAAAGAAGGAACTTCATCAAAAGTTAAATACAATCATCAATAATTTAGATCAATAGGAAAAGATGTTGTTGCAGCCTAAATATATAAGAGGTTGCTTAATGGTTATGAGCGAAGAATAAAATCACGACTTTGATTAGATCACATTTGATGTTGACAATGCTCTGAAACATTACCTGTCTAATGCATTCGATGTGGTTATTTCAGAAGATAAATTGGTTCGAATAGTTCAGTCATTCAATGAGTATGTAGAAATACAAGAAGTGAACCTAAGGGAAGAATTAGACCATTATACAAAAAAAATTAGGGAGAATAAGAAAAACCCTCACGAACCTCTCAATAAATAATTTAATTCAACTTCATAGAAATAATTGTAACCAAAGGAGTCTAAATTAATGCAATCCATCTATGATGACAAATTCAGACCTACATTCCAACCAGGTGCATCGTAATATAGACCCAATTTCAACGACAGCAAGGCCGATTAAATCATGTCAAAGTTTTATCATTGAAATAAAACACTAATTTTTATATTAACAGACATCTATAATTTAAAATATGTATATAAATACTTCGCACACTCCAGACAAAAAAAATTCTTATCTCACTAAATTTAATAAGAAGAGAATTCAAACAACAGACAAAGAAAACAAGTAGATCTAATCATTATTATATAAGAGTTCAAAATCTGAGCAATTTGAGCACAAATGATGATTGCAAATCTTATTGTGATAGTGTTGATTATTATCGGCATGAAAATCAGGAACTTAAGAAACTTGTATTTTAATTGAAATTCGAAATGTAAAGTGTTTATCAATTTTGTAGGAAATCTCAATTGGAATCATGTTTGATTGAGTAAAAACATAACTTAAAATCTGTTGTTTAAAAATATTAATCATTTATTGATGAGATGATGACACAGAAAAATCAAGTTAGTGCGGAATGTGATGATTGGAAGCAGAAATGCGAATAACAATAATAAATAATTGAATAATAGAGATTATAAATTTATAATCAATCTTACATTATACAATAGAATTTATTGACAATACAAAATATTTAACAAGAATTCCAATAGGAATTAATACAGAACTAAATGGAAGTTCAATAAATTATGAATTTAAAAGATTAAACAATTGATGAATTGCACTAAATTATTTAACATCATCAATAATAATAATGAAAATAGCAATATATAAGCCAAGTCAATTTACTTTATTGTCATTTGAAAACTCTCCAACATATTCTGAACCATCAGCTCCTTTAAATTTTCCTTTACCATTCATTTTATCAAACCTCCATTCTCCCTCATAATAATCACCTATGCTCCATGAATATTTGCCAAATCCATGTCTCATTCCACCCAACCAATAACCTAGACTTTAAATCTAAACTTATTACCATCGTAAGTATCTCCATGTGCAAAATAGTAGATTCCCTTGCCAGACTTCTCACCCTCCTTCCATTCTCCTATGTATTTATCTCCATTGGCCATGTAGAGTGTGCCATTCCCCTGCCTTTTATCATTAGCCCATTCCCCTTCATATCGATCCCCATTCGAAGCAACATAAACTCCATACCCACTCTTCACATTTTTGCTATACATGCCTTCATACTTGTCGCCTGATGCATAGAGAAAGAGTCCTTGCCCTTCCCTTTCATCGTTCACCCAATTGCCCTCATATCTAGATCCATCAACCATAGTATATACTCCATAACCATGCTTCAACCCATCATTCCATTATCCTTCGTATTTGTCATTGTTAACATATATCATAGTTCCCTAACCAGTTGCTTTGTCACTTGCAAACTAACCCTCATATCTTGCCCCAGATGCAAACTCCACAAATCCTCTACCCCATTTGAGTCCTCGCTCCCAAAGACCTTCATATACATCTCCAAGAGAGTATAGGTAGACTCCTCTTCCATGTCTCTCTCCGTATTGCCATTCACCATCGTAAGATTCCCCTTGCAAGTAATAGGAATATTTGCCTTTTCCATGTTTCAAATCATTGATCCATTCTCCGTTATACATATTGCCATTTGCATAGTAATAGATTCCAACGCCATGCTTTTTGCCATTTAATAAATGCCCTTCATATCTTTCTCCATTATTGAAAAGATAAACGCCTTCTCCATTGAACAGATCGTTAGACCACTGTCCAATGTACCTAAAAACAATCGCCAATAAAATTACACATCTCCATTTGGGAATAAGTATTTTCCTACTCCCTATTTATTTTGCTTTTCATTCATCTAACCATTATAGGTTGCTTAGTCTGCATATTATGCTGAGCGTGCTTATTCTTCACCCAAGAATTTTTATTCAAACGAGGTTATCACTAAAAGTGGAATAGAGATTATATACATCTCTTGCGTTCCTCCATTAACTTCTCCTATATTGAGCTAGTAATATTTTAGGATGCTGTCGTTATCATGATTAAATAAATGGATAATTAAATTGAATAAAAGAGTTTATTCAAAACAAAGTTTAACCACTCCACTCGTAACATCTTTCAACAAACTAAATTCACAAAACAACAATTCTTTAGGTATTCAAATAAATTCAAATATCATCCTAGAAGTTCAAGTCAAAATTATTCTCATGAAAAGCTGGAAGTTCTCGAAACGAATAAAGATGATGAAAAAGATTAATTTGTGTCCTAGCCAATTAATTCTTGTTTTGAAAGAGTCCTGGATCGAAAACATAGCATATAAAGCAATCTCGGTTCAATTAAAGAGCTCTCAGTTTCTGATTAAATAGCTGATCCCACATAATAATAAGACATAAACAATGAGAATGCCGAGTAAAATACCCAGCAAAATACACATTCAGTTAGTGGAGTACCTCAAAATACCCTCAGAAATAAGAGGAAACTCAAGAGATTACCAAGACTGGATGAAGAACGAGAGCCACCAAAGGTTTAAGATGAATTTAAACTCATCATTATGCCGAATAACAAATACAAGTAGTTTTGGGATGTGGGTTTGTTTCTAATTCTTATGTAAATTGAATTTATATTTATAGTTATGTGTCGATATTCACGCCCTTCAAAATTGGGTTCGTCTAGGATGGAGAGTATTTGGTCTGGGATTACTTGGATAATGCTATTGATTTCATTTTTATGACAGATATTGTACTTACATTCCTGAGTGCGGCATATGATGATGAAGGCAATTTAATTACAGAGAGGAAAGCAATAATGCTAAACTACCTCAAAGGATGGTTCATTATTGACTTAATGGTAATTCGTCACTTAACACACAGTCGTCTATTCCGTTTTACTTTATTTTGAATGATACTTCTCAGAGATACAATAGCATAGCACGTATTTCCAAAGTTCCAAAAATATACAGAGTCATTAAGATGATCAAATTGGCTAGGATGTTCAGATTAAAGGAAATATAATATGTTAAAGTAATCAATATCAACATTGGAAATGAGAGATTTATTCTTGCATTTCTCTTGCTCATATTTTCATGTCATGTAGTAGGATGCATTTGGTTTTTTGTGGCAACCTTATCTGAAGAGGAGGATTGGGTATACTTTGAGTCCCATACATTTGATTAATACATAGTCTCCATGTATTGGGCAGTACAAACAGTGTTGACAGTTGGCTATGGAGATATTAAATTCTACTCCTGGTCAACAAGAATTTTTGCTATTGTTTGGATGTTATCATCAGTGTATGTCTTTTCTTTTGCAGTTGGTTCCCTAGCTTCATTCTTAGACAGATTAGATTAGAATAACCAAATCTACTTAAATCGCTTGGCCACTCTTAAAAATATTAAACAAGAATTTAAAATATCCAAAAAGATGTTTCTGAAGGTGAAAAGAGAACTCAAACATGGCAAAAGGGACTTTTCATAACAATATCATATCTTATTAGATGAATTACCACCAATATTGAAAACTGAGTTGAGTTATATTATGAATAAGCATCTCAAAGAAGAGATAGGTTACTTCCATGATAAATCTCAACAATTTATTTCTGCAATAGGCCCTTTGCTCAAACCAATCAAGTTAGAAGCGAATGAGTTTGTATATTGCACTGGTGATTTAGCAGAGGAAATCTATTTTGTGAAAAGCGGAAAACTAGCTATAGTCTTACCTGATTAATAGAATTTTAAGTTCATGATGATTAAACCAGGATCATATTTTGGAGAATTGGATATTTTATTTTACGGGGAAAAAAGAAAATATACTATAATGACAACTAAGCCTAGTGAATTTTATGTACTTTCTAGAAAAGATTTTAAATCAATCTACTTACATTAATTTAGAGATGAAGGCCAAATTTTAGTGAATGAAGCTCTATAAAGAAAGGTTATGATTAAAAGTGCTTATGATGATGCTCTCAGTTTTTTAGGAGAAGATACGAACTTGTAATAACCTCGAGTGACAACTCATAAAACAAGTAAATTTAAAGTGGCTGACAATGCAACCAGTCCCTAAGTTGATCCAAAATTAGTAATTTAATAAAAGACAGAAGATTATAGTAACAATGATGATGGTTTAATTAACTTTGACAAAATATAATTTAAAAAAAAAATTAGTGCTCTTGAAAAATAAATTAAAATAAAGGATCAAATTATAGCTAATATCCAATAAGAATTGGATGAATTGATGAATCAAATCTAACATTAAATTAGTGATGATATCATAGGTCGATTTAAAATTACAAAAAGCATGGAGGAAATGATGTAACTTAGAAGACAATTAAAAGCAACTCATAAAATGGAAGAAACAATCAAATCATAAAGACAGATCTATCGTTCTGCACATTAGGCTAAATAATTTTAAATTGATTGTCGTAAATATTCAAGCTCTGTTGAATAAGCTAAGTTACTTAACAGTCTATGGGAAGAATGATGAAATTATTATAATATATTTTCTATCTTAATTATCATTTGAGAAATAATTTTATCTTTGAGTAACAAGAATTTTGTATTTTTCTAAGAATTTCAGAAGTAAAATTTTGTTATTATTTTATCCTAAGAATCAATTGGAATTCAATCAAATAAAGTGATTACTAAAATATCAAGTTTTTCATATTCTTCTAGCAATAAAGTTTAAATTTTCGAATATTATAAGAACTACATTTAGTTATTCAAATGAATGAAATAATGATTTTTATGAATTTAAATTTTAACTCTTGATAAGCCTATAAATTTATTCAATGGTATTTTTTTATTATTTATTANCAAACATGGCAAAAGGGACTTTTCATAACAATATCATATCTTATTAGATGAATTACCACCAATATTGAAAACTGAGTTGAGTTATATTATGAATAAGCATCTCAAAGAAGAGATAGGTTACTTCCATGATAAATCTCAACAATTTATTTCTGCAATAGGCCCTTTGCTCAAACCAATCAAGTTAGAAGCGAATGAGTTTGTATATTGCACTGGTGATTTAGCAGAGGAAATCTATTTTGTGAAAAGCGGAAAACTAGCTATAGTCTTACCTGATTAATAGAATTTTAAGTTCATGATGATTAAACCAGGATCATATTTTGGAGAATTGGATATTTTATTTTACGGGGAAAAAAGAAAATATACTATAATGACAACTAAGCCTAGTGAATTTTATGTACTTTCTAGAAAAGATTTTAAATCAATCTACTTACATTAATTTAGAGATGAAGGCCAAATTTTAGTGAATGAAGCTCTATAAAGAAAGGTTATGATTAAAAGTGCTTATGATGATGCTCTCAGTTTTTTAGGAGAAGATACGAACTTGTAATAACCTCGAGTGACAACTCATAAAACAAGTAAATTTAAAGTGGCTGACAATGCAACCAGTCCCTAAGTTGATCCAAAATTAGTAATTTAATAAAAGACAGAAGATTATAGTAACAATGATGATGGTTTAATTAACTTTGACAAAATATAATTTAAAAAAAAAATTAGTGCTCTTGAAAAATAAATTAAAATAAAGGATCAAATTATAGCTAATATCCAATAAGAATTGGATGAATTGATGAATCAAATCTAACATTAAATTAGTGATGATATCATAGGTCGATTTAAAATTACAAAAAGCATGGAGGAAATGATGTAACTTAGAAGACAATTAAAAGCAACTCATAAAATGGAAGAAACAATCAAATCATAAAGACAGATCTATCGTTCTGCACATTAGGCTAAATAATTTTAAATTGATTGTCGTAAATATTCAAGCTCTGTTGAATAAGCTAAGTTACTTAACAGTCTATGGGAAGAATGATGAAATTATTATAATATATTTTCTATCTTAATTATCATTTGAGAAATAATTTTATCTTTGAGTAACAAGAATTTTGTATTTTTCTAAGAATTTCAGAAGTAAAATTTTGTTATTATTTTATCCTAAGAATCAATTGGAATTCAATCAAATAAAGTGATTACTAAAATATCAAGTTTTTCATATTCTTCTAGCAATAAAGTTTAAATTTTCGAATATTATAAGAACTACATTTAGTTATTCAAATGAATGAAATAATGATTTTTATGAATTTAAATTTTAACTCTTGATAAGCCTATAAATTTATTCAATGGTATTTTTTTATTATTTATTATCTGATATCTTCTCTAAGATATTTGGCATTAATATATCTTAAATATGAATTTGTTTTTTAAGATTTTGTTTTTTCTATCTTCCAGGCTAAAAATGCTCAATTCTTTTTACAAACAGTCATTTTCTAAATTATTTGTATATCATCAACTGATATAATTAATTAAAAAATTCTTAATTCCTTCATTTGTTATAAAAAAATAATTGTTAATTATTATATTTGTAATATCCAGAAATCAAATCATTTTTAATTATAATCATGAATCATCCAAAAGCTTATTTCACTACTCCTTTGTCAAGATTGGCAAAATTACCCCCGTTTGATTCGAATACTCAAGTGGATGAATGGAATCAAGAGTATCAAGAGGATGAAGGGGATGAAGTCCAAACTTAAAAGTCACCTTTAACAATCATACAATCCCGTCTAAATGCAACAATTATTGAAGAGTTTATATTTCAACCAGCAGGCTAATTGACAAAAAAACAGGATTGGAAAGATGAATTCATTTGGCTCTGATATATTTTTAAATGTTCCTCTTTATATTATAAACATAAAAACAATCTCAATTCTTACAAACACGATTATTCATCGGACAAAATTTTTGGAAATAAAAGGAAAATATTTTAATTTATTATTATGCTTGGTCCTAAACAATATATTATACTTTTCATTAGGAAAATGTTCCTAGTGTAAATTTAAATTATAAAAATGCAATGTTAAATATTTTAAGATTGGGTTTACATAAAAATCATACTTAAAGTCCTGAATCGTATTTTCAAAGTGTTGACATTTGTAAGTATAATTTTTTTGTAGCAAATTCAAGTATCAACAAGTATAATAACAATTATTGTATTTAGAAAGATGTTCTTTTCAGTTTAAAAAGAATTTTCGGAAATTCTAATAAAGCAAATTATTGCTTGAAAAGATCAGTTTAATTTAGTACTATATTAAAATCGAGGCACAAATGCTGATGTAAAATTTGTTCCAGGAGCAAACATAATTATTCAAAATAGGAAATAAAATAGATTCACTTATAGATGATCATCAGGTATTGATTTACATTGGCAAAAACTTATTACATTATATGATTTTAATTCAATAATTATATAAATTTAACACTGAATTTCTAATTCATTTTTATTTATTAGTGATTTTAATTGAATGAATTCAGATAATTCTAAATTAATTATCACCCCTTTAGGAGCTGGTAATGAAGTTGGCAGGTCGTGCATTTTGCTCTAATTCTAAGAGAAATAAATTATGGTAGAAGTTATTGTATATCTAGTTTGATTGCGGTATTCACATGAATAAAGAAAACAAAGGTGTTATGGCATTACCCTATTTTAATAAAATAGATAAAATCGAGGACATAGATTTAATTCTTATAACTCACTTTCATCTGGATCATTGTGGTGCTCTTCCTTACTTTCTAAAAAATTATAAATTTAAGGGGAAAATTTATATGACTACCCCAACAAAGGAAATTTATGGTTTGGTTTTGAAAGATTCCATCAAAGTAAAGAGCGAAGATTTTAGTCAAGATCTAATAAATGAATAAAGCATTGAATAATCATTAAAAAATATTGATTGTATAGATTATGACTAAGAAATTCATTACTAAGGAATTAAATTGAAATGTTACAATGCAGGACATGTGTTAGGTGCTGCAATGTTTATGGTTGAAATTGATGGTGTTAGAGTTCTATATACTGGAGATTATAGTACAGAAAAGGAGAGGTAATGTATAATATAAATTTTAAGACATTTAAGACCAGCCTAATTGCCGCTTGAAAAAATTCATGTTTTGATAGTCGAAGCAACTTACGGAGATACCTAACATGAAACTAGAACAAAAAGAGAGGAAAACTTTTTGAAAGAAATTGTTTCAACCCTAAATGGTGGAGGAAATGTATTGCTTCCTGTTTTCGCTACTGGGAGATGTCATGAATTGTTGATCATCTTAGATGAATATTGGTCCAAAAATCCTTTAGTTCAATAGTTTCCAATTTACAGCACTTGTACATTAGCTATTAAATGTACACATATTTTTTAGAAGCATTTTAATAAATTAGGAAATAAATATCATAAAGGAGAAAATCTATTCAAATTTAATCATATCAATACCAAGAAGCATTTATAAGACATTCTAAATAATCCAAAACCAAAAGTAGTAATGGCAAGTCCAGGATTACTTTAATCAGGACATTCAAAACAAATTTATGAATATTGGTGTAAGGATGAGAAGAATTAAGTAATAATTACAGGTCCAGCAGTACAAGGGACAATTGCTCATTAATTGATACACAATCCAGAACCAGATATCAAAATTAGACCTGCTTAAATAAGCTTTTCTGCTCATGCTGACTATCTCTAAACTTCTTCATTTATAGATTCTTTAAGACCATAACATGTTATTTTAGTTCATGGAACTTAACATAAATGCAGAGATTTATAAAAGAAGATTGAAATCAATTTTAAGGATATTGTGGAGAAAGTATGGGCACCTGAAAATTAAAAATAAGTGGAACTGAGTTTTTAAAGAAGCTCAGTTTCTTAAGCCGGATGCAAAGCAATAGGAGAATTAGGAAATTAGATTGAAAATTTTATAATCACCTTCCAAGAAAAGCATAATTAACATAAAATTGATGAAGAGACAGTCGAATCGATGGCTGATTGCACTTGTTGTACTAATGATCTCTATTTCAATGGAGTGCTTTTGAATACTGAACATGGTTTTATGCTAGTTGATGAAACTGACAAGGAAACCTTACAATAATATGGCATAGAATAAAATTAAATTTATAACCAAATGTATATTCCTTTATAATGTTCTCTTGAATAAGTGTTTAATTATGTGCAAGAATTGAATCCAGAGGCTCAATTTCATCCAGATGATAGTTTAATAGTGGTTAAAGATTTAGAGATCAGAGTTCCTGTTTCAAGTGTCTTGTTGTAATTTAAGTGGATATCCTCTCCAAAAACTGATGATTTAGCTGATTCATTAGCATTTTTCTTAAGTAATGTCAATTAAAATAAATTGAACGATGAAGAATTGTTAAAAGGTACTCACTAAATTGATATAATTAAATAGATAAACAGAAAGGATTAATTAAGGTACTCTAAAAGACTGAATTTCAAACAGAGATAATAGAAAATAAACTAAATGTGAAAAATAAAAATCAAGTTTTCATATAAGTTGATTTAAATACATTGAATCCTTCAGTTGTTGCTGAGGAAACCTAAGAAAACAAAAATATTATCAAAAGAGCCTAAACAATTATTGAATCATATTTGAGTTCCTATTTATGATTATCAGTGTTTTAAATTTAAATTAATAAATTATTATTGTATTCTTTTTATATATCATTATTCAAATGAGAAGAAAACCTAATCTTATATTGCAAGTTTAAGTTTCTTTAATATACTAATAAAATGAATTCATAAATAATTAGTTTTGATAATAAATTAAAAATTAGGAAATTTAGTTGTTTTTACGGAAAATTATAAAGAAGCTAATAAGATAATCATACATTTCTTAATTCAGTGATATTGTTTCCATTTTATTCTTCACAGATAGAGCAAAATAATTAATTCCTTTATAATTATTTGTGTATGAAAATAAATATTACGAATGACTTTTATATATATTTGATTTCAATAAAATGATTTTCTTTTGGTAAATGTGTTACAAAAATATTAAGAGCACAATCAATTAATTGGTTTATTCTAATATAATTTACGAGTGATTTGACTTATATTATTCAAATGAATACTACCTCTAAATTTTATCTACCATTTTGTTCAAAGCAATACTTGCCAAAAAATGAACAATTGCTAATATTCAAGTTTTATCAAAATGCTTAAATATTAATTAATGATTTACCACCATCTCGATGTCAGATTGAAGAAAATATTACTTATGTCCTCAAAATGCATCAATTTTTTCTTTATTTTAAAAATATCACTTTTATTTTATGAAAAATTGTATAGGACCTTAGAGTAATGAAGGACTAATGTTTAGCAGAAAGGAAGTATGTGCTTGGGATTGTCCAAATAATGAAAAATTAGGATTTTTAAAAATCCAATCACCAAATCTTTTAGAATTCATTTTCTGTTTTATTGTCATGTTTTTCTAAAAGATGAAATAGAGTAAGTATTTATAACATTTTGAATTTAGAGGAAAATATAATGATGGAGGCAACTTTTGAGAGATAAAATTTCAATATAAAATTACAAAATACTATTTTAGAAGTGTTTATTATTGACTTCATTAAAGCTTTGATGCTGAAGCCTAAAGAGAGTTGTAATATAACGATTTCGTACTAGTTATTCAGAAAAATTTTTTACTCAGATTTATGAAAGAATTTATAAAAATCATGTCTACAACTACCTAAGCATTACTTAATTAAAGTGGAGATCATTGATGTTTTTGGTAACTATCGTAAAACTTGAATATTAGAAATTAATTTTATTGTAATCAAGACCTTGGAGCATAGTAGTCATTTTGTCACCGTTGATTAAAATTTTAATTGGGATTAATTTGGAATAGACTCAATCTCAAAGTTAGTTTAGGATTTCAAAAAATTCTAGAATATACTTAGAGAAATGATGAGCTACCAATCATATTCCTTAAATCAAAAAATTGAAATAATTGTAATGAGAACATGGAAAATTTTCAATTATTAAAATTTTGTAAAAAATTGGTTATTTACTTTTTATTGTATTAAATGATAATATGATTAATTTACATATGAGATTAAGATCAAAAAAAGTTTGTTAACTTTTCAAAGGTGGTATTTTCTTAGACCTAAAAAGGCAGTTGGGCTTGTCAAAAGGACATTTTGTAAAATATGGGCACTTTCCATTTTACGGTTCAAAAATATGCTATTTTTAGTAACTCAATAATAATAATAAATCAATGACATTTTTAAGTCATATTTCTTGGTCCAAAAGCATGAAAATTTACACCATATTGAATTTGTTAGTATTCCTACAAACGTAATTCAATTTTGCGACTCACAAGGAAAAATAAAATATAATGAGTGCTAAAATAAGTTCCCTTACCTTTTGGAATGGTTTCATCTGATAACTTTCTCCTATAATAACTTATTATTATGGTATTTCTTTGATTAGTACTCTTTTTTTTCATTCTTTTTCAATATTTTATAAATACTCAAAAAATTCTTAACACTAATAGTTAGCAATCAAACATTATAAGAAGGAATAGCCTTTAATGAGAAATTAAAGACAGCCTAGAGCAGAATCTGTGAATGATTTGCAAGTTTAAAGCATTTTCTAAGATTAGTATACAAATGATTTTCAAAAACTATCGGAAGAATCTAATATATACACAAAGATTGAAGAGAGCTTGATGAGCGAAGACATAATATAGGGTTTTCAACTCTCATTTTGATCTCGACTGTCGAAATAATTATTTGATAATTATATTATTGATATGAATTAAAAATTAAAGTAAATTTTGATATTGATTCCTAACCATAATATTGAGGTAATTGAAAAATAAAAAAAAATTAAACTTCTAAACAATATAAAATTTCATTCGATTCAAATTTAACTATTAATACTTTTAATGAATAAACAATTCATAATATTTGCATTGTTGCTTGCTTTAGCAACAAGTCAAACATACAGTTTAACATCATGCACATGTGCATAATTGTTATCAGAAGGTGATTGTACAAAAAATGCTTCACTTGGATGTTCATGGGATAGCACTAAAAAGGCATGTGCAGTTTCAACAACACCTGTCACTCCAGTTGTGACTTATGCAGCTTATTGCGATACTTTTGCAGAAACTGATTGTCCAAAGGCAAAGCCATGTACTGATTGTGGTAGTTATGCCGCTTGTGCTTGGGTTGATAGTAAATGTACATACTTCACAGGATGTACAGCTTTTGCCAAAACAACTGACTCTGATTGTTAGGCAATTAGTAATAGATGTATTACAGATGGAACTCATTGTGTTGAAGTTGATGCATGTAATACATATAAGAAATAACTTCCTTGCGTCAAAAACTCTGCTGGAAGCTTATGTTATTGGGATACAACAAATAATGCTTGTGTTGATGCTAATACTTGTGACAAATTACCAGTAAATTTAGCAACCGATTCAGATTGCAGAGCCTTGATTTCAACATGCACAACTAAAACTGGTGGTGGATGTGTTGATAGTGGAAATAATTGCAGTGATTAAACACTAGAAATTTAATGTGTTTGGAATAAATTAAAAACTACTGCTTGTTATTGGGATGGAGCTGCATGCAAAGATAGAATTTGTGATAATGCACCAACAAGCTTAACTACAGATGATGCTTGTAAATTATTCAGAGCAGATGGATCATGCACAACCAAAGCAAATGGAGGATGTGTCACTAGAACAACTTGTTCAGCTGCCACAATCTAAGCATCTTGTGTTAAAAATAGTTCAGGTGGTGATTGCTATTGGAATGGAACTGCATGTGTTGATAAGAATTGTGCAAACGCACCAGTTACAATGACAACTAACTCTGCTTGCGGAGGATTTGTGACAGGATGTATTACAAAGTCAGGAGGAGGATGTGTCGCAAATGGAGCATGTTCAGTTGCTAACGTTTAAGCAGCTTGTGTTAAAAACTCAAGCAATTTTGATTGTATTTGGGATACAACATGCAAAGAAAAGACATGTGCTAATGCACCAACCACAAACACTACTCACGATCTCTGTACATCATATTTGTCAACATGCACTGTTAAAACAGGTGGAGGTTGTTAAAATAGAACTTGTGCTAATGCTCCAGTAACTATAACAACTAATGATGCTTGTGAAGCTTACTTACCTGGAAATAACTGTATCACCAAGAGTGGAGGTGGATGTGTTACAAATACTACATGCGCAACAATAACATTAGAAGCTGCTTGTGTTAAAAATTCTTCAGGACAAACTTGCTTCTGGGATTCTGCTAGTACAAGTTGCAGAGATAAAACTTGTTTAAATGCTCCATCAACTAACACCACACATGATCTCTGTTAAGCATTCTTAAATACCTGTACAGTTAATTCAGCAGGTGCAGGTTGCGTAGAAAAAACATGTGAAAATTCATTAGTTCTTGCTATTTGTGATAAAGATACCAGCAATAGAGCATGTATCTGGAAAGGAAAGTGCTATAAGAAATAATGTGTGTTGGCTTCATCAGCTACAACCACTCATGCTGATTGTTAAACTTATTCTTCAAGTTGTACTTTGAGTAATACAGGTTCAGGATGTGTAACACTTCCTCTTAAATGCGAGGCTATCACAATCGAAGCAGCTTGTTAAATGAAGTCTAATGGATAACCTTGTGGATGGACTGGAACTTAATGTATTGATAAAGCTTGCTCTACAGCTTCAAAGTCCTTTTCAACTACCTCATAATGCTAAACTCATTTATCATCATGTGTTGCTAATAACCCTGCAACTGTAAATGGATCACTAACTATTCAAGGATGTTAGGATTTACCAACTACTTGTGCCGGTAGAAAATCATCAGAAAATTGTGAAATTTCTAGAAGTGGATTCCCTACTTGTCTCTGGGTTTCATCTTCCTCAACCTGTGTCGAAAAATCTTGCGCTACTGCAAGTACTGCAGGTACAACTGGAGCACTCTAAGCAGGACAATTCTCTTTTGCTAATTGTTAAAGTTATATTAGTATTTGTACAGCAACTAACGCATAAGGTGCTTGCACTGCAACCTCATATCCATGCATATCAAATAATACAGCAGACGGATGCATAGCTAAACCTTCAAGTTGTTCATCACTTGTTTTATCAAATTGTTAGGCAGGTTCCAAATCAACAGGAGATTGCTACTGGAATGGAACAGCTTGTGTTGATAAAACATGTGCAAACATTACCTTAACTACACATAACGGTTGCAACACAACATTAAATACATGTACAGTGAATAATGGAGCAACTGCTTGTTAACCCTTGGCAACTGCATGCACATCTTATACAACCTCAGAAAATTGTAAATTGACTTCAGCTAATAAAAAATGTGTTTGGACTGGTTTGGCATGTAGAAGTGCAACTTGTGCTGATGCTCCAGATGATAACACTTCTGATACTGATGCAGACTGCTTCAATTACTAAACACCAAGTGAAACTTGCACTGTCGTTTATAAAGTCGGAGCTCAAGGATGTGTACCACGATCAGCTAATTGTACAGACTATATGACACAAGCTTAATGTCACAAAACAATCACAAATTTATCAGCAAATGATGATTGTAAATGGATTGTTGATAAATGTTATGCTATTTCTAGTTTTGCTTCTGGAGCTTGCACATCTTTCAAAGGAACCTAAACAATGTGCATTGGATATAGAGTTGGATGCACAAATGTTAATTCAGCAACATCTTCAACTGCTTGTACTTTGGATTGTACATTAAAAACTGGAACAGGATTAACATTTTAAGATTGCTAAGCATTAGATACAACTTGCTCAGTAAATAGTACTGGCACTGGATGCATAGCTATACAATCAGCCTGCACAGGGTATGGGTCAACAGCAACTAATTGCTTTAGGTCTACAGCTGGATTATGTGCTATGAATGCTGCATCTCCAGCAACCTGCTAAGCAGTAACTTAGGCATCTGAATGTGTATTTGTGGCTGGATTAACTGGTTTAGATCATGCAAAATGTTAAGCTTACCATACTTCATGTACTTCTTTAAATGATGGTACTGGATGCTAAGAGTTCAAAGCAACTTGTCCTGCTTTCACTGGAGACGCTGCACACTGCACTTACTCATAATAAGGTAAATGCTACCTGAGCGGCACTGATTGCGTTCGTTTCTCTACCTGTTCTGCAATTTCTGGAACTGGATTAACTGATGCTAAATGCGCAGGATATAATGCAGATTGTACTGTTAATGCTGCTGGTACTGCTTGCTAAGAATAAAAAGCAACATGTAGCTTGAATTTAACTTAAGATTCATGCACTACATCAAAAGATACAGCACCAGCCGATAAATGCGCTTGGAGTGGAACAGCTTGCGTTGCAGTAACAACTGTTGCAACTTAATGTGCATTTGTTACAGGTTCTGGATTAGATGATACTTAATGTGGAGGTTATAACGCTGGTTGTGTTGCAAATTCAACAGGAACGGCTTGTTAAGAGAAAAAGGCCACATGCGCAGGTTATACATCAATTACCGCTTGTGCAACATCAGGAGCTGGCAAATGCTATTGGAATGCTGCTGCAACACCAGCTGTTTGCATTTCAATTGCTACAGCTTCTAGTGATTGTTAATTGGTATTGGGTACAGGATTAGATGACACTAAATGTGGAGCTTACCTTACAGATTGTGTTGCAAACTCAACAGGAGCAGCTTGCTAATAAAAATAGGCCACATGCGCAGGTTATACATCAACTACCGCTTGTGCAACATCAGGAGCTGGCAAATGCTATTGGAATGCTGCTGCAACACCACCAGCTTGCATTTCAATTGCTACAGCTTCAAGTGATTGTTAATTAGTATTGGGTACAGGTTTAGATTATACTAAATGTGGAGCTTACCTTGCAGATTGTGTTCCAAACCCAACAGGAACAGCTTGTGCATAGAAATAGGCCACCTGCGGAGGTTATACATCATCTATCTCCTGTGGAACATCAACAGCTGGCAAATGCTATTGGAATGCTGCTGCAACACCAGCTGTTTGCATTTCAATTGCTACAGCTTCTAGTGATTGTTAATTGGTATTGGGTACAGGATTAGATGACACTAAATGTGGAGCTTACCTTACAGATTGTGTTGCTAACTCAACAGGAGCAGCTTGCTAATAAATATAGGCCACATGCGCAGGTTATACATCTTCTACCGCTTGTGCAACATCAACAGCTGGCAAATGTTATTGGAATGCTGCTGCAACACCAGCTGTTTGCATTTCAATTGCTACAGCTTCAAGTGATTGTTAATTAGTATTAGGTACAGGTTTGAATGACAGCAAATGTTCAGTTTACAATGCAGGTTGCACATCTCTTGTTGATGGTACTGCTTGTTAGGAGGAAAAAACAAATTGTAAAGATTATACCACGCAAAATAAATGTATTTCAACTTCTAGTAAAACTTGTATTTGGTTTGAAAATGCTTGCTATTCTATCACCGCAGTAAGTTGCAGTACAATATCTGGAACTTCTCTTGATCATACAAAATGCCAAGCCTATAACACTAAATGTACTTCAATTACAGATGGTACAGCATGCTAAGATTTCAAGACTACATGTGAATAATACCCAGGTACTGCAGCAGGATGTACTAAAACTGCTACTTCAAAATGTTATTTATATAACTCCAATACTTGTATAACAATTTCAAATGCGGCTACAGATTGCGCCAAAATAACTGGTACTAGTCTAACTTATGAATCTTGCTAATCATTCAATGCAGGATGTAGCGTAAATAGAGCTAAAACTGCTTGCGTTTAATAATAGGCTTTATGTTCTGGTTACAGCACTGCAATGGCTAGTTGTTATAAATCAGGAGCTGGATTATGTATTGCAGGTTAATCTGGTGACACTTCTTGCGTAGCTGCCTCAACTGCTTCAACTTGTGATGCTGTATTTTTAGGATCTGGAAATTATAGCGATGCCAATTGTAACGCATTCAAAACAGGATGTACAGTGAATGGAAGTGCATGCACTGCCAGAACTTGTGCAAATGCTACTGGTATAACATTTAATCACTCTAATTGCAATACTTGGCTCAACACTTGTACAGTTAATGCTGGAAGTACTGCATGTTAAGCTATGGCTTCAAAATGTGCAGATTAGTAATCTACTGCTTGCTAATACTCTGTTGAAGGTGAATGTGTTGTTGTTAATTCAGCTTGTGTCAGAAAGACATGTGATACTGCCGCAGCAGATGCAACATTTACAACTGATAGCTAATGTGGAACATATTAATAATCATGCACAGTAGCAAGATTAGGTGCATGTTAGGCTAGAGCTGCTTGTGCCTCATATAAGTCATCTCTCTAATGTAAATTCAATACAAGTGGAGGAAAATGCTTCTGGAACCCAACAGCTAAAACTTGCGTAGATTTGAATTGCGGAAATATTGAAGCTACAACTACCTATGATTCTCATTCAGAATGTGTTGGTGTTGACTCCACTTTATTATGTACTGTTAGGGCTACTAATGGAGCAGCCGTTCCAGGTTGTATGGCTAGAGGGTCATGCAGTTCATACACTATTGAAGATTAATGCCACTCTAATTCAAATGGAGGAGACTGTGTTTGGAATACAAATGCTAGCTTACCTGCTCCAGCTTGTTAAGATAAATCTTGTACTAGTGCTCCAACTTCTACAGCAACCCATAATGATTGTTTTGCTTACTATACCTCAGCAACTGTTAAATGTACAGTGGCTGCTACTCCAAGTAATAGTGGAGGTGCTGCAACATTAGGAGGATGCCAATAGACTGCTGCTTGTTCAAGTTATATTGATAAAGAATAATGCTAGATCAATGCAAATGGTGATCCATGTGGATGGAATGGAACATAATGTGCTGATAAATCGTGTGCCACTGCTCCTGCTACTGCTGATTATGATGATGATACAAAATGCAGAGCCTATTTCAGTAATAAGTGTACAGTTTCAGAAACAGGACAAGGATGTGTTGATATCCCTGCAACTTGTGAAACAATGACTTAAAAATAATGCAACCTTAACAAGAATGGAGATCCATGCTATTGGACAGGAACAGCTTGCATTACAAAGTCTTGTGATAATGCTCCTGATTCAACCGCAACAGCAGATGATTGCAATACATATTTATCAGGTTGTACTTTAGATAGCGTGAAATGCAAAACCAAAGTTTGTGAAGATTTTGCTTTTGCTACAGATGCTCTTTGCAAATAAGCTATTTCTACATGCACAACAAATGGAACTAATTGTGTCACTAGAGGTACATGTTTCCAAGCTTTAAGTCAATCAGGATGTGTTACTTCTTCAACAGGGTAATAATGTGAATGGATACCAGCTGTTATGAATGCATAAAATGTTGTTACTTCCCCTGCATATTGTACAATAAAGACTTGTAGTACCGCACCTCTAACTTTAACAAGCGAAGCAGCTTGTGCTAGTTATTTCACAAATTGCACTACAAAGAACGGAGGTGGATGTGTTACCAAATCCACATGCTCAGCTGTTACTATTGATGTCGCCTGTACAACTGCCTTAAATGGCACCGTTTGTGCTTGGGATAGTGCATAAAATAAATGCAGAGATAAAGATTGCTAGGATTTCAGTGGAACTACACATGCAGCATGCTAAACTTAGAGATCTGGATGTACTGCTGGTGCAAATGGAAAATGTGCAAGAGTGTAAAATTGTGAGTAAACCACCGTAAGAGCAGCTTGCATAGAAGGATCAAACGGACCATGCTTATGGATTGATAAGTATCTCAATAATGATGGAACTAAAGGAGCTTGTTTCAGATATACATCATGCAAAAGTCTATAATGGAATAATGATGCATCATGCAAATGGATTAGCAACAAATGCACTACCAACGGATCTAATTGCGTAGGAATTACATTATGTTCTGAAACTAATACTGACGGAGGCTGTGTTACAGGATATGATGGTGCTTGTATTCAATCAGTTCCAGCCTTGAATTCATCTGATCCAAAAGTTTGCAAACCATATACATCTTGTGCAGATGCCTTCTACACAACTCATTCAGATTGTTAAATTGCTAGTAACAAATGTACCACAAATGGAACAACTGGATGCATTGCATTAGGTGCATGCTCATCATACACTTCTTAAGCTGGATGCTATTTCAATGATAAAGGAGCTGTATTGTCATCCGGAGCCATCGTTTCTACTGGTCTTTGTACATGGGATACCACAGCAAGTAGTTGCAGAGATTAAACCTGCGCAGATTTGACTGGTACTACTCATGCAACATGCTCATCTCAACTTTCAACATGCACATCAGATGGAACTACATGTTTGGTCAAAGGAGCTTGTTCATCATACTCTACTTAAACTGCTTGCACAACTGCTGTTGGATCAGACGGTATTTGTTATTGGGAGCTTGCATCTGCTACAAATAACAACACTGCTAAATGTAGATTACTCACTTGTGCTGATATTCAAAATGGCACATCAACCAGTGTTTGTGTAGTAGCTTTATCAACCTGTGTTTCTAATGGAACTGCTTGCATTCCTAAAGCCAACTGTTCCACTTATACAAATAAAACAGCTTGCAACTCTGGAGGATTAGATGGTATTTGTGTATTCACATAATCTACTGCTACAGGAGCAGTTGCTGGTACTGGAACTTGTGCCTTAATGACATCTTGTACTACAGCCAATAATGATTAAATTGCTTGTTAAGCTGCTAGAGATAGATGTTCATGGACACCACCCTCAGGAAGTGGAGCTACTGCAGTTGCTAGCAAATGTGCTACTCACACTTGTGCTACAAATTAAGCAACTAACGGAGCTTGTACTAGATTTTTAAATTGGGACAAAAAGACTTAATAAGTTTGTACACTTGTAAGTGGTACATGCACAGCAACAGACCCATCCACTTTGTCTTAAAATGACTGTTTCTTAGTTTCTGGTTACACTTATACTTGGAATGCATCAACTAGCAAATGCGGAGTTTGCACAGCAGTTGTGGTTCAACCAAATACTTCAGACAATAATACAAACAATACAAATAATAACACAACAACAGATTCAGGTTACATCCTTGGTTTGTCAATTGTTTTAGGATATCTCATGTTCTGATGAGAATGATTTTTAATATATATAGGGAAAAATTTATTAATATAAAAAAAAAGTCTTTAATAGTATTAAATATAGAAAACAATTTCAGTTTTCTTCCTACATTTTGTTGTTCATTTATTTGTTGAATAATTTAAAGTTAATTCGACATTCTATATTCCAAAAACAAATTTTAAATGAGTTTTGAAGCCAAGAAATATATATTTGTTTGATAAGGGATCATGAATGTTTGATCGAAATCCTCCTCAATTCCTCTATGTGAATTGAAGATTCCCTTCTAAAATAGTACAGGTTTAGCAAAATTGAAAAAAAACATTTAGGTTTCGTGTTCTAAGCAATTAGTTTAAATATGTTTTGGAAAGTGAAGGATATTTATATATACATGTGCTGCATTTGCAAGTAAAACAAAGTTTACAGAAACATATGGGTTGGTTATTTACTATGGCCACTATTCTTATTCACATTAATAGGAGAATTCAACCTAATTTGCCTTCATTAAATTTAATTTATTATTCTTTGTAGCTAATAATTATGGATATCTTAATGGGAAAATCTTGAACGGTTCCTAAATTGCCTTTCAAAATTGAATGCTTTTCGCTAATAATTTTCTGATGTAATATTAGATGTATTCATCCACCATTTTAATACTCCATTATATAAACAAGACGAGTTCTTTAAATTTTTTGTATAATAAAAGGAAAGGGGTGGATGATGATGAGGTATTCAATATATTTATTAGTTTAGTCCTATTTTTTTTTATATTTCAACCCTCTTTAAATTGATATTGTTGACTAATATGTGTTCTATTTTTGATATATATTCTAAAGGTCTTTCTATCGATAAAAATCTAAGCAAACATTAAATTTAAAGTTCATTCATGTACCAATTAAATGGAAGGTGTTTTTTTATTTATTAAATGAAAATTTAAAAAATAATAA